GGAGACGTATGTAATGACGTATATAAAAAATGTGTATTGCTATAAATGCGAAAATAAAGAAAATAGATACATAATATTAAAAAAGAGCTATCTTAAATCACTAAAGTAATTAATCATATTATTAGATTAAATTTTATTGTTTAATTTATGTAGGTATAAACTTATTCACTATTTTCTTGTATGTGGTAAGTATAAGCATGCAAGCAAGTCTTTCCCTATCAAGTGATGCCAACTCCCACAAAATATTCCCCATAGCACCAATTTCAATCCCTAAATATCGACTTAAAACCCCTACATTTTTATTGTATCGGCTTGAGAGTTAATTTTAAATATGAATTAAAAATACATTCAAGTAGTATAAAATTGCTGTTGTAGTTATGCGGGTGCAATTTTACACATTTACATACATATATTAATTAATGACCTATTAATATCTACTAATACCTATATTTTGTAGCTTTTCTTTACCAAAATTTATTGTATACTCTTGAACTACCTAAATAAATCTAAGAATCTAAAAACCCCTTGGACATCTCGTTCCCCCTAAACTTGGGGGATACCCCTCTTGTTGGCATCACTGTATCAAGTCAACAATCAACATTGCCAATGGACTTTGTATCCGGCTAATAAATAAATTAAAAAAAAAAAAAAAAATCAACAATCAACATACGTCACTAGCAGTGAATACTAAATACATAGTTATTGATGATTCTGTCTTTTAAATCTTCGTGGCACGGATAGAGACAGAATATATCAAGCAAGTTGAAACTTGTCAGCTTGAAGAACAGGTTGTTTGTTTTTTTATTATGTCGGAAACACTGTGTCCGAGCGGTTCGCATTTAGTTTGCACGTGCGTCTTGATTAAAGTGCAAGTTTATTGTCATTTGACTCAAACAGCTGAAGTGCCGTGTTGTGATTAGTGAATCATTTGCTGTTTTTCTACCGCTTTTCTATTATTCTATGGTAGATCAGATTGACTGAAAGTATCAGTGTTAAACAAATTTATGAGTAGACTAAACTTTATACCGTGTTTAGTGATTCATACAAAATGATTATACGGTAAGTTTTTAATTTATAATATATATTATAGTAAATAATTTCCTGGGAATGAAAATATTATATTGACAAAATAAAGTTTTAATTTGAAGGTACTTCAATGATAACATCCTCATAAGTTGAAACATGTTTTCTAACATAAATAAAAATGTCAATCGCTATATTACTTATACAAAGTTTATCAAAATATTAATAATAATTGCTATTAGTAGCAAATATTTTTACGAGTAAAACCGCGACATTGTGAAAATCTTTAAATAATATTTTGTTGCTCATAAGCCACTTTATATGAAAAGTTGTATTGTAAATTTTCAAAATAATAGCGTAAGGAATAATTAATAAAGCTCTCTTCGCTAATAATGTTTAACATGTAATCCAGAACACAGACATAAGATATATTTTTGTTAATAGCGCGAAATGTCGAGACAATAAAACTTAGATAAACTTGGTCCTCGGGTCGTCAATCGTCATCCATTGAACGAACAGTACAGTGGAAGTTAGTAGTTACAGGTTACCAGGTATGACATAAAAAAATATGTCATAAAGCACAGAAGAAAAGTGTAAAAATAAAAATATTCATAAATATAGAGGTGATTGTTTTGTATATATACATTTTGAAAATCGAACCGGTAGTCCTCTTTGAATCTTCGAAATCTTTGAATTAACAGGACGCTTTCCATTGAGTTACGGAGGCGGTAAAATCGGATATCTTTACAAAGATAAGATATAATATTAGTATACTTTAATTGTATTTTCAACATTTATTTATAATAAGGAACATTAACATTAAAGAAGCAGTACCTATAAGATATAGATGCGTCCTAGAAAATGTTTTACAGATCAAATCAAAATGGAATAAATATGGTACTACGGGATAATATTGAATTGTAATAGTGAAATAATTTTTGTAATCGGACCAGTCATTATTTTTTATTCGTTACTAACGTAGAAACTAGAAACCTTATGTAACACTCGCTATCATAAACTGTTGACTGGTTTCGTGGATTTTGCTTATATTTTAATATAAGGTTAAATAACTTGTACTTACCTAGTATTATTTAATTTTAGATATATTTCGCGGCACGTTGGGTTATATATATTTATACAGTCAAAAACGTTTACGACATCGTTTAGAACAACATACCTGTTATATTGACCAAAATCAAACGTGCCGGCTGAATTCTATTGTAACATATCAACATAATCAACATCATATTATAACAATAACAACCATCGGCTGTTACTATTGGTTTTTACGACCAAATATGAGTAGTCCCTTCGATGTCGTTATAACAGATTTTGACTAGTTGCAAAACTGAATTTCTCGATTTCGAATCCAAAAATTTTCTTGTGTGTTAGCCTTAAAAATAGTCTTTACAAAGTTTTATCAATCCTATTACTGCTGTGATTAAACGTTGCTTCCCGATATATTACGCAATAATATTAATGTTGCATCATAATATTGAGCTTTCGCGAACCCTTTATATAGTTTACATGCGCATGCGACGCGGCTAAGCTTTTTTATTTTGTTTCTAACCGAGGTCCCCGTGCTTGGTACGGACTACGGGCAAACCGGCGGATGATTCATCCAATAGGCATATCGGACCATCGCCGCGTGAGCTTTGTTTAACTTAAGATAAAAGCACCTTGATGTGAGATTATTTGAATGAAAAAAGGTTTAACGCTTGGGATATTGTGTCTGTACTAATTGTAATTTATGGCTGTCTTTATATGAGTTTCTATAATAATGATTTATTTATAAAAAAATGTTTTCAAGAATATGGTACAAAAATAATATGGTGGTACAATCTAAACTCCGCTTATTCTGTCTTATGCAAATTTGTCAACATAGTAACATTTATATTACGATTTTTATTAACCTGGGATTGGAACCTAAACTAACCACCTTACGGAATCAATAGTGTCGGTCTTAATCGACATTAAAAGCATAATGCATAATAATTTTTTTTCTAAAATGGTTCTTAACTACGTACAATACAAATTCACTTGTTTAGCACTTTTTAATGACGAATGAAATATACCAATTCAATACAAGTGTGATAATCGTATTTAGGTGTGTTGAGTGTCTAAATCCGGGAATATAATAGTATATTATTCTATTCAAAACTTTAAACCAGTCAGTTATTAGATAGCCTAACGTTAACCAACAAAAAAGTAACATAACTGAAAAACTATTTTTATATGCCTTTGTCGCGTTTCTACAAGACTGCTATGGTTACATTTAAACAAACCACAAAGTAACATATTGTGATTTTATTATATTATTCTGTAAAATAAATATAAAAAAATACACATTTCTACAATGTCTGTTTTATATATTTGATGTAGGTTTATAATATTTACTAATTATAGAAAGTTCCTATACTAAATAAATCAATAATAAACATTATTAAACCTAATATGAAAACCCTCCTTGGGTTATTAAGCCCTTTTAATAGCCTTCATAGAAGCAAATCTAGTTAATTTGCCTAAATGTTTTACTGGAATCAATTTTATTGGAAGCGTAAATAGTTGAAATGTAATTTGGTGTTTCAGGCCTCCCACTATGTTTATGAGTGTATTACGTAACCTCAAGGTCGTTTTTTAAGATATAGCTAACATTGAACACATATTATGATGTAGGTATGTTTGCCCACGGAGTTAGGATTTGCTATTATTGTTTTGTTTAATAATTAATAAAAGTTAGCGTGATATTCACGTACAATATGACGAAAGAAACTATACAGTATCAGTTGTAAAGATTTTATATAATTTAATTTATATTAAATAAACAACCAAGATGCAAGAAATACTTTAACGAATAATAAACCTGCCATTCGGTGAATACGAATAATTCAACAAGGTAATGTATATTATTTTAACACGCTTTATATTAGCTTCACCTGTATGTATGTATGTAACCGACTCCTTCGGACTCGATTTTGACCCACTTTTAACGGACAGATTTAATTCAAACTTTGCGCACCTGTCAAAGATCGATGACAGTGCAATAATCCGAAAAAAAATAAATAATAGTTAAAAAAAACTAAAGAACACGCTTTTAAAGCACATCAAACTAAAACGTGAAAAATAATTCCTAATTTAGGCTGAAAATGGTAATGAACAAAAAATACTGGTATTATTGTGAAAAAGCGTGGGGCGCTCTGTGCCATATTTTTCGTCTATCGAGCGTGTTTTTTAGTTTTTTTAAACTATTATTTATTTTTGTACTAAGGTAATAAATGAAATTAACTACAGACAATTTTTGTTAAAAATTAATAACTACTCAGGCATTTCAATTTTATATCACCGATAGAAAATAATATTACAGAGGCGACAGAAAGCTTGAATGAAAAATACTTTTGGGACTGTTTTTTCAGCTTCGGGAAATATCGGTATCGTTGAGTCACTATTTACAAAGCAGGCATAAGTATAAACAGAAGAGACGCGATTGGGGGATTTTAACGGTTTTATTTCTGAAGAAAAGCTTCAATTCATACCTGTAGGGAACATTTTAAATACTAAGTAATCTCACCTTTTTCTACTATGTTCAGCTTGATTTATATATTATTACTACTAGCTGACCCGGCAAACGTTGGTTTTGCCATGTATATACTTATTATTTCTAGGAAACATATTTTTAGTTCAATAAAAATAATTATCTACAATAATAAAATTAGGGGTTGTATGTATCTTTGTATGCTGTATCATAAAAAATAAAAAACAAAAAAAATTGTCTAATAAAATAAATTTTTTTTTTTGGGATGGACACCCCTTTTCACTTAGAGGTTTAAAAGATAGTAGCCTATTCTCAGACTTAGTAAATATGCATAAAAAATTTCATAAGATTCGGTCGAGCCGTTTCGGAGGAGTATGGCAATGAACATTGTGACACGAGAATTTTATATATTAGATCATCTATAAAAGTTTCATTATTATTGACAATGCAAACAGGTGTCGATAACAGGTAGCGGCAGGGACTCAAAATCGGGTTACGGGTCTAGCAAGTTGATGACTTGTTTGAACTTGTCCTAAAAATGTTTTGTGCATGTACTGTTTTGTTAATCTCTTATTTTTAGCCGTGTATTGTTTAATTTTTAAACAATTACTAGATATCCGTAAGTACTTTGTGTAAGTAGTGTTCGTAAAATGTATTAGGTACATACAAATAGTAAAATTAATTCTAGTTATTGAGATCTTTTGCCATCATTGTCTTAGGTAAAAAATCCTATTAAATCGCGGCAATTCAACTTCTTGACACCACGGGCCTAGTGAGAAGATTGAAGACAGATCCATTTGAATTAGTGTTAGTGCACGTTAGTCTTAAGTGCTAAACAGTGGTTAGGGAATAAATAGAACACAAGAATAGATTGTCTTCCCTTTAATAGAGACTGTGAGTACCTAGTGTTATTGGACACTTTACACGTTAAGTTAGGTTAGACTTAAATTAATTATTAGTCTTAAGATAGGCTAGATTGTAATGTCTCAGTGAAGAGACAATTTATAAAAAAAAGTGTGTAGGTACACATGTCAAAAGTGAAACTTCTTTGGCAAACTAATTTTTAAGTCTTGTTCATATTTATACAAATCTAAATCTTTAGATTTCCGAGACTTAGAGGGAGGCAAAAGGAAGATATGTTAGGAATTTAATGAATTTAATTGTCATTAAAATATTAAGTGTCGAAAATTAATACGAATTAAAAATTAAATTTTTTAAATTTATTTATTCGATAATATAATACGTGGCATTTTAATTTACAATTCGTCATTTAAGATTTCTATAAATTATTTTGCATAAAACATAAAATACTAATATATTTTCATGTTTTCTTTTTACAAAATTTTAATTTTAATAATAGAATTTCTATAAGGTAATTTGCCCTTCTCTCCCTTATCTTCGACAAAAAACGCTGCACATCTTCGTGACGCTAATATTATTATTATTGCGTTTCATCCGTAAACAAATTACCCTCATGCGCCTAAGAAGTTTCACTTTAAAAGCAATTAAATGCAATGATAGGTTTAAGGAAGAAATCACTAGGAAATTATTAACGAAACAATAAGTAAATTTTCAAAACACAATGAAAAACTGGAATTCAAATTCCAAATAATTTTAATAAAGATTTTTCTATATTCATTTGAAGATCCTGCTTGCTGCATAGAGTTTTTTTATTGGGTTCCAATTCGTTAGCTCTTCACGTTGTTTAATATCCACATGATTGCCCCCCATAACAATCAATTTGCCCCCCCGGTGCAGGAGGGGCGTTGGGAAACACTGGTCTAGAGACTGGTGCGACGCCAAAATTCAAAATTCAAAAATCATTTAATCATATGGGTAACACATTGTACACTTATGACTTGTCAGCAAAGAAATACATAATATTAATGCTTCTAATTTTACATTTAGTGCCAGTTCTCAAATCAAGGGCGTAGAACGGAAGAGAAGAACTGGCAATAAACTCTCCGCCACTCTTTTTAATCGCCATGTTTTTTTTTTTACACTACGTTTGTAAGGAGCTGCAACCATTAAACCATGTTCCACATGACATCTTAAGTAATTAATAATAATAACATAAATTAAAAACAAAGAGTTGTCCTCTGTCAGCAGGAGGCATGGTGAAATAGGAGCACGCACTTACATTCTCGTGGGAACAACACGCAAACACATAGTCGAAATAATTGACATCACCGCATACACGAATTCAAGTACGACCAGTCACCACAAGTAGCACCCGTTCACGAGTATGACGCATGGCCAGCCATCGGCCCCTTCGTCATATTTTAGGGAGAGAGACAACCCGACGCATGGACGCCGCCACAAGCAATGACATTTAAGCGAGCATGACGATCCTTGAAATGTGGACTTGGCTACATAAGAATATAATAATAATACTGAAATAATTTGATGCCATCTTGCCTAGAGAGGAGTTTATTATGAATGTAATTTGACTTTTTAAAGCTACTTAACAGAATTAAAAATAACAATTTGTATTGGTTCTATAGTCACTAATAATTCATTTGCAATGATTTTTATAATCTTGTCAAATAGCCCAAGACCCGCAAATAGCGCACGACAGTAAAGATTGAAAGTGTATTTTTTAATATTAAAAAAATAAAATAGATATATCGGTAGCGCCTACAACCTTTTTAGGTCTAAGCCTCAGATTTCTATATTTGTTTCGTGATAATTTGTCAATCTAATAGGCAAGTAGGTGATCAGCCTCCTGTGCCTGACATACGCCGTCATCTTTTTCGGTCTAAGGCAAGCCGGTTTCCTCACGATGTTTTCCTTCACCGTTCGTGCGAATGTTAAATGCGCACATAGAAAGAAAATCCATGGCTGCACAGCCGGGGATTGAACCTATGATATCAGGAATGAGATTTTTTCAAAAAAGTTAGGGCAACGAAAGAAAACTACGATAACCCAACGCTGCAGAATCTACGTTCTCCATCTCTTATATTCCATCCTGTTCAATCCTAAACCTCCTCCTAAACGATTTTTAGGAGCCCATAACTATAGCTTACGCTCTTCCAAACTATATCCTCGAAATCCCATCTCATAACTCTTCTTTTTGGCGAATTTTTCAAGGTCTCTGCAGTGAGGCTATGGAATTCACTTCCCGTCCCTATTCGCTTAGCTCTTTCTCTATCTTCCTTTAAACCTCTACTGTACAATCATTACCTGTACACATCGTATCCCTAATTTTCGTTCTGGAGTGAAACTGATCTAACATTATCGTCATACATATGCACTTTTTGTTTTCCATGTGTTGTAAATATTGTTCTGATACATGCTGCTTACATCAGTTTTAATTGCTTTGTTTTGTTCAATTAGTTTTGTTTAAATAACTATTTCTTATTATATATATTTTTGTCACAATGGTTACCTGGAAGTGATCGCTCAAAAGCGATAAGTCCGCAAGTTGCCCTTTTCATTTAACTACGTCAATTGTATTATATTTCTATATGCAACGAAGTGTTAATAAATATACAGATAAATAATTCTATTGAGAATAGAGCAAATTGATGTACATCAGTTTTACAAAAGAAATCAATAAATCTAAAACGATACCATATGTCTAACTTTATATTTAATAAAATATCCACTGCCTTGTGAAGTAATAAGACGCCATTTCATATTTGCTACAAAGCGTCAACAAACTCATTTACAGCCAAACACAAAAAGACAAGATTAAAGTTTCCAAGCGAATCATTTATAGGTACAAAACGTACCTAAGCTCAGAGATTGCATCATCCACCGTTTCGTAGCAGGACCGAGCAGGACACGTGTGGATTTAGTGTAAATTAAAATAGTGCAGTGAATAATCGTTGTCTGGCCCTTTCTCGCATATGTCCTCTTGTATTTCCTCTCTCAACCCACCTCTCATTATCGTTTTGCACACCTCTCTGTTCGTTTTGTTCGTCAACCACTAATAGAAATTGTAGCATCTCACAACTGTGTAATAGCGAATCTCTTTAATCTAATTTATTAAATCTTAATTTGTTTAGGATTCAAAGATACATTATTGCTTCACAAAAACAAAAGCGATTTATTATTCGAGCTTTTATAATGCAATGAGCAGCGTTGGCCTAGTGGCTTCAGCGTGCGACTCTCATCCCTGAGGTCGTAGGTTCAATCCCCAGATGTGCACCAAAGGACTTTCTAAGTGCGCATTTAACATTAGCTCGAACGGTGAAGGAAAACATCGTGAGGAAACCGGCTTGCCTTAGACCCAAATCGACGGCGTGTGTCAGGTACAGGAGGCTGATCACCTACTTGTCTATTAGATTAATAGATGATCATGAAACAGATACAGAAATTTGAAGCCCAGACCTAAAAAAATAAAAGTTGTAGCGCCTTGTAATGTATTAATTTTCTTTATGAGGTCATTAAAATTTTGCCTAACGAAAAACTTAACAGTTAATCCTGCTAAATTACGATAAAGGTACTGTACCAGTACGTTGTCACGATTCCTATCGTAACTAAAACTATGTGTAAATACATTATCCACCTAGATACATGTACTGTAGCGTTTAATCTTTGTCTACAATATACGCAATATATAATAATTGTAATTAAATTGTGTGTAAATAGATAAGGTACATAGGAGATCACTCCACTATCAATATCGTACGAGGCGATGTGTCAACCTTGTGCAGAAATATTGTTTATATTAGGTATATAAACATATATAGGTATATTACCTACTCAAGTAATTAGACAAATATTATATCACAGTTACTAGTTTATTGATACACAATAGCGAGAATATTTATTTCCTATTATTATTATATATGTATTAGTACAATAATGTAAAACGAGCTTTGTTTAATCCATTGTGTTTATTAACTGCGCATTATCTTAACGAGTAATAATGTTGACGGTGGTTAAAGTAATAATACTCTCCGAGTTGTACTTATTGTATCAGAATAAATGAAAAAAAGTGCGTGCGTACCAAGTACACATGTAAGAACTTGTACTTCTTTGGCAAACTAATTTTTAACTCTTGTTCATATTTATACAAATCTAAAACTTTAGATTTCCGAGACTTAGAGGGAGGGAATAAGGAAGATATGTTAGGAATTTAATAAATTTAATTGTCATCAAAACATTAAAAGTATCGAAACATAACATATAACATACATAGTATTGTATTAAACAAATTATAAATTTAATTTTTTAAGTTTATATCTTCGATAACAAAACACGTAGAATTTAAATTTACAATTCGTCATTTGAGATTTCAATAAATTATTTTGCATAAAATATAAAATATAAAATACTAATATTTCATAAATTCTCTTTACGAAATTTTAATTTTAAAAATAGAAAGGAAATTCACCCTTCTCACTCTCTCTCAATCGGTCTCAATCGCTCTCTCCCTTTTATTCGACAAAAACGCTGCACATCTTCGTGACGTTCCGTAAAAATTTTACCCTCATGCGCCTAAAGAAGTTTCACTTCAAAAATCATACATGTATAGGTACTACCTCAAGTTTGATTACATTTTAGTAAATCAATTGGAGTTTTTTATGAAAAGATATGAATTTGAAACTGTCATATGCTTCGCAGTGTATTTGTTAATATGTATTTAAACAAAAAAGTGTCATAGGTTAAACAGTTAACAGCTGGTTTTAGGTTATGTTTCTTAAATAAATGTTTTAATATCTATATTTCCATTTTTTCCAGGGCCTTGCTAGCCTGTTTGGCTAGTGGTGTTTTATATGAAGCAACTGCGCAACCAGTCGAGTGTTTGAAAGATTGTGACACCGGATACTTCTGTGAGGAAGGAACATACGTGTGTAAAAAATGCATCGACTGCGCGGAGCTGAAACGCGAAACACTGCCGGGGGCACCTTCGTGCATACAGACTGTGGCCGATTGTGGATCTTGCCTCAAAGGGTGAGCACTTTTCAAATTAACCAATTATAATAATAATAATAAATAATAATTCATTTGCATTTGAAATTTAGTACTTCCAAGGCCATCTCTAACCCATACCACATCTTATTATGTAGCCTTTATAAAGCCGTGTTGGCCTAGTGGCTCCAGCGTGCGACTCTCATCCCGTGGTCGTAGGTTCGATCGGACTGTGCACCAATGTACTTTATTTCTATGTGCGCATTTAACGGCTTGCCATAGACCCAAAAAGTCGATAGCGTGTGCCAGGCACAGAAGGCTGATCGCCTACTTTCCTAGATTGACAAATGATCATGAAACAGATACAGAAGTCTGAAGCCCAGACCTAAAAAGCTTGTATCGCCACTGATTTATTTATTTTATAGGCCTGTTGTAGGCCTTCCGTGCATGATCTACGAATTAAGATATAACGAATACCTACTGTTTTCCTTATACAGGCAATTAAATTGCGCATAAATTAATCCCTTGGCGCAAATCCGGGGTTCACGTGATCTCGGGGCTGAGTCTAGCAGAATTAACCACTTACACTGCTCAGTTTATTTTTACTTTTCTTTATTAATAATACCCTGCCATTGTGTGCAGGGACTTTTTCAATCAAATTTAAAAAAAAAATACAATGTATTAATTACAATAAACTAGTTCACGAATGCTGTGTTACGCGTCTCCCGAGATACGCCCCGGCTACATCGGTACACCGCATTATCATAATTGAATCTAATTAGTTTCTAAACGTATTTTTTATATTCAAATTGCAATAAAATGTTATATTGCTACACAGTAATTGTATCTGGAAAGTCATAGGCGTCTGAAATACAGTTCTCCTAGTTGTTCTTAATCAGGGGCACGCGACACATTTTTATGTAGTCAGTTTGTGGCAATAAATTATTAGTATGAATCAAGCCCTGTTTTATATCCATAACATTACTATTAAGTCATCAGCCCACCGCCATTTTGTCCTGCCCTCTCTTCTTTTTGAATACCTTATTATGAGATATTAATCCATTATAACGCCTAAATAAAAATTATAAACTTAATTATATAATATAAATTGCTCATTATTAACGAAGAATTTAAATATGTACACAGTAATTACTGCAATAGAAAACCACCTGTTAGCCATCTAATTGCGTAGCAAACATACATACACCATGAATCAACGCTTACACCGAGGACGAACTGCCCACTATCGCGGTTTTTATTCCATGAGGAGTTCCAAGGAAAATGAAACTTCCCACGAGTGATTCAAAAAAGTATTTTTAGCAATACTGTAATGTCCTAAGGCAATTCGTCCATGGCGGCTAACCTCTATTGAGGCTCGCCATTTAAGCAGGAGATATAATCGACCACGCTCTTCTCAGTGTGTTATGAAAAATAAACATAATACTATAATAATACTATTTACTAAACATATTTCATATTTACAATCAAGTATACAGTATTTACAATTAGTAATAATTAAAATAATTAAAAAGAAAATCAAAACAAATTTAAAAAGTTTGGTCCCTGTGGCAGTGTACCTTTAACGCTGGCAGCATTTCCTCGCTGTATTGCGAAACTTATTCGTTGAGCTAGGAAAGTACCAGCTCTGGGGTCACAGGTACTATCTACTAGGCGCCAACTTAAATCTTTAATAAGCGCCTGTGCACTTGAACCCGGCCCAAGAGTCTCTACTCCGAAGGGAACAAAATCGAAGTTGGAGGAAAGACTCTTATAGACGACCTGCACTCTTTTGGCAATGTAGACAATGGTGTCCAAGGCTACTTACTTCAAAGCCACAGGGAATTCTTGTATATTAATATAATAATAACAGCCTTTCACAAGTTCTGCGCCGGTTGGACTCCTATTTTGTATCCAATTACTATTATATAGTTATAACTAATTATTTGCTATAATTGTTATTTCTTTATTCCTATCTAATTATGTATATTCGCGGATGCTTGGACCCATGCGACTTCAATACAAAGAGTACCCTCGTGAGTTGTGTGCAGCGATATTTTGGGCTACTCGATTGTGAGGATGTTGCATGGACCTGGTGTGGCGCCAAGTTCTCATGACATTTTCTCACATGTATATCCTCTCAATGAAATATTTTCATTAGTATCTGATTGTCCTACACGTGTGATGTTTGAGAGCAAATAAAATAGCGGTTTATAAAAATGTCATACATATTTAGGAGTGATGCAATTATCTCTGAGGCAACTTGATTAACGTATGCATTTTTACAGGTTGCTGCCTGATTTAGGGACAGGCATTGGCTGTGTCTCATCAGACTCCCAACCCGACGAGGGCTTGTCGGCCTACGTGTGGGTTGCCGTGGTGGGTGTGGCTCTCGTGGTTTTATTTATATTTGTGGGCATTATTGTGGTGTACGTCCTGCGAAACACCGATACTTTCAAGATCCTAGCATGTGAGTATAGTAAGTTTATTTTTTGAAGTTAAACTGCGTTTGGCGCGTTAGTGAAAAATGTTGAGAGAAATTTTTTACGATGCGCACGCACCGTCACACAAAACCGACACCCTGTTAGCTATAGTCAACATTTTATTTTGTGATATTATAATAAACTTTATTTAACTAGATAATGCGTTATAATAAAACTTTTAATGAATTAAATAACTTTTTTCTATTGTTAGTGTCGTTTTTTCTACAAACGTAGAATAATATTTTTGAAAAGATTTTTAACCAACGAAGAATAACTTCTAACGCGTGTACATAAGTACAAACATATTTTTTTTAATAAGGCCCACTAACGAAACATATAGCAACACAGAAAACACACAACACAAAAATGTACATGTGCATATTGATGGACAATAAATATTCTTAACAGTAGTTTAGTCCCGACTTGTGCGATATTATCTTTACGCAACACACAACAGCGGTCGTAGACACAAAACAATCACCTATTGCACAGAAAAACTGTCAATCTGGATACTCAGTTCACTTGCACATATTTCATTGTTTACATATTAGTCACCAACACAATAACACTTTTGAAAAGTCGATTTATTTGTATATATATATTCCGTTATCCACAAAGAAACTATCCCTTCTAGAGATATACATTGATATTACCTATTGCTTTTTATGGTATATTTTTACTATTAACTATATTTAATTAATTATTTTGAGTCATTAGACGTGTATATTTTTAGGCTTCCCTCTAAATATTCTTTAGCGAACTTTAAACCACGCAATATCTGGACTTTGTTATATGACGGGAAAAATCTCTATATATGTTAAAAGTAACATCAAGTATTTGCAGTTTAATGTGGTTAATTTTAACTATAAAAGTGTTGAATGGTAGTAAATAAATTAATAATAAAATCATTACTGCGTGAATATAAAAATCACGTATAATTCTCTACTAGCATTCCTAATGTCTAATTAACACAAAATTTGGACTTTTGTCGCTTTCCTAGAACTCTACAAACATTCTTAAGATTATCAAATCAATGACAATTAAAATTATTGATTGTAATTACGGATTATGGCCATGACCTACTCCAATTGCCCACTTTGCGGTAAAAAGCTTAAAAAAGCATTTTTTCCGCGACTGAGTAACCGCCAATGTGGTTATGTACGTCATTCTGTGGAATTTATACTATCGCAATTCAATAGAATTCTTATCAAAGTTTATTGAAATCGATCGAACTAAAATTGTCATTTGAAATTTATTAATTTATTTATAAAAACACTCCTGCCCTAACAGGCGACTCTAAATTGACTGAGTGCAGAATAAGCGTATAAAATTTACAGACGAAATTATAAAACTAAGAAAGATTGAGCGAGCAAAATATACAACCTTTGCTCGTACACTTTAATTCTAAAGTGATTTTCAGTTACAATTTCGACGTTTTTTTAAAATACAATCCATACGAAGTTTTTCACGAAATATTTTTTTTTAATATGTATTATTATAAAAACCATTTGTTTGATTAGGTACTTAATTCGTTTATTTTTACATACAATGGTCATAAATGTCTTGAATCTGGTGTCTCTTAACATTTTAAATATATACTTCTTTTTGGAGAAGATTAATTTAAACAGTACCCTGGTGGTTTACAGTACCGAGAGTTTTTTACGCCGGCTTTTTCTCTCGGCCTACACCCTCTGTCTTCTTTGCCGATGAGTAGGGATGCCTACAAATTCAAATTTAATGACGTGGAATAAGTGATACATGTATCTTATGTTCCATAATAAACATATTTTATTTTATTTTTTTATTTTATTTTTTCTAATACCGACTGTGCACTTCTTTGTCCGCTATTAACACTCTCTTGCTATTTAAAAAGAGGGCAAGAAATCCGAAATAGACCCAAACACGACGTCAGCCTATAAGGTTGTACAGGTACATATCTATCACAATAAACCAGATGCAATCTGATGTCAAGGCCCACATACTCTTGATGGGCCTGACTGGATGTCATAACTATACGTAACATAGCCCCATTATCAATATTACTTTGTCAGAACTCTAAATTAACTCCTAGTTACTTAAAGCAAAATGTTATGTTCTTTTCTGGTGGTGGTTTCCCTTGACAATTTAATTTTGAAACTGCTACTCATAAAACTGAATTCTACCAGTCCTTTGTACTTTGGAACTCCTTACATTTGATATCAGACGAACTCAGTCTTTGAATTCGTCATTCGTTCTAACGAAAAGCTCTCTATAACGTAAAAATGAGTAATATTTTTTTGGTTTAACACAAAACCCATATATTGATACCCTCTTTATAACACAACAGTCATTCTCTATTACGAAGAAATATTCAGACATCAACAACATACTTAAGTGTAATTGTTTTTATAATCAGCTTACAAAACTAACCTTCTGAGGTGCCGAAAAACTGTCTCGCCTTTGTTATTGTTAATTGCATTAACACGTGTGCCATCGTAAACAAACTATCATGATGGCCAGACAAATTCTCAAAAATATACAAAACAAATATTGGCATAGCAAAACACGGCAGGCATAGTTAACAGAAATGTGTTTAGAATAATTTATCTATTGATAGTAATAAAATTAGAAATTATTGTAACTGGTTAAATTTGTTTTTATTCTTCTCTCCATATAACATAAACTCTTTATAAAAAAATGCGTGGTCTGTGGACAGTCGTTATAAAGAGGTTTACACTGTATATATTATTTATGACTCATTAACCAAGAGATTCGATTATACGTTTTTATTATTATTTTTTAAATTTCAGTTTAGTTTAGTTTTTGTTAGTAGGTATATTTCTAGTTAACATTTTATTTAATGTTTTGTTCTAATTTATGCATTTCTTGTTCTGTACCCTCAGTAGGTTGTTTTTTTTAATCCATACTTAAGTTACGTGGAAGTAACTGCTTGTTAAAAGGTTGCCCGTTGCCTAACAACTTATGAAACCTGTTTTGTTATGTTTGAGGTAACGTTTGTAAAAAAAACTTTAATCAAAAAATTACTACGTAGGTAGCAGATTATTGATTACATCTTTTATTACATCGTATTCCAAGATTCGGCACTCTTTGTTTCTCGGTTATGTAAACCAAAACTGTAACCTGAAGCCTCTCTGATAACAATGCCATGAAATGACATAATAGTCATATTATCCTTCTACTGTTTATTGTCGTGATTTCTGATCACAGCTTAAAAAATTAACAGATATATTACATTTTCAGTATCATTCGAATGATTTAGAGCAAGCGGGATTTTTTTATTTCAATGTGTCTGTACTATCATTTATGGAAGCACATTTTTTTGTGTAATAGGAGGCTCACCTGATGTTATGTGATACTGCTGCCTATGGACACTCACATTGCCAGAAGACTCGCAAGTGCGTTGCCGGCCTTTTAAGAATTGGTACGCTTTTTCTTGAGGATCCTATCGAGGCCCACGCGTAGCGAGGTTTATTTAAATGTGTATAATACTGTATTTTTTATACTAAATTCTCGAATTGGATATTATGTAGTCCTACCGCATCTCTCTGTATGAATTTGATTAACTCAAAGGTACTAGTACCTACTTTTTTTATTAATAATTTTACCAACTCGTCTTATTGCTGCTTCTGTCTGTTTATAACTTAAACAGAATGTATTCTATAATCATTCTATGTTGTTATTAAGGCTATAGTTGTATGTTAATCAGAAATTTCAATATGTAGCACCATATGTAAGTTAACCATTGAATAAAATATCGAACGAATTTTATGTAAAAGTCATAATGGTTTCATCTCTGTTTGAAATATAACCTTGAAAAGTTCGCAAAATATCATTGCTAAAATACATAAAATCCATGCGGTGTGAAGCTTAACCAATCAATTAAAACAATTAAAATAGTTATTATAATCAATGAAACTATTGTTTACAGCTACGCGGACATCAGTGCAGTCTCCATGCAACAGGAACGCTGCTCCAGCCACCGCCCCAGAGGCCCCTCCGCCGCCTTACAATGCTCTCTATTCACCTGTCAGGCCCTCTTCACCACCTCCAGATAATACTCATAATGGTAAGTCTTCATGTTCTTTATACGTTCAACTTAAATTCACTATACCCAAGATTTAGAATATTTCAAAGTACACAAAAGCCAAAATAACCCTTAAAACGCGAAAAATGATTCGTGAACTATTAAAATTAGTAAGCTAAAAAGTTAGGTAGGTATACATAATCATGGACATTGCTTATGACTTCATTCTACTAAGTAATAACACCCCTTTTCCGTTTTAAAATATAACTAATAGGAAGATCTATTGAGTTATAATAAATAGTATATCTGTTGTTTAATGACAACGGAATTACTTCGAAACATTTTAGGATGGACTTACGACACTCTTGACGCGCACGCGCGAATGAGCAACGTTCATCATGGGCAAACGGGCAGTTGGCCCACTGCCCTATAAAAGTTACTCTTCAGGATGTTACAAGTACGAAAGACAACATTAAAATTCGTCTTATTATTTTATCTCTTGTTATATAAAGATTCATTAAGTTTTAATATTTTCATTTCTTATTATTCAATGTTTGGAAAACATACCCTGTGCACTTCATAAAGTCTTTATTAAACTAATTCATATTTACAATCAAGTATACAGTATTTATAATTTTCTTAACCTGCAAGGTAATAATAAAAATTATTAAAAAGAAAATCAAAACAAATTTAAAAAGTTTGGTCCCTGTGGCAGTGTACCTTTAACGCTGGCAGCATTTCCTCGCTGTATTGCGATACTTATTCGTTGAGCCAGGATAGTACCAGCTCTGGGGTCATCGGTACCATCTACCAGGCGCCAACTTAAATCTTTAATAAGCGCCTGATATATATATATAAAGTATATATTAACTCTCTGTGCATATATCTAGGCTAAATTTCCTTTAATATATGTGGTCCCAATAAAGTAACATTTACAACACAATTACAAAAATACATACAAGAGATGACTCGAAGGTTTGAATAAACTGATTTGAAAACATTTGAAAGATATTTTAAAGGTTTATAAAAATAACACTAATTCCCTGTTATCGGTCATTTAATTTGTATTTCAAAAGATAAAAGACGTCATCGCAATGCTAAGGTCGCACTTACGTCATGCCAGAGCAAAATCGTTTGAATGGACACGATTCAAACATGTTCGTAATCAGTGTCCTCAAAATAATGGTTCAACAAATCTTTATTGCAAAGCAAGTGGTACATCTAAGACCGCACAATCAGCCATATAAAAATAGACATGCAAATGTCATCATAGTTAGAACAGATATTTAGATTGTTGTCAAATCTTATGATCTAAAAACTCTCCCACATAAAACCTTGACCTTCCCCTTGAAAGCATTACTTGGCAGTGATCTTTAGCTTCTGGGTAGGTGATTTAGTTTGATAGCTATGGCGTAATTTTTAAAGTACATCGTGGTGCAACATGCAGGCATCCAGAGCCGTGCTGGATCCCTCGAATGTTTTGAATAATTTTGGTTATGCCTCACGATGTTTTTCTACACTTGTTAATCGCAAGGACAGGATTTGAAACACATTTAGAATTGCTTATCCAAATTAGTTGATCAAACAAAGTCATTCTTGAAGATTCGATATTACGCATAATATAGAGTTGTGGCCTCTCGCAAATCGACACCTTATCTCCTATCCTGCTAAGGATAATAAGTCTAAATGAAAGTGAATCATATCCTTTGTTGGTTTTTTTACGCATTTGCAAATTTCGTATATAATCAATGAGATGAACCAGTTTTGAGTCATCGCTATAATTATACGTGAAAAGTAACAGGTAAATTTCGTTCGAATTGTGTTCATATAGTGTGTGTTGTGACCTGTTTCATTAAAAAATTAAAACCAAATTATTTGATTGAAATGTAGCTTTCAAATTGTGTTTTTCTTGTGTAATGGGTTCTCAAACCTCAAAGGACAGCAACGCACTTCCAACACTCTTGATGTTGCAGGGTTAGTACTTTACTCCAGTTGACTGCTCCTTTTTCTAAAAAAAAAATTACGTCATTAACGAACTTGTTTTCGAGTCATTATTATACAGACATTTTAATCAAATATTTTTTTTAACATTTGTTCAAAAATGTAGTCGTTGTAAATAGTTACCTAGTGTTGGCCTCTAGTGGCGTGCGACTCTCATCTCAGAGTTCGTAGGTTCGATCCCCTGCTGTTCACCAATGGACTTTCTTTCTATGTGCCCATTGAACATTCGCTCGAAAGGTGAAGGAAAACATCTTGAGGAAACGTATGCCTTTGGCGATCGTATGCCGATAAATCGATGGGGTGTGTCAGGCGCAAGAGGCTGATCACCAATTAGATTGACAAATGATCCTGAAACATACAGAAATCTGAGGCCCAGACCTGAGAAAAAAGAGCTCGTAGCGCCACGCGTATTTTTTTAAATAGTTACCTAATGTATATTTAATTAAGAATGGTTGATTAAACCTAAAAAATTAGTCTGTTATTTTACTTCAAAATTACGTGCTCTCAAATTTTTTAATAAGTTTAATTTTAGGACACAAATAATTAATATGCTATGTATATTCTATATAAATTGTTTTCTTATCCACTGATAAAGTCAAGATTTAAAACGACTTTCCGAGGCCGGCCTCGAACGTTCAAGAAACTTCTATCACAATCATCTGTGTCTAGGTTAATATGTTTTTGTTTTATAAAATGTGTATTTGTGTTGTATAATTTACAGAACACTTAACAATGTTTATTTATTTATTTAAGTTTATATATCGTACATAATGCTATATCTACAGTATACGTTACAAGCTATATTTTCTAAAATATATGACAATTTTGGTAAATATAAATATTACAAAAAATATACTTACATAATTACTGTCTGATAGCCAACATTTGTTTTATAAATATAAGTGTAGGCAGTTTTCCAGTTCACGTATCCGTTGCAAACATCGCGGATCATATAAGAAACATATAAATATTTTTTTTTCATTTTCAGAGTCTTGGGGCTTTGTGAAGCGCGCGGGTAGTGTCCGTTTGGGCGCGGAGGGTCGCGAATCTGCCGGAAGTCAGGCAGCTCGTGTCTACAACAATCCAAGTTATGTCAGAGGAGCACATCTCAATGACTTGCCCAGGTAATTTATATATAAGTAATCTTACAGCTAACACATATGTATATTTTAAAAGAAAACACTTACACAGGCAAAACAGTTTCATTCATAAACAAAATATACGAAACAGAAAACATAAGTCATATACGTCAATTAAGCGCATGAATAGAAGAAAAAAAAACGTGTGTGTACACGCGTTAGAAGTTATACTTCTTTGGCGTAACAAGATAAAAGTCTTTTCAAAAAATTTATTCTACGTTTATAGAAAAAAACGACACTAACAATAGAAAGAACTAAAATGTTGACTATAGCTAACTTCAGGGTGTCGGTTTTGTGTGACATTATTTTTCCCAAACGCGCCAAAAGAAGTATAATTTCAAAAACTTAAAATAAACATTAAACAAACGACAATTTAATATTTTAAAATATTCCCTTTTAGTAAGGTGGAAAATATCAACATTCTTATAATTTGTGTCATAGCTCACAATTATTAAATAATATCACTTGTATTCAACTAGATAATAACATTTCATTACGCGAATATTATTTTTATATAGTATTTAATAACAATCCAGTGGTTTTACAACTCCATATGAGTCTTGTTCTCAGTAATCATTTTATAGTCAAGTGGTCAGCCTTCTGTGCCTGACACGCCGTCGGTTTTTTATGTGTCATGCGCACTTTGAAAGAAAAATCCATTGGTGTTAAATTAAGTTTATATTTTTAAAATGGTTTTGAATATTAAAACTTCCAATTGTTATACAGTTATGATGTAACGTGTAGTGATGATGAAAGGGACCCAATCACTCACGACGAGGATACCATGGAGAGCACATGGACACCCACACCACAAGTTAACACGTGAGTAATTTTAGTTTGACCATGGGCATGGGTTTATTTTAATTAACCGACTCCAAAGAAGTATATTGTTCTGTTTAGGCGTTCAAGCAGTGGGTTCCGTAAATGTATATTATGTTTGTCTACGCATTTCATGAAAACTTAATCTTAAATTATTTATGGCAATGGAATCAGATTTGGAATATATATTTTGACCAATTATTTTTTAGATGCATAACGTAGATGGGTAAATAATAAACTATATTGTTAATAAATCATTCTTAGTTGATAGCAATTACAATTCGGTTAAATGTTTTCAAAAGAGCGCAACTTACAGGGTGTTAAGTTTATATACAGACGTACTTTTCGTTTCAACTCTATTTTTACTCTTACTACGTTTCACTGACTGATTTCGTAAGAGATTAAAATTCAACAGCTGTGCATGGGTTCTTTCTTCTGCGCGTTTATTTAAATGTCTATAATTAGATTGATAAGATAAACGTTTTTGGTATACATAGATAATACTTCTATATCGAGAGACTTTCACTGACCAATACTTCCGCAAAGCACTTAAGAAGATGCAAAAAACTTCTTAAATTGCGATAAAATACGACATGTTTCAATCATCATTTGAGGGGAAAATATTCTCGTAATATGGGGCTAAAAGGAATGTAGTCTTGTCTAGAGAGACAGATGAATAGGTCTTGGCTTGGATTCACAGGGAAATTTCATAGATATTCTGTATTTCAGGTCTAGCGGAATATCAAACGGTGCGGGTGGAGAGTTGTCAAGTCTGTTGTCTGCCGCGAGACACAACAATCTCGTGCGCACACCACACGCTGTCACCCAATATTGCGCTGCACAGGTAACTTTCAGACATTTAAAATAATGTTCTACTATTGTTTCAGCAGTTTACGCCTATTTACTTTCTTTAAATTAGATTCTAAAAGTACTACGAACACGAAATGATATTGAAACACGTGATATTAATAAAAATTCATTTATTGTGACATTTATCTTGGTATTTAATACAGTTCTGTGTAAACCACAGAACATTATTAACGAATAATACATGTCTGACAAAAATATCTCTGACAGTTTACATTGAGGATTAATGTGAAACAATCGATTTGTTTTATTTAATTTAATATATTATTTTTTTATTTCCAAAACACACATATACAGTATTTTTTACCTACATAGTAATAATTATAATAAAAATTGATAAATAAAAAATTAAAGCAAATTTAAAAAGTTTGGTTCCCTGTGGCACTGTATCTTAAATGCTGGCAGTATTTCCTAGCTGAATTGCGATTATTCATTGAGCGAGGAAAGCACCAGCTCCGGGGTCACTGTACTATTAGTTGTTCCTGAGCGGCAAAAATCATCTGATTATTCCTACGAGATTTTTATTGTAGTATGTTTACTAGCATAAATATTATTTACAAAACATGTAATAATTCATTAGACTTTGACCAAAAATGCCTTCACGTCTCAACGAATATCAACATTTACTTACCCTCACAAATCATTCCAGGACTCCAATAACAACCGTAGCACAGGAGACGCCATGGGTGGCGAGGGCCCCGCCAGCAGCGGACCTTCCTTCATCATCAACGTCGTTCAGAGCATCAACGCGGTGCAGCAGCAGAACGACGTCAAGTTATAGTTATTTGATTTAGACTTCCCGTTTCTCTATTTTAAACCTCTGATGATATTTTGCTAAAAAAAAAAAAAAAAACCCTCCTTTGTAAATTGGTTAAATTAAAAGGATTTAGAATATTAAATGTTTATAAATGTGGCCGTTGGTCGTGTGGGTTCGTTTCACTGGGATTAAAAAAATCGGGTTGGAGGGAAGGCTGGTCCTGCCAGTACCAAAAAAATGTTATCTATGATTGTATATAATAAATTAATCTTTATCAGGGGTCTGAAATATATTTGTCTATTTTCTAAACGCTCAACGTTTGTATTGACTGTACCAATTTTTATGTGTATTGTAAAATATGCTTTAATACAAACATATAGTTATACAATTCACGAAATCCAAGGTCTCTGTTTAAATGATGCATTTATTTGAGATTATTCGCATTTACTTCTCGATTACTGCCATGTTTAATGTTTTGCAAGAAAAAAATACAAAAAAATATTATGAATAATTTAGTTTTAAAATAGTATATACCCTAATTTTACAGTTGCCATTTTTAAATTTTTGTTTTATTCTCAGTGTCGCCAGTGTTAAAAACATTTTTCACTTACGTATAAATAAGAATTTGGGTGTATACTAATAACTTATTTAGCATGTGATTTTATTTGTTATAATTATTGTTAATTTCGCATCGTTACTTAAGGTAAGTTAGGCTTCTGTTAATGAAGAGTAGAATATAAATAGCTAAGCTAGAACAATTTCTGGAAATGTTATGTTTAAGCAAAATTAGATTTGATTAAATTTTATAAGTCTGTTGATTTTTAAAATTGGTGAATTATTTTGGTATTTTAGTCCCGTAGTTAGTTTGACAAAGTATTTAACGCTAACTTAAATATTTATGTCAAAAACCGTAATCTTCCGCGCTTGTTAGTGTTCGATACTTTGGACTGAAGAAGTGTCTACAATTGTTACGATTCCATGTCAATTGGTAGAACTTATTTTGGTAGATCCCGGGCTTTTTGCATAATAGATAGTTCTATTTTAGTTTTATTGCTCAAGTCTGCGCTCAAATGTACGTGATTTTACCATTTTAGGATTGGTGAGAGTGGATCTGAGATAGATCTAATTATATAATGTCTTCCTAATTAAGATTAACAGGGGCAAAGATTAAGTCGTTCTTCCATTTAAAATTGTATGAATTTAAGCGCTAAGTACACTATTACGTAATTTGTTTAATATTTTTTTAGATATTTTGTAAATGAAGGTTTATATGTACGGACAAACTATATTTATGTAAAGTTCTCTACGTTAAGCTTTACAGAGAATACTCTCAACTTATTTGAAAGGTGCTAGATTATTATTGTTGGGCATAATGCTCCAAGGTACTGCCAAGTCTTTAAATAAAATAAGCCTTCGATTTTGATGTTTTGTTTTGTTTACACTTGTATTACTTAGTGTAAACATGACAAAACTAGTATATTTTATAGACAAACTATAATATATATATTTAATGCATAATGGGGCATCTTTTAGGTTCTGATATTCTAGAAGAATGACTTCTAAAGTGAGAATTAATTTTTTTTGTTAAAAAAAGACTTGGCAGTACCTAAGAGCATTATGTACATCAATAAGAAATCATCTCCCAAATAAGTTGATGGTATTCTCTGTAAGGCTTAACGTCTTGTGGAGAACTTAACGATACGAACACGAACGATAATAAATTCTCATTTTTAACTTAAGTAATAAAAATCAAGTGCCTTAACCCGATGAACTGGCTGTGATGCACTTATTATGAAGCAATTTTATTGTTATTTTTTGTGTAAAAATTTTCCTTATAGTGAAATAAAATTGACCAATGCCTCTAGTCAGGTCAAAATATGTAAAATTTAGGGAATGTTTTTACTTAATAAAGGATTTTTTTATTAATATAGTGTTTTCTTAACAAAATATTTACGAATTTTTGAGTACAAAATAGAGATGTGACATTCTGCATTAAAAAATCGATTTTTTTATTAATCGATTTTTTCCTAATTTTTGAATTAATTACAAAATAAACACTAAATATTTTATTTTTCATGGTTTTTTAATTAAAAATAAACAATAGAAATTATAAACACAACTTAACGTTTAAAAATAATCAAAATCGAAATTAACTTAATCTCGTTTTGATAGATTTTAGGAGAAATTTGATAGATGCTGAGTGTATGCCTTTTCAGTAGCACATTGCAGTATTTTTGTTGTCTTTTTAATTGTATTGAATAAATTTATTTAACTTTTAAATTATAGTTTTATCATCCTTTCGATGTTTTACAAAAAAACAATATATCTTCAAAGAATCGGATTCAATGTATCGCATTGTAAACATCGTTGTATACCGAATATCCCTAATAGTTCGAGGTCCGGGTTATAAAAGACCAGACATAATGTCGGGAGGTGGCAGAAAAAAATCGACTATGATTGATTTTGAATTATAAAAATAATCGATTATTAATCGATTATTTTTTCACATCCCTAGTACAAAATAACTTGTATGATTTAAAAATAAATCAGTGGTGCTACATTTTTAAGTCTGGGTTTCTGTATCGATTTCAATTTAATAGGCGATTAGGTGATCAGCCTCTTGTCCCTGACACACGCCGTAGACTTTTTTGGGTCCGCGGCAAACCTTTCGTGCTCGTTCAGACACGGCGGGAACCACGCGGTTTGAAAATCACACGGGAACCGCGCGGATCTTATTTACAAAGGTGTTTATATTATCGTCCACACATAATCGCGCGGTTAGTCCAACCGCGCGGTTACCGCCACTCAACCGCTAGAAAATAGAATCGTGCGGCACCCGCGCTGTCCTATTACTATGAAGATCTTACTCAGCGTTCATTAGCATTGCCGATTGCGGGCACCGCGCGATTAACACGTCATAACAAGAGCACGCGTGAGCTCGCTATCGCTTCGACACTGAGTTATTTATTGATGAAGTGGAGAGTTTTTCTTCTGGTGACACGCTTGCCTAATATGTGTTTCAGAGCTTGAAATATCTTCCCTGATTAGTTCAATGAGTTCATCAAAAGATTTTATTGACATTCTCAAATAGTCAAAAAAATTCTCTCAAACATTCTTAAATTGGGATATAGTGTAACAAATTGGCCATGTGGCAGTCGATTCTCTCTGAATCTGCCTTTCCTTTTTTTTCTGTATCAACTACAGACACGCAGTTCCTCTTCGACTTCCATCTTGAAACTGATCGCTACCTAACCGCCACTGTTTGAACAGTCGCCATTTTTGTGGTTCAAACCGCACGATCTGACAATCGCGCGGTTCCCGCCGTGTCTGAACTAGCACTAACTCACAATATTCTACTTCACCGTTCGAGCGAATGATATAAGTGTTAACGTAAAATTGTAAACACCGTTAGATTGTAATCTATCTCGCGAGATTATAAACTGTCGAAAGATTGTGAACCTCAGCGTACTGCTTACAATTTAACGTATTATTATTCGGTAGATTGTAATCTATCGAAGTGAAACCGTCAAATTGTGAAACGGATCGCACCTCGCGCGCTGATTGGTTGAACGGAATATGCCCCGCGCAACCATATTTGTTTGTTAATTCGTTTGTTGTCGAATGTAAATTGATTGTTTTGATGAATGTAAATTGATGTCGTGTTGAAAGTAACTCACAGCTTTAGAATTAGTTATATGAAATTGTTGGGAAGTAAAATTAATCTGTGATTGACCAAAGAAGTTTGAATGATATCTAAGTTAGTGTTGGAAATGAAATGAAAGAAAATTTCATTAATTTTTCAATTTACAAACAAAAATGGTGGCGCGGGGCATATTCTGTTCAACCAATCAGCGCGCGAGGTGCGATTCGTTTACAATTTGACGGTTTCACTTCGATAGATTACAATCTACCGAATAATAATACGTTAAATTGTAAGCAGTTCGTTGAGGTTCACAATCTTTCGACAGTTTAGAATCTCGCGAGATAGAATACAATCTAACGGTGTTTACAATTTTACGGTGACATAAGCACGCATAGAATGAAACTATTGGTGCCCAGCCGGGGATCGGAACTACCGATAGATCGACCTCAGAGATGAAAGTCGCATGCTGAAGCCTTGTGAAGATTTTCATAAGAAATAATAAAGAACTTGTGAATTTCGTCAGTTAAATGCAAAATTATTAGTGCGTAATGCAAGCGTTGTAAGCGACGTTAGAAGAATTGTAATTAATATTTTAAAAATAGAAATACTCATTTTACTATCTTAAACAAGGTTAAAACTATTATATATGTCACCGTAAAATTGTACACCGTTAGATTGTAATCTATCTCGCGAGATTGTTAACTGTCGAAAGATTGTGAACTCAACGTACTGCTTACAATTTAACGTATTATTATTCGGTAGATTGTAATCTGTCGAAGTGAAACCGTAAAATTGTGAAACGGCCATTTTCTACTTTTCTATTGGTTATAAGTGATGTGACATTCTCGTTTTCTATTGGTTATAAGTGATGTGACATTCTCGGTAAATTAATCGGATCGATTATTTCCTCATTTGTTATTTCTAAAGTTGAACCTAATCGAATCGATTATTTCCTCATTTGTTAATTTTAAATTTAAACCTAATTTAACCATTACTTGTCAAATGTACATACATTACATTAACTTCATGTTTCAATTAGTGTATGGTTCCGAAAATTTTTATTATATTTTAATAATTATTCAAAAAGTACCCAAAACCGAATCAGAGCACCCCACTATCCACGTGGTCTTGTCTGCCCTACCCATAGAGTGTATATAAAAAAATCGGAGGCGCAGTGGAAGAGCAGCCCCCACCCGCTGTAACAAAGCACAGGCATTATGCAAGCCGTAGCGGCTACGGCTGGTCCAAAAAGCCAAAGCTGCGGAGGCTTGAATAAATTGCCTGTGTTTTGGTACTCAAGGGTGGAGGGGCTGCATTTCCCGTAGCGCCGGTGCTGTCCAAAAAATTTATTATTATTCGGTTAGGTTAAGTTAGTATATTAATATTTTTTTTTAAATAACTGTTCAACTGAAACTCGAAATCGAATACAAAAACGTATACAAAAATCGATTTTCACTTTTAAAAAATAGATTATTTTTGAATAATTTCAAAATTTTTGAAACATGAAGTTAATGTAATGTATGTACATTTGACAAGTAATGGTTAAATTAGGTTTAAATTTACAATTAACAAATGAGGAAATAATCGATTCGATTAGGTTCAACTTTAAAATTAACAAATGAGGAAATAATCGATTCGATTAATTTACCGAGAATGCCACATCACTTATATTTTATAACCAATAGAAAACGAGAATGTCACATCTCTTATAACCAATAGAAAAGTAGGAAATGGCCGTTTCACAATTTGACGGTTTCACTTCGATAGATTACAATCTACCGAATAATAATACGTTAAATTGTAAGCAGTACGCTGACGTTCACAATCTTTCGACAGTTTATAATTGTATATAGTTTACTTTTTTTTTTACTCGACAAACATACAACTCGCTTCGGGTGCAGTATAATAACGCATTTAGGGTGTTGCTGGGGCTGCCTCGCTTCTGCAGTGCATCAAGAATGTTTGCAGAGGCGCGGGTGGATTGCTTTTTCGCCACTATGCGAAAGCGGTGCGCTTCTTTGGTGCGCCGGGTGCGGGGCTGCTCCAGCAACATCTTACGGATGATAGTCGAAAGAATGGAGTGCCCCTATTTACGACACTGCTCCGACATCTCCGCAGGGCTTTGTACCTGATAGTTTTTATTTAACTACTTTTTCCTTATTTTTACTAATTCTCTAACATAGATCTTAAGAAACTATTGTTACTAACTCACTAATCAATCAATGGACTGTATTTGTCTGATTAATAAAAATTATTATTATTATTATTATTATTACAATCTAACGGTTTTTACAATTTTACGTTAACATAAAGTAAATGAATACAAAAGAGTATTAATAATCCTTTATTAAACATTTTCACACAATAATGACATTAATCGACAGGTGCAATGAAAAGAGCGGCTGCGTGCAAAATAGCGTTCTGCGGCGTGAAGTTAGGCGCGAGTGGCGCAAACACTTCGCACACTAGCGCGTCCCTCGTCGCACTCGCGTACATTGCTAGGGTCACGCGACTGGTGCGGGACGCGCGACTCTGGAATTAAACATATTTTATTCTTTAATTTAGTTTTGCTAGAAAAACTTAAATGTAGCTAGTTTCCGAAGAGCTTTGTAAAATTTACATGAAAGCTCAAGAGTTTAACGTCGTAAGAAACATTTTTGTAATTAAGAATTTTTAATATGTAAAAGAAACATGATGTAAGTAGAAGAAGTAGTATGTAAGAGAATTTTTTTTTATCTGAACGTAACGCTCCAAGAGTCAAAATATTATGTATAAATTAAGAACAATAGTTTAATTTATAAAACAAAACAATACGTGGTACAATAATCACCTGTAATTCATTATCTCCTGGTACATATGTAAGTGACAAAGGTGGTGCAGGTAAGCAAGGCGGCGCGTGCGCATCTACCGGACACAAGCCTGACACGTCCCAACGACACCCGCTTAAGGACAGGCCGGTGACTTTCACGCTGTTTGAGCGCTCTTCATATTCTTAACAAATTAATTAAATTGTGTATTTTATGTAAATCTCAATTACCTAAATGAATAAAAATAAAAGATTAAAACCAAATATTTGGTTATTATGCTATGAATGATAATAAATTGAAAATACAATTTTGGATAAAATGCTGCTAAAACGTAAATAAGCATAATTTACGCTTGACATACAGCTGTCAGCTGTCAAAATGGCTTAGTTTATAATCTGTGATTTTCAAGTTATTTATATTTGTACCACTGACACTATAAAATCTATAAAGAGAAGCATAATAAATAAGCCAAAATTTCATATATATAAACCGCAATAATTATAATAGCATTATAATGATAAAAAAGAAAAGACAACTAGATTAAGAAATACAAGTATTATATCAAATATGCAATTTAATAAATTTAATATATTTCTTATTTGCAATTGTTATTGGTGACAGAACAATGGCTGCAGTTTTTTACGCCTGAAGATAATGAGACTGTCATAAAATGGATCAGCCTCGCATGTCCTCAAAGCGTCGTTAACTGCAGAAAGAAAACGTTTTTTTATAAAACAGGGGCAAACGGGCAGGCGGCTCACGTGATTTTAAGTGATACCGCCGTCCATGGACACTTAATGCCCGCGAGCGTGTTGCCGAAGAATTGGTACGCTCTTTTCTAGAAGGACCCTAAGTCGAATTGGTTCGGAAATACTTCAGTGGGCAGCTGAAACGCTCAGTTGCGGAACGACGGACGTCGAGGTGATATGGATGGTATTTTGTATTCAGCCTCGACATCTGAACTCCTCTAAACACTTTCCGTGGTAAATGCGGTAGAAGATGCAGAGAGACCCTACTTCTCTTCGAACACCAAGGGATCAATCAAGCTGCTCGCAAATAATTGGTTTTCGCAGATACGGCTTATAATGTATTAGTACACATATAAATGAAGTGGGTCCTCACTGCCCAAACGCATGGACGGATCGTTAATTTATGGGTATCAGGGCTATTACGGGGAAGCCCCCGTATCTAATAGACGCACATGCGAAAAAATACACCGGCTAAAAACAAACGACGGGGAATTCCCCGTTTCGTTCGATAGTAGCGTATCGCAAATAAGTTGATTAATCTCAGAGATTCCAACATTACGATTGAATTTTTAAATTAAATTTTTTTTTTTAAATATCGCCTTTTGTTTTGTTTCTGGGCTGCAGCCCAAAAATACCTTAAGTTGATCCGCCCCTGCCCGAACGTACATTTTCACCCAAAATTCTAGAAAAACGTAATTATTTAGATATTAGTAATTGCCTGAATTAAAGACATCCAAATTTAGATAAATACCTTTTTGGTCCCACTGCACATCCAACCTCAAAGAGTGAGGTGCGCATCCGAGTGTTGTCGCGGCATTCGCTTGTATAGCTCGCAAAGCACGGGCCGGGAATAGCAGGGAACGAAGGTCTAAATCTGTCCAAATCATTATTTATAACAAAATACGTTTTGGTATGAAGGTCAATTATAATTATAAAAGAATAAAAGTATTCAATATAAGAATTAAATTGTTAGCTTTAAACATGAATTTACAGCAGTATTGGCCATTCCAGCGTGCGACTCTCATCTTTGTGGTCGAAGGTTCGATTCCCGGCTGTGCACCAATGGACTTTTTATGTGCGCATTTAATATTCGTTCGAACGGTGAAGGAAAACATCGTGAGGAAACCGGCTTACCTTAGACCCAAAAAGTCAGCACATGTCAGGCACAGGAGGCTGATCACCTATTTGCCTATTTAATTGACAAATGATCATGAAACAGATACAGAAATCTGAGGCCCAGACCTAAAAAGGTTGTAGCGCCACTGATTTTTTATATTTTTAAACACGAATTTATAAATACTAACGTTTAGGCATAAAGTTGTCTGCGATTTTCTCAGTGAGCCGATTGGCGGAAGCTCGTGCTCGGAAACAGAACTCCCGGATGTACTCGTCCGGCTTATCCGGCCCGGACCATAACATTTGCCATTCTTCTGGTACCTATGGATATAACATTAAGCAAAATATACACGATATTTTCTGGATCCTTTAACTAGACTAGATATTTAATACGTAAAAAATCACATTTTAATTCTTCCCAACATTGACAAATACTCTTCTCTGAAAAAGATTGATTACCCGTCTTTGGACGATGCTATGACGAACTTAAACCTAAGCCTTGTATATAAAATGACTGATCCCAATGTGGCAACAGCGTTTCTTCTGACTGCGCTTGACACTGTAATTAAAGCAAATACGAAAACTTTAACCATCCCAAATCGTAAAAGGATCAAGAGGCCCTGGATGACTGCAGGTCTACTAAGATGTGTAAAGCATCGTGACAAACTACATCAAAAATCAAGAAAAAAATCCTAGTAACGAAATATTAACGTTAACTTACAAGAGGTATAGAAATTTTTGCAACTCACTTTTAAAAAATATTAAAAATACTTATGAGAGAAACCGCCTACTTAAAGCTGCTAAGACTAATACAAAAGTTCTCTGGGACACTATCAAACAACTAACCTACTCCAACAATACAACTAGCACTGCACTTGAATTGGTCTCTCCACTGGACCCGATGGTCTCTGTCAACAACATTAATAAATATTTCGTTTCTATCGGGAAAGAGATTGCCGAAAAAGCATATTCTAGTAGCTCTTATAAAAACCATCAATCAATCCTACACTGTCCTCATTCGTCATGCTACCTACTGATGTAGTTGAAGTTCAATCTCTTATCTTGCAACTGAAGAAGGACGGTGCTGCGGGCAGAGATAATATTTCTGGAGCCTTTCTCAAACGTTATCATGAAATCTTAGTCCCTCCACTTACATATATATTTAATTTGATTCTTTCTACAGGGATCTTTCCGGACCTATTCAAGCTAGCTGAAGTAATTCCGGTTTATAAAGGTGGTAATAGAGATTGTGTCGGTAACTACCGACCTATTTCTAAACTATCTACGCTATCCAAAATCATTGAGAAATTGATAAACAAACGCCTCATCGATTATTTAGAAAGTAATAACCTACTCTCCAGCTCACAGTTTGGATTCAGACCGGGTTCATCAACAAGCGACGCAGTTCATCAATTAACTGATCATATTGTTACAAAACTAGATAAGAAAAATAAAATTTTAGCTGTATTTTTGGACATTGCAAAAGCTTTTGACGCGGTCGCTGGTCCTATTCTGCTGGATAAATTGGAGGCTTTGGGTATTCGTGGTTTGCAGCTTAAACTATTTGATAGCTACTTGAGTGATAGACAGCAAAGAGTAAGGGTGGGCAACATTGTTAGTGACGATTTGCCGATACGCTATGGTGTGCCACAGGGTAGTGTTTTAGGTCCGACACTGTTTCTGGCATTTATCAATGATCTTTGTGACCTCCAGTTACAAAATGGTAAAATAATAACATTTGCAGATGATACTGCACTTGTGTTTCATGGTGATAGCTGGAAAGATACTGTCGACATTGCTCAAAGAGGATTCGACGTTGTTAACAAATGGCTCAGAATGAATGCCCTAACTATCAATGTCAATAAAACTAAATGTATACCGTTCTATATAAAAACTCCTGGTTCTAGTACTAACCTTGGTTTAACTGCTCATGTATGTTCTGATACTGATTCTTGTGACTGTCAAAAGATCTTTGTTGCCAACAATACTAAGTATCTAGGTGTCGTTGTTGATAGCACGCTAAAGTTTAACTACCACATTGACCTGCTACTATCGCGAACTCGGAAACTTATCTTCACCTTTAAGAATCTCCGTAATATTGCTGAGAAATCGATAATTAAAATGGTTTATCAATCCCTCTGCCAATCCGTTTTAAGCTATTGTGTTACTGTCTGGGGAGGGGCTTGTAAAACTAATCTTATAAAACTGGAGAGGGCTCAGCGTGCGTTATTGAAAGTAAGTTATTCTAAACCATTTTTTTACCCTACCAAAGATCTATATCTTTTATCTGACGTGTTGAGTGTTCGTCAACTATTTATACTGAACACTGTGCTCAAACAACACTCCATAACTCGCTATGATCCTTCTTTGAATGACAACAAACGATGCAAATATAAAGTCTGCACCTCAGATACCCGTTGGTCCACAGCTTTCTCAAGAAGGTTTTTTGGTTTTATGGGCTGTCACCTATATAACAAGATAAACAGGTTGATCAACATATATCCGCTTACTAAATATGAGTGTAAAAAAGCCACAGTCAAATGGCTTAAAAATCTAGACTACGAGGGGACTGAGAAGTTGTTAGTAGTCCTCAGCTAATACCTAACACTAACACGTTATGTATACGAGTACATAGGTACACTATCACCCATGCTCATGTATGCTTCACTAAGACATATATACACTAAGTCATAAATTCACTAACACATACATACATTAACACTTACATACACTAAACCATACATGCACCATCACACACACCCACTTAAATGTGAGTATATTTGTAATATTTGTAATATTTGTAATATTTGTAATAGTCTCTCGATCAAATTGATGTACCTACTTAATTCCATTCGGTCCGGATGCGGAGGGACTGGCAATCTGTAATACAGGTATCCTAGTACAGTCGCCAGTCTCTCACACAGATTTTGCCTGTTAATGCTGAAATTTGTATTTTGTGTCTGTATTTTTGTGTGAGAGAAAACAAATAAATATTTTTTTTTTTTTTTTTTTTTTTTTTATTGAATTCCATCAGTATACAAGGTGTTTCATAGGTAATCGCATTAAAATGATAACGCACAAGAGCTCAACGATTTCAAAATGTCAATTAAATCTGTTAAGACGTTTGTTCACAATAATATTATTTTGTTTTTTACAAAAAAGCCCCCAGATATATCATCACTCAGTGAAGATGCATTTTGCCGCCCTTCTGACTCACCAGATAATAGACGCTTTTAAATTACAATAAAAAATACGTACGACATGCAAGTGCGCGTCGGTATGCAGTCGATGCGCATACGCAGCCAGCGTATGATGGATGGCCCTCGCACTTCGCTTCGCGTCACTCGATTCACCTGCGCATACGCACGTCCACCAGTCACTGCCGCGCTGCAGACATTTTTATTACCGTTTAAAACAGCCTGGGAAATTTTACCATATTGTTTTATAATGTATTGTTCTAAAATATCTTTTATTTTTTTTAACGAACAGAGCGAGGGCAAACGGGCAGGAGGCTCAATGCCAGAGGGCTCGCGAGTGCAATGCCGGCCTTTTAAGAATTGATACGTTTTCTTGAAGGACCCTAAGTCGAACTGGTTCGGAAATACATCGATGGGCAGCCACAGGTTCCAAACAGTGGTAGTGCGCGGAAAAAACTGCATTTGAAAACGCTCAGTTGTGGAACCACGGACTGTATTTTGTTTCATCAGCGGAGATCGAGGCAAAATACGAATGCAAACAAATACTTTACCATTTCGACAGAGAAGTCCGGTTTAAGAAGAGGATTCCCGGCCATAAGTTTCTTCCACAACGCCAGAAGTGATTTTATTGGTGCTGTGCTTGTGTTTTTCTTTGAAACAGTCGAATTCATTTCTGAAAAATTTAGAAGGAAATCAAACAATTGAACAATACAAAACATATTTATTATGAAGAGTTACAGAAATCTTCCTACCTCTGAGACCTGAGACAATATTCTCCGCAGCCTTCCTCTCCCACGCAAGGCGACAGTTCTTAGCCAAACCCAGAAGTTCAGGAGAATCCAGTTCCGGCAAGTTCTCAAGCGCAGATATGTAATCCTGAACAGTGATTCTTATAAGTCTTTCAAGTTCGGTTCGCCATTACTCATTTGTGGAATAGACATTTCATTATCTTTAATAGCGGTTAAAACTTAAATAATTAAAAAAATTAAATAGTACAGTTAAGACGTTAGAGACGTATTCAGCAAGCTGAAACGTGATTTCTGATCATTTCAAGAGATGGTCCGTTTTCAGGCGTTTTCAGGACTGATTATATGATGAGGGAATATTCTAGAGTGAACTTTCTAGGTGTGAGACAAGGACGGATATTGTGCGATAAGAATAGAACACCAACTTCTCAGCATCACTCGTTCTCAGAAATATTGTTTGCGATTATTCCCAGGGATATTAAGTGGGCCGAAACGTGACCAAAAAATTTCTTTCGGGTGCGATTTCAAGAGATTAACATCGAAGAGATAAAGTACTGAAGTGCGTGAAATTGAAGTAATTACTGACAGTATTTTGTGCATTTATTAGTTTCTCCGCGTAATTTGTGTCTTTAGTGTATTTAAAATCCTTGCTGATTAAAATAAACCCTTGAAGAGATCTACACCGTTTTCTATCTGATCTTCTAGCTCGTAACAATGTAATTTTTAAGTAATTAACTACAATAAGGAAATAAACAACAAAAACAAACCTTTAAATGAACTGAAAATGTACGTATGTTTAACAATATGAAACGTACCTGCAAACTGTCTGCGTAGGGCAAAGGCGCATTCAGCCCGGGCAACGTATACGTATTGGCTTGAGAAGAATCTCCCAAACTCGAAGCCACCAGAGCTCGAAGCACGCGTCGGTCGGGTGCCGTGGGGACGCGAGCTGCGTACACGGCCTCGCACAGCGAGCGAGACGTGTTCGTACTTTGGGATACGCACGCACGCACAAGGGACACTTCGCCCCAACCCCACTCGTAGTATTGGCTCCAACCTTAATTATTGTAAATGCAATAACAGTATAAACTTAAGAGCCGCGAAGCGAAGACGCTGTGTCTAGTATCAACAGTTCGAAGCTGAAACATCTCTCTCTATCTCGAAAAGTCTCTTACTTATGATACTAAATATTGTATAATAGAATTAAAGATAAATATTATATATGTATATGTATTACTCATGTCTCCTGCAAAAAGCCCATACCCATATTTCAAAAACTACTGTACTTATTTCGATGAAACTTGGATTGTTCCCTAAAGTGGATAATACCTTTAATATTAATAAATGTAGTTTTACCTAAGGGCACGTACGCCCTCCGTTCCAATACCAAAGCATGCAATATCGAAAGGTTGACCAGACGCCTCGTAATTGTCGCGTTTTGAGAACTACTCCAAGTACTCAACACGCTGCATACATTGTGTTTCACGCCCTCTGCTGTCTAAAATTTAAAAAATAACAATTAAATCTATTTTTGTGATAAAAAAAATTTGAGACTAAAATTGATAAGTTTAGTAGTCATATTAGGCTTAGTTCATAAAGATTTTATTTATTTATTTACACTTCGTTGCATTACAATATAAAAATTTAACATCATTAAATGTAAAGGACTGGCGGCCTTATCGCTTTCGAGCGATCTCTTAAGGCCGATTTACATTATCTTAGTGCTTAGGAGAGTATTTTAGTACAAGTTGAAAGGCAAGTTCTTTAGTGCTTTAGTGCGTTGCGAGTGAACGTTTACATTTCTTCCAGTAAAGTATCATTACAGCGCCACAATGAAGGCGCAACGACGTCGGCAAATACGCTCTATTCTACGCAAAATACTAACTGTAGTAATGGAAAAAATAGAAGACGAGATTTTATTCGAAATAAATAAACTAAATATAAATAATAAATAAAATAGCTTCTTTTAAGGCAGTGTATGCCGAATGCCTAGCCTGTTTGTTTTTGTATAAATTGTTTTTAACGTTCCACAAACATTCGAGAACAACATATTCAGACACAAATTTGATAGTTGTAACTTCCGACCATTTAGCCATCTTTAAAAATAAAAAAACACGCACGCGTTTCACGGCACTTGTGCACTCTCCTAAAGATTTTACTAAATTACGTGTTTACACACAACGAGGGAAGATCTCGGGGGGTGCGCGGGCGCGGGAGGGGTATCACTTGAAACAAAAATAAAAAGCGATTCTATTTTGATTCAACTTGAAAGTCAAGTAGAACCGTACTAAAGCAAGTAGCGTTCATGTTTCAACTAAAGTACTATCCTAAAGCACTCTGCTAAACACTAAGATAATGTAAATCGGCCCTTACAGGCAACCACTGTGAGAAAAGAAGAAAAACGTATTAAATTAGATAAGGTAGGCAAGAAGTGCAAAAATACATATTACATAAAGTTAAGTTATTAAGATAAAGAAAGAAACAAAAAACAAACTAAACTAATAAAGGATACATGAACAATAAAAAGTAAAAAATGAAAAGTGCACATGAATCATAATAATTTAATTTAAGATCAGTCTCACGTCTCACGATTTTTTATAAATTATCATACAAAAACCCCATTTATACACACCTCAAGTAATACATTGACACAGGAACCGGATATCGCAGCCGGAACTTCGCGATCTTCAGCGACAATCCACACGCGGACGTCACTATTGAAGTCTTCGACCTGAATCAGGAAATGGATCAACAAGGTTAAAAGGTTCATTTCATTCAAGGGATATTTTCTGATCTACGAAGACAATTATAATCAATAATTAAAACGATTTATCAGAACTAATTTTTTTCAGAAATTTTCAAGATAAATGTTAACAAAAAGATGATTTTGTAAAGATTCTTTCAAGTATTTGTAATGCTTTTGCGCTTGCTAACATTTAAATTAATTTTTTTTACATACTCGTGTTTATATACTAATATAATATAATGTTTGCATACTCTTTAAACAGCTAAAGTTATCACTTCACTTATTAAGCAACAGATGGCGTTGTGCATGAGAAAAACAAAATAACGTCATAGAAATTTTAAGTTTGTAAAAGTCTGATCTTGCTCTCTCTCTTTGTTTAATAATAAAGAAGTCATTTTGTACGTTAGGTTATTTTTGTCCATACCGGTCGATTCTTCAGGTCATCTAGGAATTCCCTAAGAGCCTTGGAGAAGGGCGAAGCTCCCACGTTGATGGCGAGCCAGCCTCCTTCGCGAATGCTTTCGATAGCTCCTTCCCACGCTTGACGCCCTTCGTCTATTCCCATCTAAAATTCATATTTTCTATAAACCAGATGTAAAAAAACTTTCATCAAAATTCAAATTCAAAAATCATTTATTCACGTAGGTAACACAATGTACACTTGTGATTCGTCATTAAAGAAATACATATTAATGCTTCTAATTTTACATTTACTGCCAGTTCACAAATCAAGGGCGTAGAACGGAAGAGAAGAACTGGCAATAAACTCTCCGCCACTCTTTTTAATCGCCATGTTTTTTTTACACAACGTTTGTAAGGAGCTGCAACCATTACACAAGGTTCCAAATGACATTTTTGATTAATAATATAAAAAAAATTAAAGAAAAAACTAAGTTTTGTCCTCTATCAGCAGTAGGCATGGTGAAATAGGAGCACGCACTTACATTCTCGTGGGAACAACACGCAAACACATAGTCGAAATAATCAACATCACCGCATACACGAATTCAAGTACGACCAGTCACCACAAGTAGCACCCGTTCACGAGTATGACGCATGGCCAGCCATCGGCCCCCTCGCCATATTTTAGGGAGAGAGACAACCCGACGCATGGACGCCGCCACAAGCAATGACATTTAAGCGAGCATGACGATCCTTGAAATGTGGACTTGGCTACATAAGAAAATAATAATAATACTGAAATAATTTGATACCACATGGATCACGGTTTGTCCTTACGGTAAATAAATTAAAATTACAGATAAAAGGGAAACTGACGAAGTAGGTCGAACAAGTATGGGTGGCATTGAAAGATGCCTTAGTCTCAACGGCTACTAATCGCTAGGAATCGCTAAGAGGGAAAAAGATGGAGGATGGTGGAAAAAATGCACGTAAGAATGACGAAGCAAAAAATACAGTAAGAGAGAAGAAAGCGTGGTTATCCTGTCTGTCGAGGTCTAGGAAAAAACTAAATAAAGCGTCGTATATGGTAGTGGAGGAATTTAAATTTTGACGTTATTAATTTGTTCTCCTTCATTAATTGATTAAAAGCGTCTTGACGTATTGGCCCTCAAATCAGTGGTGATATCGGGAAAATGGTGGTGGGGATGTAAGATGAAATAGGCTCGTAGTTCGAATCGGCAGTAGCATACTCTAATTAGGGTACTATTTACTAACATCTCATCATTTAGATACATATTATATTGAATAATGTAATATGTATCTATTAAAAACCTCAGCAACTGGTATTGTAAAATCTACAAAATCAAAGAGATTTTTGCGTTTAAATGGTGACCTGTATAAAGCGGCGTGGATAAGCGTGTGCCTGCAACTGATCAGCCGCGTGGGTCCCCAGAAGCAAGACACAGCGCTGCGGTGATGACCAACGGTGGGCTTTGCGGATCTCATCACCACCGCTCATCACTCCAGCTCCTGTAAAATTTATATAATTACTCGACTCGTTATCATATAAATTTAGCAAACTTATGAAAAACTTAAACATATTTAAAACGAAACAGGCGCAGTTTAAAGAGTAGCATTGAATAGTATTCGTGTAGTAAACTATACTATTGTAATAGCCAAACTTTATACCTGAAGAAAATATAAAGAATCGGAATCCAATTCTAGATAGAGATTATATCTGGATAGTTTGACTATCTCAATTATCCAAAGATTGGGAGATTTTTTAAGAATATATATTATTTTGTAGTTTGTGCTGTGCCAATATGTTAATCTGATATATGACGATTGAGTTACGATAGTATATCTCACCTAACATTAGATCCACCAACAGGATCACGGCCCGGTACAAGCTATTCGGCCTCAGAGCGGACACTGCCACGACCGTCTCAAATATTGTCAACCCCAATTTGCTCATCACTCTAAAGTCTCCGGACTTCATAAAATCCAACCATAACGTGTTATTTAACGAAAGCTTGTTAAATAACTCTTCATCTTCCACCTGGAAATGTAAATATATATATGTACAGTCATAACCTTTTAAAGGTCCCGGCTGAATTCTATGAAACAAATAACAGATTTTGTTAATTTTTAATTTAATTTTCATGTGAAATAAATAGTGTAGTTTTATTTTATACATGAATAGTAACATTTTCGGTTTTTACTGTATGTATAACAACTATAATTATAGAACAGAATAACAGAGTATCTTCCCCTTAATAGAAACTGGAAGTAGTAGTAATATTGGCCACTTTCTTGTGTCAAATATTCTTTTTAGTAAATTAGTTTAGACAAAAATTACTTATTAGTAAAGTAGGCTAGATGGTAATGCATGGAACATCTCTCAATGAAGAAAAAAATTATGGTTATTTATTTATTTATTAATTAATAAATAGGCAAACCAGCCTACGGGACGCCCATTAAGGGCCGTCATCGCAGACCATAGACTTACATTTTAATGTGTGCGTTATCGGCTTTTGACATGGGAGTATGCTTTCTTTTTTATGTTCCATACGTTTTATAAGAATCAAAAAGAAAATCCGTTTCATTCAAATCATAAAGCATCTAGTCTGGATCTTCGAAGTTTAATTTAAGGATTCATCAAATTCTGTTTAGTATTTGTTGAGATATCCACGCATTGGGTTAGGTTGACAGCTATTCAAAGTCAGTTTGATTGTCCTATTTATTATATTAAACTATAATCTTTATAATTTGAGGCGCCCTGTACACTTACCTTAATGCTCGCAACTCTTTTAAGACAATCATCGGGAATCCAGTTGTAAACATTCTTAATTGCAGCAATTTCTCGATCGTCAATCAGTTCAAAGCTTCCGATAAACAAATGCCAGAGCTGAAACAAAATATTACTATAAAACCTCATTTTTTGTGCCGCACCTACGAAATTATTTCCAAGCAGCTGATCCCAATGTGCTGTGAAGGGTGGGGTCTTCTACTCGGATTAACGAATTCATTCAATTAAAAATAAGATATTCCACCCGTATCACCTCCGTTTTTTAAAGCATTTTGGAAGTTAGCTGTCCACTGAAGTATTTTCTAACCAATTTGACTAAGGGAAGGGACGGCGACGGCAAGAAAAGAGCGGACCAATTCTAAAAAAGATTGGCAACGCACTCGCGAGCGCTCCCATGAACACTCTCAATGCCAGAATCGTATCAATTAACCTCAGATGAGCCTGTCCGTTTGCCCCCTGTTCAATAAAAAAAACTAATTTATAAACACCTCAAGGACGCAGCAATTGGCCCTTAATTATCGTGGTGATTCCCGATAGCTTTGAGATAATACTACCAGCTACCATCAGCTCCGGCTCCGTCTGTTACCTAGGTCTCTTGATGAAGACATCCCGTACTTATTTATAACTCACTATTATGTGTTGGGGTACAACTGTACGATACTGTACGCTTACGGATCTAATTACATACACTACACATAATAAACAGATTCTCCTGACACATATCTCATATAAATTTACAAAATTAATAAAATCTCAATTAATAATTTATCAACCAACCTTTTCTGGTATTACGTCTTCGAACACTTGCTTCAGCAAATGCAATACTACACTATATTTGTCCTTTTTGTGCAAACTGAGAAGCACGCGCTCTACTGTTCTTCTCATTAGGTATTTTACGACCTCGTTGGAGCTGATGTTCTTTTCATCCTGGAAAGAGTTTAGGTTACATTACTGTATACGTTTTGGCTGACTGAAAGATGTTCAAGATAGAGAGAGATGTAGCCGTTTGAAGGACTCTTCAGAGGTCCTTGAAGAAAAATATAGCTGTTTTTGTTTTAAATTACTGTCTATCTTTTGTAAAAAGTATTGTTTCATGGAATAACTGACGCTTAATTATTATTATTATAAGTTTTGGCCCTTATTTATGGCTGGAATTCATCACCTCACGTGTCTCCAAGTAATAGACCGAATAACAAGATTTCTTCTTGAATCAAAACTTGCAAATAAATTTAGGTTTTTGTCGTTCTAAAAGCAAAATTAGATTCAAACAGTCGTCTCAGAGTCGAGCCTATAAGTACCAAATGTCAAAAACTTATTGGATTTTGACCACGAGGAGTCATAGTCGATTCTAAGTGCTAAAATTAAAAAATATGTGTACATCGCGGGACGCCCGACAGAAGGGAAAACTTAAACTAACCTTACGTGAACTATTTAATATTGAAATTGTTTAGCTTGAGAAAACTTTAAATTATACTAATATTACTCTGAGTAAAGAGAGGGGTAAGCGTTTGTCCGAAATATGGCTAGCACTGCGGGTTAGAGTGAGAGAGGAGACTGTATGTGTGAGAGAAAAGGAAGCTAGACAGACTGGCGCCGTAACGCGTTACGTAACGGTTTACCCTCCCATAAAAATCACTTCAAAAATATTTTTTTGAATTAGTCCTAAATTTATGGACATACCGGGCTTCTTCGAATAGCGTCAACGTAAGCCTCCAACATCGTGTCAATGGGCACTGACACCAAAGGCTTTTTCGCAGCCAACTCCTTGACAGCGAGAACCAAATGCGCCGCTTTCAGCGCACTTTCTTCAAACACTTTGCACGAAGCTTTGAACTCTTCTTCAATAATTTGAGCTGAGCTTAGAGACTCCGATATAGTTATACTCGTGTCTCGGGTCTTGCTTAAGGAGGCTTTCAAGTTTGCGTCGTGTAATATGTCGCTGTTGCTCGAGAGATCTTTCAGAAGGTTTTCCTAAAATATATATATATATTTATATATTGAATTGACTATGTAATATTAATATAAAATACCACAGGCAAGTTTGTTTAAATGTTTTGAATAATTTTGGATCCGTTTTTACAATCATAACAGCTTCTAGAATATAAACTAGATATTGTCAAAATTATCAATACCAGCCCTAATACATTTTTTCTAAGACGCTCTTCATATTAAGAAAAAGAAATTTTAGCGTCTAACTGCACTTAAAAAACTTGAGAACTCTTTCCTCTCTATCTCATTGAGTTAACTGCGTGATAAAAAGAGACCGATGAGTACGTTCGTTGACAATATATTAGACATATTCACCTGCAACTCGTGAAGTTGGTTTTGCAGCAAAGCCTTCTTTAACTTAATTTCCTTAATCTTCTCGTTCATTTCGGGATTTTGCTTTTGCATCGTGTAATGTATTAATTGATCTACAAAAAGATTTAATTCATTTATTTTAAGTATTAAGGGTAAATTTGTATTTTTCTATGGCAAGTAGGTGATCGGCCACTAGTTTATTTTGAACAAAAAAATGTCGACAAAAAGGTTTTCAAGACAATACACTTAATCTATATTTTGATATATAATAAACTAACCGAACAACGCATGCAGCCTCGCAGTGAAATACAAAGGGCTAAGAACGGCGAGCACGTACGCGGGCAGAGAGCGTACGAGCGACGGATCGCGCGTCACGAGCAGCACGTTTCCTTTCGCGCCCCACCACGAGGCGTGTACGCACTCCACGTCGTATATCACCAGGGTACGATTAAGTCTGTAAATAATGTTAAAAATAAAACCCTCATCTTGCTTCCGCTTGTTGCAGGTTTCTGTAATGTTTTTAAAAGGTAAAACACACCGTAAATCCTATCAGTTAAAAATAAAACCTTCATATTTTTTCAAACAAAATCTGTTAATTGCAAATCTGAAACTAGTGGAAAAAAATTGTTTTAAGTGCGACGTCTGTTTTTAATACTTTTAATGAATTCCAGAACCTAGAATCGTTAATTTATTATCTTAAATAGCATGATGACATAATTAAGTACCTCTTTTAAAAATCTTCTCCATAAACACCTCTTAACCATATCCTATCCTGCTCAATCGTGATTTTTGTAATTCATGTATTTGAAAATTCTTTTGTATTGCATTGTAATTTATGAGATAAGCTTTAATTTAATTTTATTAATTTATTTGATTTTATTTTAGATTAAGTTTGGTAATGTTATAGTTTTACAGTGTCACTTGTTGTGACTTGCACTTTACCCTTAGTATTATTTTTTTAGTTTTTTCCTTACTAGGGTTGCCTGGAAGAGATCGCTTGTTAGCGATAAGGCCGCGTTGCATTCCTTATTATTTATGTTATTTGTTTTTATTTAATGTAATGAATTTTTATAAATAAGTATTATCTAGTACATTATCCATGTACCATATTGGAATACTTAAAGCGAAATTACCTTATAGCATATTGCACAGCAGTCTGCAGCTTATCACTATTCTGCGAGACGAACTCAAAGGATGATCCGTTGAGGGTCTTTTTGAGCCAGTTCATGGCTTCTCCATCAGGGTCTATTATTAGTGGTGTCAGCCCACATTTACGTGAATCCAATATCTAAAAAGAGGTATGTCGACTGTTTAGTGAGCATTTAACTGTAAAAACATGAAAAATTTCGATAAAAATTTACTTTTTATGTTTAAAAAAATCTAAGAATTTTGTATTATAATGTCTTCATATAGCAAAATAATAGACATATACTACTAATTTATTACGCAACACGCAAAGTTTTTATTGGATTATTATAAATAATAAAAAAAAATAACAATTTTTTTTAAAGAATAAGTTACATTTTAAGTCTATAATGTGTGTGTGTTGTGGTTGTAACAGGCCCTGGCACAGCAGCTAGTTTGCGCCTCAGACGCAAAAAACAAAAATAATATAATAATAGTAGAGAAAAAATTATAGTAAAAATTTACAATGTAAGTAAAGAAGTCTTGTATAAAAAAAAATAAAAATAAATTGTTATTCCAAACAACTATTATAACAACTTGATATCGAAATAGACAAATCAATCTTTCCTTTTGAAGCCAAAGTTTCACTTTAATTACCTGATCAATAAGAACGGCATTCTTCAGCGCAGACTGGTCCAAAGGTAATCCGTCAGCTTCCCATTTCACCTGCTTCTCAGGACTGGACAGGAAACTGACCACGGAGAAGCTTTTGGTTTCGTATCCTAGTAATTGGCACCATTTTTGTATTTGAACTCTGAAAGGTGTGAAAAAATTTTTTTTAAAGAAAATTGGTGCCAATTTGCCAATTTTTTATCTAATAAAACGATTTATTTTCCTTAATATTGTTGTTATCTATATTAAGAAAATAAATGTCACTAAGTATTTGCGGTTTAAAAAATAATTTTCATTAAAAAAAGAAAATATGTCCAGTGTAATAATGGAACCAGAATAGGCTTTAAAAAACAGTTATATGGTGATTACATAAAAATTAAAATAAAATAACAATTATATTTAATAAACTCAAATAAAGATAATTACTCTGCTTGTTTCTCGGTGAGGTCAGGTAGGAATACCACGTATGCGGCCGCCAACAGCGATCTCTGATTCAGTTCCGATATCTCCCGAGATATATTTTGTAACTGTAATCAAATATGGATAGTTTAATAATCACGTAATTTTATCATTAAAATTATGGGCGAAGATGCCCCCACATCCCACATAATGGTAGAAACTCTTCTCTTAATGGGATGAGCCATCTTCGGTACCACTGTGGCATAGGAGAGTTTTGAAGTGTGATATAAGAGTAAAATCATGACACGATACTGATAATTCAATTCCTTTTTTTCATTTAAATAATTAAATAATTTTGACAATTCGTGTAATTGTAATGTGTACATAATTTCGCTGGGCGTGTCCAAACGGGCGTGGCATGGCGTGGGCACGGCACGTGTGTCATGTGTTTGTCCTAATTTTGGAGACCAAATAAAAAAGAAAGCTAAGTGCAAAATACACGCGTACACGAATTTAATAGGTTTTTTTTAGAAAACATGGTTAAGAGTTATTCAAGTGTATTGCTCTTCTCATTTGCTTTACGTCCTAGATGTGAGAACTGGCTGTAAATGTAATTTTAGAGAAATGTTATTGACGATCAAATCATGCAATGCAAAAGTTATAGACAAAAATTTTACCCACATCAGTCTCCCACGTCCGATACTCGTTCGCCAAATGTTCCAATAAGCCATTAGCGTGTTGGATGGTGTCAGTCACGGCTGTCAGTCGCATCTCCAGAGCTGCCGCGTCCCGAGTGTGCTGGCCGAGTTGCTCCTTCAGTGACGTCACACGTTCCTCCACCGACGTCATTCCGCTCGATAGGGCTTCCAGTTCGCTTTCCGCTTGTTGCAGGTTTCTGTAATATTTTTAAAGGGTAAAATATACCGTAAATCGTATCAGGAACGGATACAAGAAACGAGAACACCGACTTGTGCAATTGCCTCTGCTGCGTCTGCAGTGGCTTTACTCGGAGCAGCGCGTGCGCGTGCGCAAGGTTGGCGTGCACCCAGGCGGCCAGAGGGGCGCACGCGGCGCTGGCCCGACGCGCAGTGGCCTGCTCGAAAGATGCTCCGCGTTTCTCCAACAGGCGCTGCACTGACTCTATCGCCTCGGGGCTTATGTGACTCGCGTCTAGGCATCTGCAGATGTTAATACATAAGCCTTACATTACAAAGCCAGGACAGTAATGTCGAAATTTAAAATAAAATATGTAGTATTAAGTACATAATATATACAATATCGCTACTTTAAACTCACTCTGCGAACATATATAGATGTCGATTGTGTCAGCTGTGCTGTGTGATGCTGAATGCTGTCAGCAGGGTAATAATTGGTCAGACATTTTTTTTTTATAGATCTATCTATGCATTTACGCACACCTTGCCCCCGCAAATAACAGGGGTATGTGCGACCCACACTAGAAACTCTGCTGTTTAGAGCCTGGTCAGACCTACAAACCTCCAAATTCTCCGGAGTCGAGTCCTTGGATCAAATACTTGGATATTTCAAAGAATTTTGACAAGTTTGATAAAAATCTATTGCTACTAGTCTGAATATAACTACCGTATATCCTCTTTGACGCCTCGCTTCGACAAGAAGCTCTTCATAGAATGCCAAGACGTATCAGCGATCCCCATCAGTCTCAACACCCCTTCGAGCACGTCTCGGACCACGTCTGGTGGCGCACGCAACGATCGCATCTATACCAAAATTTACACTTATTTAATTTGATACGGGTTTAGGTCTTATTTTGATAAATAAAAATTCATTCATTTCATAGATTTTTTTTGTGTATCGCATGTCATCAATTTTGCATTTAGACATGCCAGTTTCCTCACGATGCAAGCGAGTTTTAAATGCGCACATAATAAAGTACAGCCCTTGGTCACAGCCAGGGAACAAACCTACGATCTCAGGGGTGAATTGACTCGCGTCTTCTTGCGGGTTGAATCCATGCCAACACTGCTGCAATATAACTCTCTACAAAATAGGTATTTTAATGAAATAACTTACTTCACTAAGAGATTCAGGTTTGATATCACCTACGGCAGCTCGAGCGGCCGCAATCACAGGTTCTACTGCCGCTAATTCTTCTTCTATTTCTTTTTTACTGAAATTCACATACAAAGTTACTAAGCGTAGTACAGGTGTAGACTGCTGTTTAGTTTTAAACAAATTAGTCTAAAAGATATTAAAAAAGATATAAAGTCGTCTTTCCCAATAACGCGAAAACGAAAACCTTATTTGTATGAATATTTGTAAATAGATTTTAGTTTATTTATTTATTGAATGATAACTCAGAAAAAAAGAATTTTACAATAATTTGGTAAAACATAAATTAGACACAGGTTTAAGAAAAGACATGGCGCTGTGTATGTGAAAAACAAAATAACGTCATAAAAATATGTAGTTAGGATTCGATATATATATTGAATTCACGGTTAAAAGTCTGTAAAGGCCCTTTAGGCCAAAGATTCCATTAAAAAAAATATGTAGCAGTTAGTTCAAGGTAATATAAATTTTCCTCTGTTTGATAAATAACAAAGTAGTTTCAATAGTGTGTGGTGTGTCATTTCCTATATAAGTCTCTTCTGTTGCTTATTTATTTTAAGATACCGTATTTGCAGCTTCTCATTCTCCATCTCTATATTCTTCTTCAATATCTGCATCTCCTCGTGCTTATCCGTGTTGGCTCTCACAGTAGCGCCGATCTGCTCCAACGCTTTATTCGCTTTCTCCCTCTTATCGTTGAGTTCCAGCTCTTGTTCCGCCGCCTGCGATTGGAGTGCACCGACGTCGCTGCGGGCTCGACGGAGGGCCTCTACGCCGGCCTAACAGAATTATTTAAATTTCACAAATAATAATAATTATGGACGATAACAGCGATGACTCTTCATAAAATTGTCGGCGTTTTTATCATTGAACGACGAATTGAATGTACTTTTAACAACCTAAAAATGACTTCTACAGATCTGGTATCCTGTACGGATTTATAAATATAAAATAAAATATTACAGAAGACAAGTATAATTAAATGATTGTGATTCAATATCTACTTATTTCGTGATAATTTATTTTTCTGGTAGCCTTTGAAGGTGATCGACCTTTTGTGCCTGACACACCCTGCCGACCTTTTGGGTCTAAGGTATGCACAATGTTTCTTTGAAGAAGAATGAAGACGGAAAATCCATTAGTGCAAATCCGGGATTCGGTACACGTCAGGGTTGAAAGTCTCACGCTGAAGCCACTAGGCCAATATTGTATTTTTTTCAGAGAAGCATAGAAATAAAGAAATACTATTTAAAAAAAACTTACCGACAACATCTTTAGACGTTGCACAAGTGTCGTCTTCTTTTTAGTGACAATATTATAGAATGCTTTGATGAAATGCATGTATCGGTATGGATTCTTCAACCAGTGCTCTTCTACGCTATTGTAAATGCTGATCATTCCCTCCAATGGAATGTCGATTTGTTCGTCTTTCCATATATCATCACTGTCTTCTTTAATTAACCTATAAAACAGGAATATATTTCTAAAACGTCTTCTACAGGCGAGAATAATTTCTGGAAAGAAATGAATGCTTGGCGTACCTAATACCGCCCTATCGTCAGGCCCGTAATTAATTAAGCCTGTGAGATGTGGACACCAACAAAGAGTATATTTAATAATAATAAAAACTCATGACAAAAAGGTTGTGAGAAAATCCATCTATCGCTAGTCGCCGCACTAGGTTGTCCTTGTTTTGTGAGTATTACTAGTTAAACTAGATAACAATTAGTCAGTGGTACATGGTACATGTTTAAAACAGTTTCTTGAGAAAAAGTAGGTTTAATGTTACAACTAATCAAACACAAGTCTTATAAGACATTAAGTATGTGTGAATGGGTGTGTGTGCGCATGTATTTGAGAGTGTAGCTAAGAGTTGTTAAAAACGTGTTTTTTTATTTGAAAGGAAAGTTCGGAGATGGTTATTTGGGTCCGTTATAGAATGGAAAATATAGTCAAATTTGCTAAGCCCAGAGACTGTGATGAGTAGGCCACTAAGGGCGGATGCCGACCAGGTCACCAAAAGAAAGGCTACATAAAAGAACCAGGAAAAGATGAAAAGATTGAGTCGAAGAGGATTTAAGAATGAGAGGAATGGGAGAAAGTTACCAAGGATAAAGAACAGTGAAGGAGATTGAGACCCATAAAAAAGTTGCACCGCTACTATTTCTGATTTAGTTTATACATAAAAAGAAAATAGTGAATGCAAAATACTCTACCTGATAAGAAAAGGTGCTAAGTCACACTAGGTGCATCGTACAATTGGAAATACCTCTGAACAACCAAAGCCGGCATCTCTCTCAAAGTCGCCTCCGACCATCTCTCGAGCCATATTAACTGGCCCGTGTCAGACATAAATGGGAATTTTTCCAAAAGTTCCGATAGATTCTCTTGATCTTTGTGCAAACATATTAAAATGCCTAGGTGTTGTTTTATATCTGAAAATTATAATAGCTCTACGTTGTTTATTAGAGCATTTGGAAAATATTATTTTGATTATATAAACCTAAATAATTAGGCATATTTGTTATGCATTATAATATATGTATATATAAAAGGAAAATGGTCTTCGTTTGAGGCTCCTTCACGCCTAAACCACTGATCGTATCGACATGAAACTACCACCATTCGATGCGAAATGGTTTATGGCTATTTATTTATTAAATTCCAACGTTCCTTCATTTTTTTATTGCTGTTTTACTTTTATGAAAATTTATCCATACGGACTTCACCGCGGAAACATTCGGGGAGGCTTCCTAGAACCTCTAAACGTCAACATCTGTTAAAAACTCGATTTTCGAAATATTTCAATTTTCTTAGCGGGAAGTTAAAAAGAAGAATAATAAAAATATGAAAAAAAAATAAAATAATGAAACATAAAATTTATTTTAATTCGTCCATCAAAGCGGGCGCGAAACGGCTAGTGCATTATAATTGAGAAATAAAGATGTCATTAACTGACGTTTGTTCAAGAATGAGTGACTTCAGAAATCCCTGTAAATCAAATCTAAGACCTTCCTGTACCATTAAAGTATGGAAGTAGTCTATTCAATCAGAAACATATTATATTATAATGAGTTTTTTTATGTAATAGGAGGCAAAAGGGCAGGAGGATCACCTTATGTTAAGTGATACCGCCGCCCATGGACACTCACATTTCTAGAAGGTTCGTAAGTGCGTTGCCGGCCTTTTTTTATTACACGTATCACGTTACTGTAAAATAATGTAAGTGCATGCTCCTATTTCACCATGCCTCCTGCAGTTAGAAGACAAATCTTTGTTTGTAATTTATTTTATTATTATTTATTAGTTAAGATGTCTTGTGGAACATGGTGTAAAAAAAACTTGGCGATTAAAAACAGTGGCGGAGAGTTTATTGCCAGTTCTTCTCTTCCGTTCTTCGCTCTTGATTTGAGAACTGGCAGTAAACTACATTGTGTTACCTATACGAATAAATGATTTTTTACTTTGACTTTACTTCGTTACTTACTAATAAGTGTTTGTTCCGCATTCTGTCCAATAGATGGCATTACATTTGCCGGAAGTGCGTACACGCTACCCGCGCGAATGTAGGCTTCTACGATGGCCAAGTTATTTTCATCGGATGACCATTCCGTGATCATTAATAGAGTATGGTTCCCTTCACTTGCAGATGTTAGAGACTGTATTATAAAGCGCAAATTTAGGTATTGGTTACTATGGTTACCAATAGCATCGTAACCATGGCAACGAACACATGACTTTTATAATAAAGCTGAATATATTTGTTACTGTTTTTTTATTGATATGTCATCATTGAAAGCCAGAGATTATAAAGTATAAGTCAATTGTCAAAGTAACATTGACAGGAGCTATGACAGATATTTTTCACTAATTTATTTCAAAACAATGACAACTTTTGTCACACAATAATATATGATTATAATTAATATATTCTTGATAAATGAAATAAATTAACAAATGACAAAACTCTTACAGCTTTAAAGTTATTAGCAAACTGTGAAGGCAGCTCAGCAAGCACACAATTAGCAGATAGTGCCGCGCAAACTATACGAGCGGCTGCGCATACGCCGGAGCCTGTACCACTCACGCACGTTACAACGTTCCCATTAAGCTGTAAATAGATAAGAAACATATTTAACTTCTAAAATACAAAATAATGCAAATGCATGAAATCAAAAGTTCTTGTGTGTTCGAATTGTTAATTGACTGGATTAACCGATTTTAATCTAATAAAATATTTATGTAAAAAAAGCTTTCGGTAGGTATACGAGTTAAAAAAGTTTATGAAGCGAGTAGAATATGACTTTATTTAACAGTAGTAACGAATTTTCTTTAATATTATAAATTGTAGTATTTTAATGTTTAAATTCTGTTTAAAATTTTTAAATCTAATTATGTATTTAACTTTTTTTCTGTTTCGTATATTTTTAGTTTAGCAAATTAATCTATTTTGGCTTAGATTGTCTGAGTCTTATACAAAGACTAAGTGGTTTCTTTTATAATATACAATATAGAAAACACTTTAAGCATACCGCCAGAGCAATTGAAGGACACAGCGTAGACAACTCCTTACAAACCTCCATACCACTGTCACCAAAGGCCTTTTCATCTTCCGTCACTGAAATTATACCAATATACTATACTATATGATAAATATTCGTTAAGTTGAACTTATTTGCTTATAAATACAAGATACATTTGCAAACCAAAATAGCTAAGTGTAATAGGCGGCTCTATAGGTGAAGGCCTGTATTCACTTTGATTAGTGCGAGTGCAAGTGATTAGTGATTAGGAGAAAACAAGTGTGGACAGCGACTGATTAGTGCAGGTGATTAGTAGCCTGCGTAGTAAAGTGATTAGAAGCGTGTTCTATTTTTTTTTTTGCGAGTGAACTGCGAGTAGTGACGTCGCGTGCGCCCTCTCTACCCCCTCACTCGCAGCGTGTCTGCCAAACTATATGACAACTGAATTTATAGGCCGGGAGATAGTGACACAAAATAGTGGGTCATTTGTACCAGTATGGCGGTTCTTCAGGGGTCTTATTAAGAAATGAAAAAAATAATATTGATGGTCATAGCGCTGGTACCGGCGGCCCAAGCGCGTTTCAGGTCAATGTTCGTTCCCATTTTCCATCGAAACGGCTCGACCGATTCTTATGAACTATTTTATGCATATTCAGTAAGTCTGAGAATCTGCTACTATCTATATTTCAAACCGCTAGGTATTTTTTTGTTTTTATTTTTTATGACACAGCATACAAAAATACATACAACTCCTAATTTTCACCCCTCTCTTTTATCATTGTAGATAGTAATTATACTAAAAGAATATTTCCTAGAAATAATATACATGGCAAAACAAACTTTAGCCGGGTCAGCAAGTATAAATGTATATATTCTAAATAATAAGGTTTTAAGTTGTTTTAATATTACACTCACAGCATTGGTTGATAAGCATTAGAGTGTTCTGGTACCAGGCGGCGTAGTCTATGCCTTCTAAGTAAACTCCATCGCCACGCAAAATCATTTTGAAGTTCATATCTTTCTCAATATCAAGATATTTATGGAGTAAAGCATCAAAATCGGATTTTTCCTCGTCCTTTAGGAGGCGATCACGGAATATCATTTTTGCTTGAGCATTGAGGGCCTGAAAAAAAATATGTAAACTCCCTACAACTTCTCCTTTATAGATAAGTCTTTTTAGTGTTAATTCATTTTGCGAAATTTAATAGTCTGAATTATATAAAGATTGACAGTGTTAAATGTTAAGATTATTGCGAAAGAACTGGTAGTTCTGACACAGGACTCTAACTTAGAAAAGCTTCCTAAATATAATATGTACTAAACACCTTTTTGTTTTTTTTTATAGAACAGTGGACAGGATGTTTAACTGATGTTAAGTGACACCGCCGCCCATGCACACTCACACTGCCAGAGGGCTCGTGAGTGCGATGCCTTTAAGCAATTGAACGGTCTTTTCTAAAGGACCCTATATTAGTTCGGAATTACTGAAGCAGGTAGCTGGTTCCACAGTGGTAGTGCGCGGCAGAAACGGCCTTAAGAAACGCTCAGTTGTGGAACTTTCGGACGTCGAGGTGATACGGATGGTATTTTGTATTCTGCATTGAAATCCGATAAAACTCAGCTGCAGGTTTAATCCGAGCTCCTCTGAACACTCTCCGTGGTAAATGCGGTAGAAGATGCAGAGAGACCCCACATCTCTATGCAATTTTTATTTAAAGCACTCCTCCATTACTCAATTAATTATATTTTTTTTCTGGAATTCCATCATTACTAGAGGAAGATTCATTCTCTCTTATACTAAAAATATTTCTTAAACACTTACTGCTACAACATCTGTCGAATTTGCGGGGCTGTAGCACTTTGTATTCTCACACAAAGCCTTCAAGTGGGAGGAGTTCCAGGTGTAATGTGGCTTCGCATCGAAGCTCTCCGTTATCTGTGGGAATATTCATCAATGATAAGGTGGAATTGCAACGACATTGGTGATAGAAGAAGTTTTTTATATAGCAGGGGACAATGCAAGAGGCTCATCAGATGTTAAGTGATATCGACAACCTGTCTACACAGCCAGAAGGCTCGCAAATGCGTTGCCGGACTTTTGTAGATGTGTTTTGTTTTATATAACAGGGGGCAACGGGCAGAGGACTCTCCTGAATTCAAATGACCGCCGTCCATGGATACTCACATTGGAAGTAAGCTCACACGTTGCCCTTTATATAATATTTTTGAAAGGTAAAACAGGTCTTGATGATATATTTTTTTATAAATCAATTATATAGCCTTTTCTCCAATTATATATATATAGAAAGATAGATAGATATTACCTCTTTAAACATTAACAGGATTTTCTTTGCCAGTGTCAACACATCTTTGTCTCCAAAGTTCTTGGTCACATTTTCCTTCAAAGAACTTGTTACCAATTCTAACTGCTCATCTTCCGTAGGTTCTCTAAAATAAATAATTATTTATATATCGCAACGATTAAACAAATAAATTTAGAAATTAAACTCTGGCTTTGTGTAGAGATATATAAATAATAAACAAAACATAAATAAAATTCAAAATGTCGAAATTATTATATCCAAAATTAATCAAGGTAGTTAAAATATGTTTGTCGTAATTTTTATACTTACGGTATATAAATATGCGCAAGCGCAGCCGCCAGTCTCGAGGCAATATTAGCGCGAGGTTCCGCCGTCGCGATGACGCTCACGCGTGTAACGCTATGCCATTGGGAACCATTTTCATCTGAGCTCCAGAATCCATGGCCTTGGATAAGCTGTAAAAATGCACGTACGCGTTTAAGCTTGCTTGGTGAAGGAAACAATTGTGAAGAAGTCTAATGCCGGTCATTAGACTTAAAAATGATGCACTAAAGACTGATGTTGTCTATTAAGAAAAAGATTCTAAAAAGAAATTAGCGCTTGTAACCTATAAGCTACGGTTTCCTAGAAAAGCAGTGTCGTTAACTAACGGCCGTCATTTTACGGTTGTTAATAAAGGCCGACTTTACGGTGGCCAAGCTGTGGTTTCCTAGAAAGTAGTGCGATCGTATTTTTGAAGTGTTATTCCAATTTCGTTCCACAAATTTTGCTTCATCTGAGCTTGTCTGTACTCTTTGGATTTGATATTGTACAAAGCTTCGTGATTTTTAACAAAATCAATTAATTGTTCATCATTTTCGCACGTCCAAGTCATTGTATTAATTAAATATGCGCTACACGCGAAAAACGTTGAACTACTGTTTATCACCGCTATGACGGCCGTCATGCAAATGACAGCACCGCTATTTGACGTTACGGTGACACTCAACGTTCTCTAGAAAACCTACTCCGATGTTATTTATAGACAACGTATGAGTGGCGTCACCCAATGTTACATTACGGCCGCTACTTAACGGCACCGCATTTCTAGAAAACCGTAGCTTAATTCTTCAAAAACATATATAAACTAAAGAAACAAAAGTGTATTTATTTATTATATTCAAAAGAATATATTACAAATGAAGAAATGTTTAATGCGTACTAATAGCAAAATTATCGGTTTCTATCTTTTTTCTTTCTAATAAATAAAAGTACGAAAATAGAAGATACCTGCAACAAGAAAGAGTGTACGGGAGAAGAACCCCAAGCATCAACTCTAGCTCTGTGAAGAGCTCGAACCAGCACCACTACGCGGGAGTTAGACCCGCCCGCAGAACGAACCACATTTTTCTGTTAAAATTTAATCAAAGATTATACTAATATGTAAAGGCAAACATTATATTCATGAAGGGAAAAAGCAAACTAAATAAAAATAGTAACTATGAATTTTTATATGACTTTTATTATTTACGCTTTTTACAATTTTTAAACTATTGTTCTTTTTACCGACTTTAAAGATCCGAAAAAGTATTTTTTCAGCCAAATGGCTTGGCGAATTGAAATACATTCATTTATCTTTTTCCTTTAAATAAATTACATAACTATTATTTTCATAGCCTTTTATATTAATAAACATTTAATTCTGTTATATTAAACATTTAATTTTTAAAAGTTGTTTTATTAATTAATTATTAAACAATTTACTTACTCGTTTTAGTTCAGCGATGATATCGGCCGGTTCCAATAACGGAGAACAGTCGATTGGGACAATCGTGGCATTTGTTTCTCTTAGGACGTATTCCGCTAAAGCGCTACAAATATCACAGAGAATTATTCAATATCAGTAAATTTAGTTTAGATTATTGGAATTTCATTATATTTAAAACAGTGCCAATTGCGTAGTTAAAACATAGTCAAGGTGATCAAATACCCCTCTGAGATTATTTAAAGTCACAATTATATTTAAATTTTAAATTTCTTACACATTTCTATTACAATATAATAATTATATTTATAATTGTTATCGAAGTAAACTTACTACTTAGCGCACGCCTCATATCCCATTATAACGGCGTGGGATCGTGCGTTGACAACTGCGCGTAATGTCTGCGCAGGCGCATCTAAACGCGGCGACATTATCAAAACGTCAGACACGCGCTCGCACAGGTGCGTAGTGGTTTGTGGAGGCGGACCCAAAATGTCCGACATCTGAAAGGACAAAAAACACAATAAAATGAAATCGCTTTCAACAAATAACAAGATGTGGTTTTGACATGATGAAATTTTTTTTGATCAATAATTAAATTATAGTTTATAAATTTAAGGCCTAGATTCAAAAGGTAACTCAATTCAAAATCTCCAGTTAAGTACTGTCAAATACGTCAAAATTCTAATAGACCAAACTGGCTGGATAGCTCTGGAAAGCAGTTTTTCCTATCTTGATCAAGGAAAGCAATTATCAAATAAAATAACTAAAAAAACACGCAATAAACTTCATTATATATATATACAAGCTTTTAAACAAAAGATAACCATTAGTTAACCCTCACGTGCGTGAGCAGTGGTGGCCTGGTTAGTGACTTCAGGGTGCGACTAACATTAGCTTCAACTGTGAAGGAAAACATCGAGGAGAACCCAGCTGTGTCAGGCACGGGAGGGAGGCTGATAACCTACTTGCCTATTAGATTGATAAATGATCAAGAAGTCTAAGGCCTCAAAGGTTGTAGCGCCACTGTTATTTGTTTGTAATCACTAACTCCTACGCATCGTTTGAGCTGATTTTTCAGCTTATTATTAAATAACTAGCACTCCCAATAAACAAACATTATCAAGAAAATGAATACGGAATTCTGAGACCAAGACCAGGTGACTTAACCAGGTTTTAGAACAAGATGTGTGAATAAATACGACAGTCATGTCTTGACTTACCTCTTCATGAAACGCATGAAGAGCGTTCTCCTTTAGCAGACCAATTACACTTTGCTGTAGAGATAAATATGTCATTTCTTCCATTGAAAGATGTTTATTGTCCGCTTCTTGAACTATGTATTCGAGTTGAGTTAGGATTTGTTGTACCTGTTTACAAAACACCTTTATTTTAATTACATTCGACTAAATACAATTCGTAAAATTCTGTATGAGCGCCATCTTTTGACAGCAATCGAGAATTTAATCGCATTAAAAGTAAAGATTTTTTTTAAATATTACATCGTTTTCAAGTAATAAAAAACTGCTTGAAAGTAAAAAACTTGACATAAAACGTGAAAAACGGGGTTAATTTGTTTCACATGTTTAACAGTTTGTGTGTTCCATTTCAGCTATATTATTTCTATGAAATATTTTATTTGACTTAAAGAAATAAACAATCTTCTTACCATTGCCACACTGTAAAATTTGAGCGTTCTCGACTTGTGACTGTCAAACCACTTCAAACATCTTTGCACGACATTCTGTATCAATGCTAAGGCACCTTTTAAAATTTCATCATTCTCAGCTTTTCTTATCCAATTTTGAAGAACTTCCTGTACACAGCATTCTTCCTCACTAACAACAAACAATGAACTTTATCCACGATTTGATACAACAACCTCTAACGGTAGATGGCGTTGTGTTCAATTAACTATTTTTAAGAAAATATAAATATAAATATTATTAAAAAGGGCATTCTGATATCACTTTCATAGGTACTTATGCTTTTTAATTAAAGGTATTATTTGAAGTTCTTTGGTAATTATCTTGTTTTATGAAGTTGTTTTCTTTTTTTTTGTTATGGAAATAATGTATGTATGTAGAATGCCTTTAGTACCTAACCTTCATTTAACTGAATAATGAGTAAATGAACTTTAGTTAAAAAGACTTGCACACCTCAACAAAATGATCCCCATCCGCGAAATGGTGGCCGGCGAAGCGTGTTCCAAGCTGTGCGTCTCAAAGATAAAGTTAACATTTTGTCCAAACTGAACTCTCCAACCCGAAGGCAGAGTCAACAACCTATTGTCATCCAGCACTGAGTTTAACGCCTCTATCCATTCTGGATCAATATCGCCGTCGCAAACCACCCAGGAATATACATCTGAAATATTAGTGGTTTAGAGTAATGTATATTTCCAACCAAGGAAGCCTCTTTTTACCTAAATTTTATGTAAGAAATGTGTACAATATATTTGTCTTCCTATATACTTGTAGATAGCACTGACCTGGAGGCTGCTGCGAGACTTGCAAGGCAATAGTGGAAATGACTCCATCAGTCCACTGCCGAGTGTCGTGATCGACGTGCCCCAACAGACTCTCGCGATGAACCGCCTTTGGGTATATCACGTGCTCCATTACCGTCCGACCGGTTGATATTAGCGCCTGGAAATTGATTGACTTGTTTGTATTATATTTAATTTCGTAAGTGGATATTTCGACTTAGAAAGCAGTGCAAGATTCATTCAAGTCGGTTATCTATATATCAACAGTTATAAATATGGATATATCTGGTAAAAAAACCATTTTAAGATTTCTCGCCGATTAATATTTACATTAAAATCAGTTTGCCAAAGTATGTATTTACTTACATTTTTCAATAATTTTCTAATAGAAGTCTTCCCAGAGCCAGGCGGCCCAACTATCACCACACCCATTCGTTGTTGCAGCTGTTCATACAGTTCCATACATTTCTCAGCCTGAAAGTTATTTAAAGATACATTTTCAAGTGTGTTTTAATTGTAACAGTTACTTAATTTAATAAGCAACTACGTGCAGGTAAAATTTTACAGTTTTTATTGTTTTTTTGTCAATATTTAAACTTTATATATTTATAGTACAACAAAATATTAAAATTTTGTTCCGGTATGTTGAGTCTATGTGCTTACGTGTAATGCTGTGTAAATCTTTAAAATAAACAATTTTATGAATATATTCGTATAATGACCTCGGTTGTATATTATTTAATTTTTTGTTTCACACTTTAGGAAATAATAGACTAATTTACAATGAAAGATAAATATAAATAAGACACAGAAACTGGCCGATGCATGAAGTGAATGAAGTTAAATGTTTAAATTTAGTAAAGTAAACTTACACTTATTTTATATAGTAACAAATATCTAAAAACATTTCCTTAGGTTAAAAAAAATATTCCAATTTTACCTGCAACTGATTATACACAATATGCAGCGGTTCAAACGCAGACTGGACAGACACAGAGAAAGAGTTCTCGTCCAGTTTCTCTTCAGGCACATCAGCGAACACCAACGATAGAATATTTTCAAATCTGAAAATAATATTAAACGGTTTAAGGAACCTTAAAATATGAGAACCTAAAAATATATTTGAAAATATTTCAGCATTTGTTGTTTTGACTAACATAACAGTTTAAGATACTCGTATAACGAGGCAATTTACGTGCTTTCTACGTGCAAACAGTCGTAATTTCTACGCATCGTTATACTAAAACTAAAAAGAATACCTTTCGGCATCCGGCTTCGTCAATTTGGAGAGATTGTTGAGTTTGAGCACTTTCCGCAAGATGGCGCGTTGTGCAAGCTCCTCCCGTACGCCTTGGGCCCTTAAGCCCTGGCCACAGCTGCCCACCGCCGCCTTCAGGGCCCGCAGGCCCCAGTCGTAGTGACGCTGGCTGCTCAGGAGGTTACTGGTGGAAGTCATTTTCAGTTTATTGTTGCTATTTGATGTTTGACGGAAATTTTTTAGCCTTTACCTTATCAAATCAAAACTAAAGAACCATGTCCGCTGATTTTCACCACGGACAAAGTCTCATTACACAGTACACAAAGTATTTGATACCAATGATTATGTTTTTAGATATAAGTAATTAACAAATATAAACCGACAGATCCTGACCTGTCAAATTAATTTCTACAAATCCCTAAACAGAAACTACTAAACCGATTTTATTAAAACTATCGCATATGACAAAAGACACACGTGCTTCAAAGCTTTATAACATGATAATTTTTTTCTTGAAGTTGGTTAATTATGTGAGTTCAAATTGATCTTATACTTGACACGAATAACCTTTACACTACCCTACCTGGATAGAGTAAAAACGGACGTCAAATCAGCCGCCAGCCTGGTCGAGTGCGAAGCCCCATGCGCGGCCAAGAGGTGCGAGGCCAGAGGACCAGGAGTAGGAGCCGTAAGGGCTACGGGCCGAAGCACGCGCTGAAGAGCGGATGGCAACTCGCGACGACCCCCGTACCCACGACCCGCTGGGTTCAGGGTCACCGCTATGCCGCACCATGGGGACACGCAGACCTGAAATGTGAGAAAATACTTTCCTCAATGAGGTTATAGAATCCAAAAGAAAGCGGCAACACTAAAATAATAAAATATATTTAATATGGAACATAAGATACAGGTATCTCTTATTCCACGTCATTAAATTTGAATATGTAAGCATCCCTACTCATCGGCAAAGAAGACAGAGGGTGTAGGCCGAGAGAAAAAGCCGGCGTACAAAACTCTCGGTACTCTTTTAAAATAGCAAATCATCAAACAACACTATACTATAACGTAATATAACGTAAATTTTATATATTTATTATACCTGTACAAATTAAAAGCAAAGTACCCACAGATTATTAAACAATACAATAATCAGGAGAAACAACCACAGTCGTTATTTTATAAATAATTAAACGTAAAAAAAGTAGCGCCTTATAGAAACGAAGGACGAAAGTAGTTTAGTTCTAAATTTTCTAAAGTGATTCATAATCCTTTACACGGCGCGGCAACATCTCACTAAAATGTCTTCAACTGTTTTGCATTAATATTAAGATAGTGTTCAAAAATGATGTTATATTACACTCTGAAATAAACATGTATTTACAACAAACTGGAAGTCAAAATAAACTAACGTGTTTTCCATTCAAAAGGGCCTCTTTATCCTTCTCTAACATCGCAGCGAGTATAGAAGTGAACTGATGCGAGACGGCGGCTAATGCTGGCGACGAGAGCCTGTTGAATTCGTCAAAGCAGCCCCAAGCCCCGCTCAAAGCCAAGCCTGTTAATAACCGTCCCATACACTCGCCGTCCATTGCCTGAAAATTAACTACTGTTACATATTTAATCTGGTCATGTAACGCGATACCTGGACAACAGATAGCGTTAAAGACAACACAATGGAAGGGATACGAAGAGTGGGCAGGCCAAAAAGACGGTGGGCTGACTTAATATGCGGTATGCGGTGATGTTAATTATTTCGACTATGTGTTTGCGTGTTGTTCCCACGAGAATGTAAGTGCGTGCTCCTATTTCACCATGCCTCCTGCTGATAGAGGACAAGTCTTTGTTTTTAATTTATGTTATTATTATTAATTACTTAAGATGTCATGTGCAACATGGTGTAATGGTTGCAGCTCCTTACAAACGTTGTGTAAAAAAAAACATGGCGATTAAAAAGAGTGGCGGAGAGTTTATTGCCAGTTCTTCTCTTCCGTTCTACGCCCTTGATTTGTGAACTGGCAGTAAATGTAAAATTAGAAGCATTAATATTTATTTCTTTAATGACGAATCACAAGTGTACATTGTGTTACCTAAGTGAATAAATGATTTTTGAATTTTGAATTTTGAATAGAAATAGCAGTAAATTACTGGCAGACTATTGGCAAAGATAGAGCCATCTGGAAAGAGTTGGAGGAAAGTTGGGTAAAGGCCCAAGAGCCAAGAGAAAGTACTTAAAATTTTTACCTAACACAACTAATACTAATAATGAGGGATGTAGACTAACCAATTGTTGTATGGATTAATTAATAAAGCTTTTATAATAATAATAAAAATATGAGCCATAGTTAACGTATAGGCTAGATTGTAATACATGTTTAATCGAAGTCTCTTTTATGAACTTTATTGTATGAAACAATATTTTCAAACGCTAGCACTCGCGAGCCCTCTGGCATTGGAAGTGTCCATGGGCGGCAATATTATTTAACATGAGATGAGCCGCCTGCCCGTTTGTCCCCTGTTCTTTAAAAAATATATATACATATATGTATATTTAAACGGAAATGAGCTGAATTAAAACTGTCATTATTAAATATATAATTTGCGTTTTATACGATTTATATTGAAAACGGATACAAAAGAGTAATTTAAATGAAACTAAGCACAAAATATATTTTGTTCTAAACGCCTTTTAGGACGGTTCCTATCAACACAATAATCAAAATCAATAATACAGAAGTTCACAACGGCCATTTTAAAACGAAAAATATTAAAATTGTACATCACCTCATCGCAGTTAAAAATCAAGACCAATCGCCCGACTAGTCCTCCCAAAGCTTTCACAGACTCCGTTTTTCCCGTTCCCGCTGGACCAAACGGATTACCGATAAAGCCAAAATGTAACGACTGCAAAATTAAATCTATATAAATGAAAATAATCTGTGAATTTTAAACGACTGCTTTGAAAATAATCTTGCAAATAAATAATGTTGACAAAAGCTTAAGAGACATCTTTCCAAAAATTTCTGTCAATATTATACAAAAAGTTGTTAACAGAAAAAGGTAGTGTTTATTCATCCTAGCTACCAACGGCATTGGTAGCGGATCCAACAGACGTTGTCCTGTACACACGTCTTAGATACAAAAAACATATCAAATAATGTAAATCATTCTCGACTCCGCTTGAACACACAAAAAATTTCATCAAAATCTGTCCAGCCGTTTAGGAGTTTGATTACGAACACATGCACAAAATATATTTTTTGTAAAGATAAATATGCTAGATATCTACTGCAGCGCCACCTGCCGGGCTCATTTGTGAATCTAAACCATCCAGGACGCCACCCAAACGCATACAAAAAAAATCATTCAAATCGGTCCAGCCGTTTAAGAGGAGTTCAGTGTCATACACACCTACAGTTGACATATATAGTATTAAGTAACTTATCTTTATATATATATATATAAAGATAAGTTACTTAATACCTCTGACGACAAAATGGTCGGGGAATTAGCTAAAACTATATATACCTTTTTATAATAAAAAAAAACTACTTCATCAAATTGTTTTTTTTTTTTGTGTTCGGTATTGTCAGAACAAGTTGTATATATAGAAGAATACTAAAGGACGCAGCTAGTTAAAAATATTACCTGAGTTAATATAAGAAAACATTCCTCAGCCAACTCGGTTCTTACGAATTGGCCAGTTTGAATTCCCAAATACTCATACGAATAGGGAATTTCAGCTAAACCCATCCTCGCAACGACTTCACCTTTTATTAAATAAAATCTGTAAACAGAACCTTCAATCTATAATCTGTGAATTAGCGTATCCTTTATACTGTATAAATTAGTTATGTTTACAGAAAAACATCGTGGGGAATCCGTCTTGCCTTAGACCCAAAAAATCGACAGCGTGTATCGGGCACAATAGGCTGATCACCTACTTGCCTATTAGATTGACAAATGATTATGAAACAGATTCAGAAATCTGAGGCACAGGCCTAAAATGGTTGTAGCGCCACTGATATTTTTTAAATTTGTTATAACTATAACTAATAATAAATTAACTGTTGGCTAGTTTATAAACTAAGGGGAATGAAGATCGTTGTAAGGCTTTTGGAAGCTGATGCCAATGATGTATTTTACGTTTTGGCTTTTCGAATTTGAAAAATCGGCAGTTTTTCCTAGTTTATTATAATGTTATGTGAGCAATATTAGCCTGAGGTTGTTCGATCCCCGGCTGTGCAACAATGGACTTTTTATGTGCGCATTTAATATTCGTTCGAACGGCGAAGGAGAGCCGCGTGAGAAAACCGGCTTCCCTTAGAACGAAAATTTACAAATGATCATGAAACAGATACAGAAATCTAAGGCCCAAACCGAAAAAGGTTGTAGCGCCACTGATTTTTTGTAATTTTGTAATGATAGGCTTCGATTACTGACGTCACATTGAGTATTATAATTAAGGTTACCTAAACTCACTGAAAAATAAATAATTACAAATGAAGAGACACAAACATTCCGAAACAAATAGATGCATTAAATTTTGTAAGTGCAGAAACTAAACTTTGGTTTAGCATGTGCTACACGCTAATGTGTAAGTAATGGCTGTTAGGTAAGGTTTTATTAGAAGCATTGCAACAAAATATAAGTCTGAAGCTGCAATAAGAAGTGTTAAATTACTGGGTTATTACTACTAAATAATAAGCTAGAAGTCTCACCGCAACTGTTTCTGCCACACCCAATCACTAGTCGACACGACATTATTTTCAATTAGAGCAGCAACAACCTCCTTATAGTACGCGCATTGGAGTATCAGCGCTTGCTTCTTAAATTTCTCGGCTTCATCCTCGAAATCGCTTGTATAACTATCATTCTCCTTTTCAATATTTTCTTTAAGAATTCGTAGTTCTCTACTTGTGATCGCCTTTTCAGCTTGTTCGGTGAATCTAATATTTTGCGCTAAGCACATAATCTGCGTCGGTAGCGAAAACAGATCGAGGCTCGAGTTCCCACTTATACAATTCAACGTTAGACTTTTCAACGACGCTCTTATTTCATCCTCGAGGTTTTTAAGCCAAATCTAAAATATAAAGTATTAAAATACAAACATTCAATACATAAAAATATGCGTATACCTATGTATATATTTAATTATTTATAAAAGCTTTACAACGCTCAGCACTGATACATTGATAAAAAATAAAATACAATTTTTAATGTGACAAGCACTTATAGGCAAAAATAACATTTATAAAGAGATTAAAAAAACTAAACGTTTTTAAAGTGAGGGGAGCAACTATGGATATCCAGACCTAGCTCGTTTATCAGAATGATGAGTGTGTGTTGTTTATTTATTTCGTAGTGTAGCAACACAAATTATACATAACAAAAATAGAATATACTAAATATACATAGTCAAAATCTGTTATAACGACACCGAAGGCACTACTCATATTTGGTCGTAAAAACCGATAGTCGTAACAGCCGATGGCGTTGTTATTAAGTACCTAATACAATAGAATTCAGCCGGGACCTTTGATTTTGATTAATATAACCGGTATTTTGTTCTAAGCGACGTCGCCGTAAACGGTTTTGACTGTATATCCAAAGATGGAACACATAATTTATACAAAAAGTTCGAACATTTACGAAAGGAAAAAGATCACTAAAATTATTCAATATAATATATATATTTAATAATTATTAATTACCTTATACCTAATTCTCCTTTAAGTATTTATTATTTGATATTTATGTAAATACTCTAGTATTAATATAAAAAAAAACTTAATGTGATTCAATATTATGTATTTACTTTTTGTAGCGACATCGTCACTATATATTATTAAGAATGTGGCTACTGCAACTTAGTGTATGGGCGCTAATACAATGTCAAGTAGTATTCTTAGTAGCCCTTAACATTCTTTGATTACTGTGTACTACATTTAAAGAAAACAATAAAGTGTGGAAGGAGAACCGTCCTACGTTTTAATGTTGCAGCAGTGCTAAATTACGGTAGTAATCGTTTTAATATCAATATATTTAACAAAAACACTTAGTACACGCCAACTCATAGACTCGATATATGTATTACGAAAGTCTATTGAAATGCCATATATTTAATTTTCATAGTCACCTCAACAGCGCAATCAATATCGACTGGCCGATCCAGTTTAAATGTTTCGTCGTAATGGCTACAGAGAGTTGTTATTGATACTCCACCAGGTCCCAATACCACCCCAGTGATCCCAGGGAATAGCTTCTTCAAGTGAGTTTGGAGCACGGCCTCCCTGCCTTCAGCGCCTGATCGAGCCTGACCGAGCAACTCTAGCAAATCGTCGTCACTTAGGAAATATAGGCGAGGGAATATTGTACGTTTCTCCTGAAATAGCGTAATTAATTTAGAAACAATAGAAGGATGGCGCAAAATAGGTGATTAGTAAGATCACAAAAATCCCAACATCAGATTTCGATACACATTACGTCACATTTATATCTCTATATATATAAAATTCTCGTGTCACAATGTTCGTTCCCATACTCCTCCAAAACGGCTCGACCGATTCTTATGAAATTTTTTATGCATATTCAGTAAGTCTGAGAATCGGCTACTATCCATCTATTAAACCCTTAAGTGATATGGGGTGTCTACACCAAAATTGATTTTTTATTTTTTTATTATGTGGCATTAAAAATACATACAATCCTAAATTTTCACCTCTCTACGATCAACCCCTATTTTTAGTATAGGAGATTGTTATTTTTAGTAAACTAAAAAAATATTTCCTAGAAATATATGGCAAAACAGCGTTTGCCGGGTCCGCTAGTATCTTATATACACAAATTGTAGCATATTTCAATTTATTTGCATTTATAAACAAACCAACTTACTAAGCCCGCTATAACTACACTACGTTCCAAGCGTGTAAAATGTCGATGAAAAAATTACTATTTTTTAAAACCACTACGTAGTGAATGAGTGAGTTAAGTATGTTAGATCTAGGTAGCATCTCCATCTCTGCGTAAGGTGTGTTCAGAAGCCAGTCCTTTAACCGTTTGATCGACGACAACATCCCTATTTATTTTTGATACAGCCTACGATTAATTCAATTTTAATATTCATACTCACATCAATATATTGATTCAAAGCCGACTGACAAGCATTGAGTTGTTCCGATATGGAGTCTAACATGGGCTGAAGTCTCGAAGACTGAATTAACGCAGAAAGCCTGGGGTCAGTTTCAACAATCCGCGCAACGTGTTTAAAACCTTGATCCACTTTGCGAAACTTAACTCCCAAATCGCCTTCGTCGTACAGTAATATTGGCTCTAAGTAGAGCCACCTGCAATTCAAAATGACTCCCTAAATGTCTTTTCCAACATTTACTAGATTCCTCATCAGCTATTCACGAAACTCAGAGTCGTCGATTACTTTAGCCATTACGTACATTTATAAATTCAGTTTCAAAGTCTTATTTGTATCACAATCTTATCCTGCGCTGTCAAATATGTTAAATGTTAGGAAAAATTGTTACTCTTGAAACTTGATTTTTAAACTAATTTTGAGACAATTAATTATATGAACACATTTAATTGACGGCTTAGAGTACCATTGTTAGACATAAATAACCTCGCTGTGTTTATGTAGAAGAAAAACTGAATTTGTGTATGAGTACAAAAGGAGAGGTTATCAGTTCGTATATTAACGCTAAGAAGGTATCTTTTTGTACACGTAAAGCATTGAACTGATTACGATGAATTTTAAAATGTACCCAGCAAAACTCGAATGTACCTACCCAAAAAAATATACATGAATAGTCAATAAACAATGTGGTAAACAAGTGATATATTGGTAATTAATAAAATAGTGCTAACTATTTGATTTTTATTATTACAGAGATTATTACAGAGATATGTTGTAGAACGGTTAAATAAAAATGTTACTGCTATTAAGGCATTTATTAAATGAAAGGGAAGGGTATGAAATTTGAGTTTATTTATCACTAAACATTACTATTCAATGATAATGTAATTTTCATAATATAAAATATATCAACAAAATCTACCCAAAAATATGAAACTCATTAATATAATTCATAGAACATATTGTTTAACTAAGATAATTTGAATTCTTCAGAGTGTAATGTGAAAAAAATAAAACAATAATTTCATAGAAAATGTTTTATTAACAAATATCCATCTATCTACATTTAAGTATTTGTGCCTAACTTTAAATATAAGTTCATGCCTCTTAAATCTTAAACAAAACACCAATCAAGACAGAGTACTTGTTGCTATACACACAATATTATTAAGAGCGTAGATTACACTATATGGAACATATACTTATAACATAAAATATTGATTAAAATATAGTTTCAAGCTTCATAAAGGCAAAAATACTTAAGCTAAATTATTTTTAGAATTGCATATTTGATTAATTACACACCAATACGCTAACTATAATTACTCTTTGGACTGATAAATTGTTACAATTGCTTATTATTTTCGATTCAATTCATAATATTTACAGAACATACTGCATAGCCAGAAACTATAATGTAAAATAACTTAAGTTCTACTAAAAATGCATTGGTAATATACATTTAAATGGCACTGAGTAAAGCTTGTTGAAAACATCTTATGTTGTGCACGACCGATAGTTGTCTGAGCGCTTCGTTATTTCCGACAGGTAATAATTCATTTGGGAGTTCAGTTCGCCTATTTCTTTTTCCAAGGTATTAAGCTGTTCGTTATGGTCATTATAAAGCTCTTCCATGTTGGCAAGAAGTTTTAACTGCGTTTGTGTGTCACTTGCAAGTTTTGTAGCCCTATTGAGTAATAGCTGAGCCCTTTCTCTTGAATTCGACGTTTGGTTTGCTCTTTCAGCGAGTGATGAATTCGTTGTTTTAAAGTCTTGTCGCAGCTGCCTTGCTTTTTGTTCGGCCGCTTCAGCTCTATTTACGACATCATTTGCTTCTTGCTTCACCTGATCAGCGTCGCTTTCTATTTTAAGGATATTTTTCTGTAAATCTGACAGACGAGTGCGCAAGCCCTCTACTTCATCCATGGTCTCATTTGCTTTCTTTTGTGCCTGTTCCGTTTCAATTGCAATCGGTAAGAGATCTCCTTTTGCCGCTTCGATATCGTTATTTGCTTTATCAATGGCATTTTCTGCAGCGTTTTGGGCAGCTTGGGCCTCATTTAATGCTTCTAAAACCTTATTTGCCATTTCTAAGGTGAGATTAGCCTCTTTATTTACGATCGTTGCATTTTGTTTAAGCGCATTAGCTCTGTCAAGATCAGGCTTGGTTTCCGATATAATGTTCTCAATGTTTGTCAGTTGGGATACGGTAGAATTGATTCTTTGAGATAACTCAGTAATTTCTTTAGGCTCAATTCTGATTGATAAATTAAGTATATCATTGGCCAAAGTCCTTACATCTGCGGGAGTGTTGGAGTTGTTTGATAAAAATTCTCTGAGTTCCGAAGTTAAGTCTACGCTATCATTGATAACCTTTTCTGCAGATAATTTAAAATCACCAGATCTATTGAATAAGTCTCCTGCTCTAGATTTTACCAAGACTGTATCTTGCTTAACTTGAGTTACAGATCTAAACAAGTCCTCAGCTGAAAGTTCATGTTCCTTAATTCTATGTTCTGTTTTATTTGCAAAGTCTAAAGCTTGTTCTGCTTTGGTTATTGCACCTTGATCACAAGATATTCCACCACATTTCCCACAACCAGCGCCACCACAAATATCGCAGGTGTCACTTTCTTGTCCACACATTATTTCATTTAATTTAGGGAAACCTTCATCAAACTGCGACAAAATGTCATGCAATTCGCCAAGCTTCTTTTCATTTTCGTTTTGGGTATTATTAAAATTGTTATATTGCATTTCTATAAGTCTATCAGTATTTTTAATTTGTCTGTCAGCGTTCGCAATAATAGTCTGTACACTTTCTGCATCGTCACTTGCTTTGATAGCCCTTTGTTTTGCTTCACGCGTCAGATTAAGTGCACCCTCAAGGTTAGCCTCTTGTAATTTTGTTGCATTATTACCAAGCTCCAATGTTTTACTCTTAAGTTTTTCAATACTAGATCTTAACCCGTCTAAAGTGACATTTCCTAAGTTTATCTTTGATGTAATAGCTGTAAGATTATCATTACTTTCTTTAATTTTTTTATCTGCTTCATTGAGATGTTCTTGTAGACTCGATATATTAGAAACAAGCTCTTTAACGGTGGTTTGTCCTAATCTTGCACTCTGGAGAGAATTTTCGACATCTGTTAAGGTTTTGGTCATTTCTTCAAAGTCTCTGGTATATGCTCCTGTAGCTCCAATTACTTTAATTTTACTGGCATTTCCAATAGCATATTCCGTCTGAATGCGTAATTTTCCAATTAATTGATCCCAATTATCGAAACATTCACCACAGGCGTAGCATTCAGGAGCTTCACCAAGATAACCTCTAGCACACAAGTCACATTTATATCCTCCTATTCCAGGCTTGCAAATACAGGATCCATTTTCTCTCATACACTGCTGAGATACAGAACCATCAAGGTCGCATTCACATTCATAACATTCTATGTTAGGATCGCCCCAATGATTTTCTTGGCATTGATCACATTGCCTACCACCGTGACCTGGCTTACAATCACATTTTCCTATAAAAGGATTACATTGAGGTGACAATGATCCTATAGGATCACATTCGCATGGATCGCATCCTTTTCCAAGTGCGATTCGCCAATGATTTTCAGTACACTGATCACAATTTATGCCCATTACATTATTGAAACATGGGCATTGCCCAGTCACACGGTCACAATTTCCACGTGTGAAATTTGTTCCTAATACGTCACAATTACATATATCACATGCTTGTTCTAAAGCATCGCCATAATAACCGTCTTTACACAACTCACAGTGATCTCCAGCAGTATTATGCAAGCACTGTAGACATTTTCCGGTGTAAGGATCACAATTTCCTGGTTTTGTTATATCAATGTTACCGTTGCAATCGCATTTTTCACATGTTCCTTTAATGGGATCACCGAAATAGTTGTCAGCACATACATCACAGAGTAATCCTGCATAACCTTCTTTACAATCACAAACAACATCTTTAGTTTCAGCATCCAACTCACACCTATCTGCATGACTGCTCTTGTTTGGATCACCTTTAACTCCAGGACATGGACAAAGGCGACAAGGTATATCAATGCCTAAACGAGGGTCACCATAATATCCTTCTATACACCTTTCACAACGATGGCCTTCACTATAATCTCCACATTCTTTACAAGCCCCTGTTTTATCATCACATTCAATGGCATGCCCATTACAATCACATTGCTGACAATTAGGGAAATTGAAATAGCCTGGTTGACATAAGTCGCATGCTCGCCCGTAGGTATTTGGTCTGCATTTACATTGTCCACTAGTAGCATCACAAAAGTTATCTAAAGATCCAATACTATTACAATCGCAACGTTTACAACCAAACTTGCTAAAACCGTAAGTGCCTGGAGCACACCTATCACACCGTGCACCTACAATATTTTCAACACATTGACAATATCCAGTGTAACGATCGCATTGATGACTTTTCGAACCTGATGGGTCACATTGACAGGATTCTGAACCATTCCTTATATAAAATCCGATACTAGCATGATAATTCTTACAAACTTCTGGTACGTTATCTCTATTTAAATCATAATAATATTTATCTCCACAGTTGTAGCGTTCAAATTCTTCTTTTGCGTTGCTGTTATTTGCTAAGAATGGCAAATCATCGACAGATGGGATGAGAACAATAGAATCTATCAACACCGATGCCCTGCTGCTTGAAGTCCGCCCATCTTGTTTTCCTAAGTATATGCGAACTTCGGTTTCTTTGTCTTTCTCGAGACAAACCGCTGGTTCAACTAGAACACTACGTTGATTTGCTGGCAACACTGTAGGTATTGTATCATCTTCAGGGCGTATACTGGCACACGGTGAATCTGAATCAGGGGTGGGTCGCTTAACAAGTATAGTAGCTTCTTCCCAAGTTCTTGTAGATTGCGGTTCATATCTTATCAGAACATTGTAATTCATGCTTGTTTTTAGGTTGTTGATTGTAAATACTAAAGTACTACTTTCAGGTATTTTCATGAATCCGGGGCCAGTCCAGGTTTCTTTTCTGCCATCAGGGAAGTTTTCTCGAATAACAACATGACATAATTGGCTTTGAATAGCGTTATCATCAATTTGAGAATCACACTGGCTAGACTCTGCTTCGTATACCATTGAATCCAGTGCTCCAACGAAAAAGTTTTGTAATGGCTGATCACAGCGTCTGCCTGTCACATTCGGTCGACACTTACATTGACCAGTTATAACATCACAATCTCTATCAATGGAGCCTCCAACGTCACAATCACAAGACGAGCATCCATCGTCACTGTCTGACAACCCATAAAACTCGGGAAGACATTGATCACAATTTCTCCCTGTAACATGACGTTTACAAAAGCAATTTCCTGTTGCTGCGTCACATCCCCTTTCATTTATTGTGCCTAATCTGTCACATGTGCAGGATTCACATCCCTCTGGGTTGTCCAAATTAAAGTTCCAATATCCATCGCTACATCTATCACAACGCGCTCCATCAACGTTTGCTTTACACAAACATCTGCCAGCGGTTTTGTTATTAGCCGCGTCAGTTTCGTCATCACATAGAATTTCTTTATCTGTCGTTCCTTCTGGGTCACAATCACACTGTTTACATACGTCTGGACTTTGTATATCAAGAGACGGATCCTTATAGAACGTTGGTTTACATCTCTCACAGTTAACCCCCATTGTATTATGCTGACAATTATCACACACTCCGCCACTTATTTTACCAGTCTTATTATAAACTGCGGCGTCAAAATGGCAAGCGGTAGCATGGTTATTGCATGTACATCTTTTACAAGCGTTCGACGTTTTTCCAACGGCCGGTTGCCACGGTAAATCATTATAGAAATCTTCACAATATTCACAATTCAAACCACGTGTATTATGTGTGCACTCACAACGCCCATGAACCATATTGTTCTTTGCATCCACTCCGGGCATGGGAAGACAGCGCGAAGCATGCCCATAGCAGGAACAGGATCCTCGGACAGTCATTTCATAAATAGAATAATAATATTTTTCTTGAATTTCAGCTCTATTATCAAGCAAATCATCGCCGAGTGTATGTAACTTCGTAAAGTTTATTCTTAAATTCGTCATTCGCAATAAGTTTTGAACTTCTTCTGAATAAGGATTCGTCACGTTTATATTCGGTGGTAACACTCTAAAAATCACTTCACCCTCCGTCGAGGGCGCAACACCTGAATAACGTGATTCACAAACAACTTCAGTTAAGCTCCGTTGCGTATGCTTAGGTACAGAAGGGAAAGCTTCGTCGCAGTTATGCGCAAAGTATCGATAAACTCGCCATGTCTTGCCAAAGTCAAAAGACCTCTCCACTAACATAGCCTTAGGGCGAAACGTTTTGAAGTTCATTATTAAATGCGTTAGATGGAATTCCGCTTCCATATCTAGTTGTACTGTAACATTCTCCTTTCCATTTTCGGATTGCCACCATGACTTCGTTCGTGTGCCGGGATGAAACTTGTATATAATATTCTGTATTCGATGATTGTACTGCGGATTGTTCACTGTGTATTCCGTGGAGTCGCACCAAAAACATTTTTTTCGCTCTTCCAAATGAGACACAATACAATATCGCTCGCGGCCGTGGACTCCACAAGTGGACGAGGCGAAGAGTCTCGCCTCCCGGCCGATGAGAAGATTTCCAGTCGCCGGATAACAGGAGCTGAGTTCACAAGCGCGGTCTAACAAGCGGGGATCGGCACGTTGTCGATCGCGATCTCTATTGTATACGGCGCCGCCGACAGTGATAAGCGCGGCAAAGATAAATACGTCGTATGTAGCCATGGCGCGCACCGGCTCTCCGCGCGCCGCTTATTTCACTGGCCTCAGGCCTGACCGGCATCGCCTGCGCCACTCTGCCCGCATCCCGCCTTCCCCCGCCCACCCGCCGCTCTCTAACTACGGGCCGAGCTTTGTTGCGCTAACAGGGCCGCATTCAACTATTTTTAATCTATTAATTACAGTTCATGTGAACGTTTCAAAGTTTTTTTAGCTCCTTCTTGTCTCACATCTAAACATGACATTAGTATAATCTCTATTTTATAAACTATATTAATATCTATATTATCCGTATGCGTAAATCAAAGAGCATAAAGTCACTACATGATTCTAGCGCCACTTTTATACAGAAAACATTTATTATTTATTTACACTTCGTTACATTGATATAAAAACAAATAACATAATACATACATAAATATATACCTAAAGGATGCAACGGGCGCCCATATCGCTAACAAGCGAGCTCTTCCAGGCAACCCTAGTAAGAAAAAAAGAAATTGATGGGTAAAGTGTACGATGTGCATGACCAAATCTTTAAAAAAAATAATAGAACCACCAACCTTAATCTAAAATAATACAAAAACAAATTAAAAAAATAAACTAACAACTAAAAAGCTAATTTCACAGATGAATGAATTGCGATGCAATACAGAAGAATAAGAAATACAAGAAGTCACGATTGAGCAGGATAGGATATGGTTAAGAAATGTTTATGGAGAAAAGTTATTAAATCCAAAGTCAAACGCTTTGTATTTCTGCATAAAAAATACTATAGCGGTCTGGCTTATAGTACTAATATTATTATTAGCTCACCTCAAATTATTGTAATTTGGGTTAAATATATTGATACACTAAAAATATAACTGGGAAGTAAGAATAATGATAATCATTAATCACGTTTTTAATCTATTCGATATTAGTCAATAGAGACAATTATAATATATATTATAAACCATAGAGTATTTGGACCACAAGTTTGACAGCAATTATAAATAGCTTATTATTATGACATGTTGATGTTCTTATTATATTATGATAATTAATATGACATTTGCATGCCTATTACAATGTGGCTGATTATGTGGATCTTTATAATTGATCGATCTAAATGTACCACTTTGTTGCAAATAAATATTTATTTATTTAAACTATTGTGTACAATCCATCCCTGAGCGAGGCGACGACCGCTCCCGCTTTCGTGTTCGCTCGTGCCGTTCTAAGAAACGAGCTCCACTAGGCAACAAAAATACAAGTTTTGGGATGCGCTTTTTGTTTTGATGCGGCTTCGTAATTCTAATGGCGACCGGTGTTCCAAATTACCTCTTAAAAACAGCCATTAAACATTTTTGTGTTTAAAAGATTTATATTGCGGTCTAATTATTGTACGATATTCACTCTTCCGCTCAGTACATCCTGTGTTGATAATTCGCGATCTGACCCAATGTTATTGCGGGTTGGTTAATTAAAATATTTTACTAAAATGCAAACATCAAAACTTGCAAGTGAATTAGTGGGCTATAATCTCATTAAGCTTAAGATACATTTTAAGCATTTAAATCACTGTTCTGTCTTTTTCCAACACAGCGTGAAGATAATTTGGTAGAGACGAATGGAGACTGATTAATAATGTCATATAAAGGGTTATTATTCGTAAAAAACAAAAAAAATCGTAGCTTCTATGAATAAATGGGTAAGTTGTGAATTAAGGTAAAAACAAAATAACTCCTTTTCCAAAAGAAGTTGCTTACATTTTTTAAGGCAAGGTACCTTAACTTTAAGCTTAGGCGAGTATTTGGACCAACAATTTTAAATAGCTTAACTTATTATTATGACATAGTGTTGATGGTCTTATTATATGTATGACTTAATGAAAATTAATATGACATTTCCATTCCTATTTGTATATGGCTGATTGTGCGGATTTTTATAATAGATCGATCTAAATGTGCCACTTTCTTGTAAATAAATGATTTATTGTTTATTATTATTATTATTTATAAGCTAGTATATTTGCATTATGCTTTCATAGCTACTTTATGAAAATTGTGAGTGCACTTAGCAAATCTCAGGTAACAGTCAACGAACTGAATAAATTGCTCATTACAACTCATTTCACGTTAATGAACAAGCATACGTACACAATTCGTGTTAAGTGGGCCATGGTATTTGCGAAACGATGACGTCACCAACCGGTCCGAATCATTACTATAATTAATAGTAAATATATTTCTTGAAACTTAAACAATGGAGGCCCCTCTAGCTATAGATAACCATAGTTTCGACAACTTTGCTGATAACCCCTTATCTGCTTCCAAGTTATAAAAAATATTTTAAACGGATATGTACAACGTAAGATAATTTTCAAATGTAATTATTAGGGAATAAGTACTATGTTTAAAGTTTGACTAACTAAGACTATTGGAGACGTATTAATTTTAAAATATCTATAATATTATTCCATGGTTTAGTGGTTATCAGGCAGTGTTGGCCTAGGGGCTTCAGCGTGCAATTCCCATCCCTGTTAAGTGAAGGAAAACATCGTGAGGAAACCGGTTCGCCTTAGACCCAAAAAGTCGACTGCGTGTGTCAGGCACAGGAGGCTGATCACTTACTTGCCTATTAGATTGCGAAATGAAACAGATGCATAAATCTGAGGCCTAAGGCCAGACCTAAAAAGATTGTTACGCTACTTCTTTTTCGCAACTTGCGAGTCCAATAAATGTTTTGGTAGGCGAGTACCACTTATATGCTTTAAACAAATCAGCTTTATTATAGTACACTATAAAGACATGACGTGTTTATACATAAATTGAAGTATTGCAATTCTTTAACAACAAATGAAATCTGATATTGCAACATATTAAGACTTATGTGGCTTTTTGCCCGATCGGCACCATTTAATGTGTTATTTTTAATACAAATGTTTTATAGCAGATGTACATAACGACAAGTTCCTTTGAATCTTTCTTTCCTACCTATTTAGTAATCTATTCAACCTGTTTGCAACTCAACCTACCTTAAAGTTAGGGACACAATATCCAAGATAAATTAATAACAAATCTATGCACAAAAGCGCAATTAATCGCAACAATAATACATTGTTTAATAGAAAACTCGTGACACTTCGCTTTTTTTAACGGTTCATAATTTTACATTTATAATTTTAAAAAAATATATAGAGTCAATATTATTTTAATGAATAGGCGACTGGGGCATGTTCTTGCCAGTATAGTCAATTATAGTTGCCAGTATAGATTAGTGCCCAGCTTCAATTTAGGCAAAAGTAGCCCTAAAGAATAATTCTGCATTCGCCATTTTAAATGAATGTTGGGGTTCCCCTTTGGAATATATACAAAGTAACATCTGTAATTAACTAAGTAAATATCGAATTCCCAAATACATGTGTCATCGACTCTGTGAATGAACGCTTTCGTTTTGATAACGATACTTTTAAATAACGGTTATCATGACAAAGTTCACGCGATAAGCACCCGGCACTGACGACCTAGCATCTTATTTTTTTAATTATAAAACCCTATTTCCACTTTAATATAAATCAGAAATTAGCCATTATAATGCCGAATTGAATCATTGAATATTAACTAATCTTTACTTCAGTGAAGTGGTCGACTAAATGAATAGATTTATATTAATGTATGCAAGATGTTTATAATTATACATTATCAAGGAACATCCAAGTGATTTCTTTTAATTGATCATGTAGTTTTTGAGTTTTTTCGTTACCAAAGTTCGAGTTTTTGGCCGATTCCAGTTTCATCTCACTGATTCACGAGTCTTGCCTTACGAGTTTTTATGAGGTTTTAGGGCGAGGTCCAAACTTTATGAATGGCGATTAACTTACGTAAAATGTACAGGTTTTAAAATTACTTTGGCATATACACAAGGATTGCATTTGGGAGTTATGTATATGAAGGTGTAGCTCGACGTTCAAGAATGAAAACCAGGCCAGCTGGCTAACGTATGAAAAAAAATTTTTTTTATTGAAATGAATCCAGATTTTATTCAAAAGTGGTTTAGGCGTAATTAAATAAAAGAAGTACGTACGTACCTGATTTAGTTAGGCGTTCTGATTGTGTTAAAAAATAGTGTGTAACAAATGTTAATTAATTCATGACCAAATTAGAATTAAATACTCATTTAAAAATCAACTCTATCTGCACAGATAAGGAAGATATTTATAGCGAATATATAGATTTCAATGAAGGGTTCGTTTCAGCTTAATTTAATGTTTAATGTTATGAAATTTTGAATGAAGAAACATTAAAAAAATTCTACAATTTATTAAACATCAAATTTGATATTATCAAAACACATCTCATTTCACTTTGCTATACATATACATATAAACTATGCTTTGAAGCTTGTATGAGGACGTACCTAAAACGTATAAAACGGGAGCTAAAATTTAAACTTTCGCAATCGCCATAACATAATTTTATGTACGCCGTTTACAGCCCAGCCTCAGGACAGCTAAATATAAATACGCAATGGCTTCGTCACATTTCCTGATATATTTATTTTGTATTAGTTTTAGCTTAAAACACAATATATTTATTAAAGTTTTAAAGTATATTAGGAGGGCACTGAAGAAAATGTTTGCCAAAGCGAACTCTCCTAGTAAGGACGTAACTTTAGCAAAGAAGATTAATAAAAATCCTATGGACAAGCACAAAATCTTTTGAAGTCATAATTCTTCATATTATTTTTATACAATGTGGACAGTTAAAATGTTATATTGACATACTTCGATAAGTAACAAGATGGTTATAAAAATAATAAGTTGTTCTCATTTCGACTGGATATGAGAAATTATATCAATTATTATTTTATAGAAGAAATGATATGTGAACAAATTTGATTGACATTTAATCTAATAAGATTATTAATGATAAAATGACTCTAGTCAAATGATTGACACGAAACTTATAAGTTCATTTAACAACGAGTTCTATTTAAACCCACTTTAAAACAAGACAAGTGTGAATCATGTATGTGTATCAATCCACAAGTTACTCAAAATCAACCCTGTCAAATCAAATCAAACTCAACACACACTGTTTGATGTTAATTATTTCTTTTCTTATAATGAATAATGTAAAATCTAAAGTTGCAATATTGCAACAACATGCACATAATAATAATATATTTATCTGCTGCATTGTTTTTAATAACACCATGTGCCTAGTAGATTTTTTTTTGTTCTAGTTACATTGTCTTCACATATAATTATCGAATCAAAGAATACAAAATATTGTTACAACTATTTGAAACGAGTAAGTATAGCGTTTCTTACCTAAACTTCTCCATAATTAAAAAAAATCTGTAATTTATAACTTGTATATTTAACTTTCAAACGTTCTTTTTTTTAATAGGCCTAATTGAAATAAATGATTTGACTTTGAATCGAAAAAGTCACGCTTTCTTAAGGTTATATGGAAATAGACCAAGATTCAACAAAATCAATTTATTAGTTTTTGACATATATATTCTGTACCTATGTATGTAACTAAAGTCGGTATTATCAAATTGCTTTACATAAAAGAAATAAATGCCTTTATATAATGCATACTACTACTACACTAATATAATTGCCTAATGCCTATCAATCTTGTTAAACAAGTTAAGAAGCTCCGAAAAATATATCGGTTGAGATGCTGCACGATACAGGAATCACCCTGAATACAGAAAAGTTCCTCTATGTCCCATACATGGAATTGTCGAGTTATATATAGTCCTTTTGGTTTTATAGACATTAACGTTAGCTCCGCGATGTGTGATAGTTCAACGCCCCGAGCCTTATCGAGATAACTTTGGTTTCATCCTGTAAGCTCGGGATTACATCATAGGACATCGTCTATTTATAATGTTGCAACACATTAATTATCTACATGTAATAAATCTCGCCTAGATTTTATACCCCTGTAGTGTATAAATGTAGCCCATACTTACATACACCCACTTTATAATAATTGGCATTTAAAAATATAACAATTTCCATTTTAAATAGCGATATTTCTACTGTAGTAATGGTCAACTCTCAGTAATAACGCTATTAATGTAGAAAGGATTAGAGTAACTAAAATTTATTCTTTAGATCTATTTATGAGAGACATAGCTATGTTACTATATTTAATATTAAAAATAATTACTCAATCAACTTTCATAGTATCGAAATACCCAAACCACATCCCTAATGTGGTTTATATTCACTATAACAACAAAGATATGTTATTACGAAAGAAAATATTTATAAAATGTAATTTCTTATGAGATTGTATTTATTTTACTAAAGTAGTAATACCTCAGATTACACTGTGAGAATGTTCTCACTGTACACCCTCGAATGTGTCTGAATAAGTTTTATTGTTTTTTTAAATAAATCAATAAAACTTAAGTGGTAAACCAAGGTCGAAAAACACAGAAAACAAATTATAAACATTTGGACTTTATCGTCCTTAAGCTTCATAGAATTCGTCGTAAACATCTGGTAACCATATTGAGTGTGGCAAGACAATGCGATTGGACATAATACTCTTTGTAAAAATTAACATCGTCAAAAGTTTTGTTCCCATTTGCTCAAATATATAAGGTAAAGTAATTGTTTACGTCGAACTTTTGATAATAATAATTATATTTATAGGAATGTTTATGTCCTAACTGTATCATGTAGAATTGTGGTCCATTTGTTAAGTGATAGATACAGTCTTCCATGATCCCTTGTCGTTGAGATGTGGCGTATCTCTGCATCTTCTACCGCATTTACCATGGAGAGAGTTCAGAGGAGTTGTTTAGACTAATAGCTGCAGCTGAGTTTTATCACCGGACGTCAAGGTAGAATACAAAATACCATCCGTATCACCTCGACGTCAGTCGTTCCACAGCTGAGCGTTTCTTAAGGCAGTTTTAGCCACGCACCACTACTATGAGGAACCAGCTGCCCACTGAAGTATTTTCGAACCAATTCGACTTAGGGTCCTTCAAGAAACGGCCCCGCACTTACGAGCCTTCTGGCAATGTGAGTGTCCATGGGCGGCGGTTTCACTTAACATCAGGTGACCCTCCCGTTTGCCTCCTATTACATTAAAAAAAATGAAAACACACTGCTACAGGAACCGCAAGTACGCTATTCGTTAAAAGGACCCTAAGACAAATTTATTCCAAAATTTTCGATGGACAACCCGTTCCAAATATTGATATTGCGTAAAATGAAGCACACAGCTTACTAGTTTACTAAATAGTTTATCAATGAATTATGCTAGACTAACCTGCGTTGAACATGATGCATAGCCCTTAACAAAGTCGTCGCAGCTCGCAACATATTGTCCCAATTGCCGCCCAATTCCCCGCCCAAGGACCACACCACCCACTGTTGTTCTTCGACCTACGAAACAATTTACAAGTATTCATAAAATAATCTCCTCTTTGACTCAGTTGGCGACGAAAAAAGAAATCTTGGGATGATAGAATCATTACATTCTCAAAAATAGAAGAATCAAGCAGGAATGAATTTTATACATTACTAGTAGATAGATTTTATTTATTTCTCCAAACGTTTCCAAAAAACCATGAGAGTTTTTCCTGTCATCTAAAAGCTGTGATCCATATCTTATAAGACATAAAAGCTTTTAATACATTCGAATTTGAATTTTATTTTTTTGCATCAGCACAATCACTTGATTTATCAATGTCACTTGATTGGTTTGTGGCGGAAGGATGATGTACTGTTCCACCAAGATAAACGAAGGATCCTCGACCACTCAAACCACTGACTGGTCCGAAGGTCCCAGTGGCGGAAGTCGAGAACTTCTACCTATCCTTAACGGCTGGAAATGCTTCGTTCTGTAGATGCCGCTACTGGTTCTATGACAACAACAATCACACACAATTTCAAAGTCAAATCATTTATTCCAATAAGACCACCTAAGATGGCACTTTTGAACGTAAAATAAAATATAAAGATGATTGAATTATTTAAAAGATAGTTTCGCGTGGAGAAGAATGGGCAAGAAACTCCACACTTCCACTTTTAAAATAGGTTTTAATTTGTATACATTAGTTAAATAATTATATGTACAATACTTCTAGAATAAAACTACTATACTAAAATAGGCACAATACTAAAAAAAATACTAAAGTATTACTTACAAATTATGCAGCGGATAGGTCAATTATTGTATTGCTAGTATGTATGTTCTGCATGCTCCTCACATATTTACAAATATTGAATCCGTAGAATTATACATTAAAGAGTAATAATAAAAAAAACTATTTTTTAATACAGTTGCTCAAAAAGTGGCGTATTGCAGGGACGTATAGCGTTCGGGATGTGGGCTATTACACACTCGTGTTTTTTTTTTTACCTTTTCCGAACTAGTGCGTTTTCTTTCCCAACTGTCAAAATAATATCTATTAAAAAGAAAAAACCAACCACGAAGTTTTTACTAAAGAAAAGTTCATAGAATTTTTTATGATTCATGCAAATATTTCTAAAAAGAAGCTACTGCTTTGTTTCAATATCAGATTTAATGATTTAATTCAATGAGTTAGGTTACATTTCATTTCATTTCATTAAATTTCATTTCATATCAATAAAAAATTGTACTGAAGACTTGGCTGTATGGGCATAGTTCCCTTTGCCTACCCAGAATGGGTGAAGAAAAAAAAAATATCTGCTTATATTCTTTTACGGTTGGCGCCATTTTCCATAAATGTTCTTTGCGCGTTTAGTTGTTTGTTATATTATATATTAAATATACATGAACAATCATACGAAATTAATAATAGTTTGTCTCAAACAGTAAATAAATATGCAACCTAAAACTTCTCCAGTTAGTATAAAAAACTGTACCAATGTATATGTGAACAATAATTTGTATAAGAAATAAATGATTAGTTAGTTGAGTTTATTGTGTTTTTATTATTTTATTAAATTGCATAATTTTTTCGCAACTGTATTAAAAATAGTTGTTCAGTACACGTGCGGAACCGTCATTGCAACTTGTTCCGACTGTCAACCCTCACCTTCGGCTGCGCCTCGGCTCGGGTAGACATTTGTCGAAACTCTTTGCAATGACAGGCTTTCCGCACTTGTAATGAAATATACTATTTTATCTACCTTCGTAAGAATATCCTTAAAGTCCTTAACAATGGGGGTGAGCTTCTTGGACTTATCCGTGTAGTAAGTGAGAGTCAGCCTCGCACCGGCAAACCATAGTTCAAGTTCATTAAGCGCAGTCCGTACGGCTGCTTCGCTAGAAGCGCTCGAACTAATTTTCTGCAATAATCAAATTTATATTCTAAAAATGAAAGAATTTGCTTCAATGTTTGACGTTTAAAAGCTAAGCTTATCGGTAAGAAAAAAAAACAACACGCCCAAACGAATGCAAATGTCGGAAGAATATATATAAAGAATGTTTGGTGAGAATTTAAAACGAAAGAACGAATGATCGCGCGTTCCTTTTGATTATGTCTCTCAATACCAGAGGGGTCGCGAGTGCGTCGCTGGCGTTTTATGAATTGCCCCACCCAAAATACAAAGGGCAGTCTGTGCGTCGACCACCGAATGCTGAATGTTCCGATGGTGGATGCCTAAAGGGAGGGAGGGTTTCTCCACAGCGGAAACGTGAGGTGGTCTCATACTTTCTTTGGATGTCTCAGTCACCTCATAAAACGCGAGTACAATAAGATGAACCTATTGCATCACTTCACGGTTTTCTGTGGAACTGCTCCGGTCGTGCCTGCCCATTTGGCTGAAGCCCGAAAGCAACAGCATGCCACACTAGGAAGGGGATTGACTGAAAATATCTTCAATCACAATCAATCGCTCTTCACTTCGCTTCGGTTTCCTCTTTCGCTTCTAATTTCTCGATCCCCAAGTGCTTTTAAATCAATTTAGAGCTAAACGGATTTCTCTACGACACAACTTGGTGGAAATATAGTATTTGTATATGTTGATTCTCTAAGTATCATACATTTTGTATTTTAAATAATACTGCAACTCTTTGTCAAAAACACTGCAATAGCAAATGTTTACTTGAATGAATTTTGCTCTATATTTTTATCAGGAGACAAAACTTTTCAACCCATTATTTAATATAGGTCTATTGTTAATTCGACGTATTCCCGGTCAGAGGTGATAGGGTTGAATGTTTCTGATAATTCTAAACCCCATATGCATTATGTAAAATTAATTTGGACTTATAATGTTTTTTACCTTTTTTAAACTATAAAATGCGACAAAAATTTACTAAAAAATTATTTGATTTAAATCTCATTTTCCGAATGATTTAACACCAGTTATTTATCAAATTTAAAAATACGAAAAGAAAAATTACTCCAATATTTTTGTGTATTTTTATGTGTGTTTTGTGCATTTATTTTCTCCAAACTGTCGATATACTTTTAAGTTAAATAAACCTCAATATACGTTTTTGATATTTTATGTACCTTTCTAAGGAGATAAAAATGTAACCTACAAACCTAGATTAAGTTTTTTCACAGCTACTACAACGGATATAATCATGAATTACTTAATTGGACGATGGTCAGTTACAACTGTTCAACTAACAACAGCATTCACCTGTAAAGCCCTCATTTGTTTCTTAATATTGACGGCCACCTTCAGAAAGTCATTCAGCTTCAATGTCTCCGGCTTCCTGTATTCCATCTCCAAGAGGTTGAACACTTCGCACCAATGCCTTTCCGTGAACTCCGTGCCACGGATGTACTTCAACACTGCCGTGAGGTCCTATGGTGTTAACATTCACAAAATCAATCAAAATAAGATTTTAGACCTCACCTCTTCGTTCGCCAACTTTACCAATATATTTTTAATAATTTCGCACGTTTATTGGTACTCTTACGCCTTTAGTACACCTACGCAATCGCATGCGGCAGCGAAACGACGAAAAAACTGTAAGTTGTATGGCAACGTTTCGCATGTGTTTTGTCTCGCTCTATTATATAGCTAGATGAAATAGTTGCGTCCTTGTCGGTATTGTTTCGCAAGTAACTGCGAAATGGCTGTTACACAGACGCAGCCGTTTCGCTAGCGGAGTTTCGCATCGCAATGCGTCACCACGCGTTCTGTCAGTGAGGACAGAATTTCGCACAATGGAAGCCGAAAATATTGAATTATTATTAAATTTGATTCGAAATTATCCCGAATTATATTTAGTTGGGCATTTTAATTACAAAAATGCATACAAAAAAGAGGTGGCATGGAGGAAAATTCAAGAAAAGACGGGGATAGATGGTAAGAAATAAAGCTACAATGACATTTCCTTGCGAAAAAACTGCAGTGTACTAACGTTCCGCAGATATTTCGCTACCGCAATTATTTCGCAAAGACTCGCAGCCGCATACGAACGCGTAGGTGTACTAAAGGCGTTAGATAGATTAACTGATTCTAATTTATTAAAGATATCTCAATAACAGTAAAATGTAACCTCTTTTACTGCTTAATTGTTTTTTTAACTTAACTACTTGTATTTACAAGAACAAACTTCTCGCTTCGATAACTGAAAGTACATGAGACCTGCTAACACTCAAAGACATTTAGCGTCTCAACCATTATTATCAACACGATACTTCCGATTAAATAGCATAAATAGCATTAAATTACATAAAATAACATTATATTACATTAAATAGCATTAAAATTAAAAGGCCAAGACTCACAGTATATTTGTCTATCTCCTGTTGCATGTACAGCGTAACCGCTGTGTATGGCTCGAGGCGACTTTTCCATCGACACACAAATTCCTCCAGCAAATGCAACTTCTTCTGAAATACGATCCACTCTTGATCGCCGATCGTTTCATATTCTGTGACAAATTACAAAATTCACTTAAATTTTATACTTTATTCATATTGTTCAATTCTAGGATATTAGAAAAGCTTGATTTCGAAATATCAATTACAATAATGCGACTCTTCTTCCATTGTTTCTAACTAAAATATTTGCAATTGCGTTTTGTATATTGCTCTTCTCCAATGCCAGGCGCAAGATGTTATTAATGTAAGTAACAATACACAGAATAAAGAAGTATATTTAATAAGAAATTAAAATTATTCGTGCATCAAGTAATTGTTCTACAAACCGTCATTATACTCTTTGAGAATATTCCACGTATTGACGAAGTCATTTCGAAGCGATTCCGCCTCCTTCCAAACGTCATTTACTTCAAATTTCATATTGAACTTCTTACATTCACATCTGCAAATAAAAGTTATTTAAGAGAACCTAGCCGCATCCGGCACAGGACAAGACAGGCTTCACGAGGCTGACAGCCAACTTCCAGTAATGGAGAGGCACCAAAAGAAGAAGAGAAACTCGCATATAAAATGAGACAAGCTCATTTACAGGGAAACGTCAAAAAATTTAGTGTGTTTATGTCATCGTAATTTTTTTTCTATCTAATTTTTTTATAAAAAATTTATATCCATACATAATGCGTTTCTTTTCGCGTTAAATTATATATAAATAAGAATAATCTTCAATTCATGCTGTGTCTGTATATTGACAAAGGTTGTCCATATGGTTATTTTATCCCTATTCGGATAAAACTATTATATTTTTAATCAAAAGTTTTAACCAAGACATATAAATCAAATTTCACAAGTAAACTAGATTAAAAAAATTAGTCTAATAATACAGATTTAACTAAAAAATACTTTCGTTTCTTACTGGTAAAATAGTTTTACGCTATGATAAAAAGAGACAGAACATTAGCTTTTTAAAACGCTGTTAAATATACTGTTTTTTTAGTTTACTAAAGTGGATTAAAGTTAGTACCGTGTTATATCGGGCACTTTAATTCTTTTAAAAAAATATAAAAAATGTCAATCAAGAATAAAAATCACTTACAACAACTCGTCCCGCTCTCCTACAAGTCTATCAAAGTTGTCTATGGCTTCGAAAACAGAGCGACATCTATCGAGCATATCCTCGAATCGTATTTGCCGCGTCTCCTCCAGGCGGGCCTTGGCCTGTCCCCAACGAGACACCCAGGCCTCTACACCACTCGTAATATTGTCCCAATCGCCCGTCAAACTAGATTTTACCACCTCGGCCTGCAAAATATATTAGCTAATACAACTTCTTTCGAAGGACTGTAGCAAATAAAGATCCGTGGTCTCTGATTTTTCCTACCCCTTCGGGAAAAAGGCGTGAATATATAAATTAAAAATAAATTTGTCTTCCAAAGGACAGGGACAAGGTCAAATTAAGTAGTCATTTAAGGCTGTATGTTTTTGACTAAACACAAGCTTAGGATAAGTCGCTATACATGAGTGTTTCCCAATGTGCGACCCACGCTCCACAGGGGGTAATTTGAATGTTAAGGGGGCTATTCAAATTTTTTTTTTAAATTATGTGGAATATGAATTTTATTTTTTATATAACCTAAAACCTATCATTTAAGTTTCTTAAGTGAACAATACAATTTTTTAATATTAAAAAGTACGTATGTTACATTGGGCGGAATTTTAAAAAAGCTAAACTTTATGGCATAAAAAAGGTTGGGAAACACTGCTATAGATAAAAAAAAACTATATTATGTATACAGATACATATTAAAAGAATAATCGGATATTTTTTCCATTTATAATTATATTTATACAAACCACAGCAGTTTTCTAATGTAACATATTATGATATTAATTTGTTAAAATAATTAAAAAAAATACAACAAGTTTCCTAGGTAAGAACTATATTCTTCGGAGACTTTGACTTCCCATTTACATATGTGTAGCACTATTTATCACGAACGTACCTGTCGTTCAAACATTTGCAGATGCGCATCCATCTGTTCCCGCATCTTGAACCACTCTTTAACCACGCTCTCAATAGAAGAGTCTCCACCCCAAGTGCGTAACATGTGGCTCTTTCGCTTCAGCCCTTCCACCAATTTCTCCATCTACATCACAGTAATACCTTGATATTAAAATTAATCTTTAAAACAAACAGTATTTTTTTTTTCTTTGATAATAATTCAATCTACCAGACACACATTAACACGCCTATATAGTCTGTCTCACTCTAACGCGTACAGCCGTGCTTACGCTACGTCACCGGTCTCGTCAGAGATGTGAATACGCAGGATGCGTTCTGTCCCGCTCTAACGCTCTAAGTTTTTAAGATATTTTTGACACAGGAATGCTGCAAAAACCATTTTCAAGCATTCCTGTGTTCCTTAAACATATAATTTTTACTTTTTTACTACATGTGTACATTATACGTTCATGTTACAATTAGAGTAAATGGTTGGTAACCATGGTAACCATCAATGAACTATGATCGCGCACGTGCTGCAATAAGGCGAGAGAGAGAGAAATATATTGATTAAAAACATTCGAAATATACTATTATATTAGAAACACCTGTAAACGAACCTCTGGCATCTTCTCACGAAGGGCCTGCTGCTTCGCGCTGATATCAGCCAATTCCTTCGCATTCTTGGGCAGGCTTTTATTCTCCAATAACACCGTTACATTCGCGATGAACGTGTCCAATAACGAGGCATCATTGTGGCAACTATTTTGGAGTGACGTCATGAGACACGCCCACAAGTTACGCGATTGCGCTTCAAATTCTCGACGTAAGGAGATCGTCCCAACGGAAATCCACTCTATTTTTTCGTCATCACTGGAAAGATTTAATTTTTGTGAGCTTTGTATATATAGTATAATATATAATACTAGCTGCCCCCGCGAACTTCGTTTCTCCTTAAGGCCTGGCCAACCTTTTTAGTACATACATAAACGTCAGAGTTGAAGTCATAATTGACGGTTTTACATAAAAATAAAACCGATATTATGTGCCGAGAAGGAAAACATACAGCATTGTATAATGAAGAAGCAATGTATACTTAGCCATGAAGTGCGATACATACCGAGTGAAATAGTTCCGCTTAGATAGAATAGATGGCGCTGTAATCGCCTCAACTTCATACTTATCTTAACCAGCTAGGACGTTGTCATTTCCACAGTCATAGAGTCTTCACCAGGAAGAGCTTCCTACAATGCTGTATGTTTTCCTTCTCGGCACATAATATCGGTTTTATTTTTATGTAAAACCGTCATATTGATGTGCCTCCGGAAAACATACAGCATTGTATAATGAAGACGTGTTTGTTATCTGCTGGTGGATGTATAAAGTACAGTATAAAACACAACGCTATGATGATTATGAAGAATTAAAGGCTTTAGCTAAAGCCGTTATTGTTTATATAACTATTACTATTTATTTACTTGCCAATATTCTTAATCAAAGCATAAGTATTTAGCAATAATTATTATTCTTAGTTACGGTATAAATATAACTATATTGATTGAGATGTACAATTAACGTAATAATATAAACTTACTATCATCACAACAAGGTATTTCTATAATTACGATGGTGCAAATGTATTAAAGAAAGAGTGATGAGTTTTCTCTACGAGAGTCTATCTCGCGGCAGTAATGATTAAAGAATGTATGTATTTGAAGATTTCCAATTACCGTGTAATAAAAAATTTCATCTAGTGGTTGAATTTCGACCCAATTATTTTGCTGTTGATGGATATAAAAATATTGTTTAAATTTTTTACTCGAGATCTTCTTGTACCTATTACTCAAAGCTATTTTTTTTTTTTTTTAAAGACAGTTCACACCAATTGACCTAGTCCCATGCTAAGCTGGTGAAGCTTGTGTATATGGGTACTAGGCAACGGATATACATACATATTATAGAAAGATAGACATATAATTACATATTTAAACACCCAAGACCCAAGCACAACACCAAATGCTCATCACATCAATGTTCGTCCCAGCCGGGAATCGAACCTGGGACCCATGGATTCGCAGTCAGGGGTACTAACCACTAGACCAATGAGTCGTCAGGACTAACTGAAGTCTCACTAAAGTGATAGGGCATATGTTTTATCGTGGTGTTTAGAAAGTTTCCATGTTGACTGGCGTCTTGAGTGTCTGTCTTAGATTCGAATACCGGTGTTAAATAAATGTTACCACTTACCACCATCATCCACGAATTACTCGTCAGTAATTACTAATAAAGTGAACCCTGCGGCCCAGTGCTAAATGCAATACTGTGGCTGTTCTGCGAGCCGTATCGAATAAAGTGTCCCTAGGAGGGTTGGAAGAAAGCCAGTCTAGTACTATTCGCGGGTCCCACGTGACGGATGATTTCACGACTTTTGGTTTAGCTACTCCTAATACCCTGAGGGTGTGTTTAATAATACAATTTGAAAATGTTTGTTGTTCTACATGGGGACCGCAAAAAGTTAAAATTGCCGATTTGCGAACAAGGATGGTTGATAGGATAAATGTCTGATTTGGCTTTCTGTACTGTCTAAGTTTTTGCTTTGTAATATTATGTATGTTAGCTGTAAGATTACTTATAATTAAATTAATAAATTTTCTTTTAGAAAAAGTGATATTAAATTTTTTGCAATATCGGCTGTTTGAGGGGATTTTGGGTTCACTTGAGAGTTGTCACACCATGACAGCCCTCTTTTGATTGCGGGTAAATAAGTGGACAGGTGGAGTGACCAACTCTTCAAAAGTAGATCTTTTTCCAGTGTGGACCAGTCTTTTATTTGGGCACCCCACCCCCAATTTCCCAAACTTTTAGGGTCAATGCTTGTATTTGTGGAGGAGACAGTGCAATTGTCGTATCTAGGAGTGTCTGCGATAGGTGTTGAATTTCGTGGGGGTGATCTAGAGACCTGGATTTCAGGTCCTGCAGCCAGAAACTTCGCGGCCAATCTGAAGCAACTATCAGATAGGTTCCCGTCGCCCGGTTTAGGTGTGCTAAAACTCAGGGTAACAGACTTGGAGGGGGAAACACCCATGCTAGAGGAAGAAGGTGCCACTACGCAGCCTTTTTTTTTCCCCTTTATAATCTGTCTGCTATGGTCACCCTGGTAGGTAATGTACCGACAGAGTTATGTTGAATTTGTCCGTCAGGTGCAATAGTTTGAAGTTTAGTGTAAGTAACCCTATCGATTTCGTTCCACCTTCTGTTGGAATGTATGCAATCAGAGTTTCATTTGTCCAATTGTATTAACACGTGTGTGTTTTGTAATATTTTTACATTTATTTTTATTGCGGCTATCACTGCATATAAGTCCTTTTTGTTGCAGTGCCACGTTTTCTGTTGGTATGACCATTTTCCTGACAAGGTTCCCGTCAAGGGGATGTGCCCCCCCCAACCCCAATCCGAGGCGTCCGTCGCTAGGAAGTGGGTTGCAGGTTCTTTGTGTATAGGCGTCGTCTGATGAGTAGCTCCGAGCCACCACATCAGTTCCTGCCCTACAATCTGAGGCAGCAGTTGACCTCGACGGGGTCGGATCTTGTTGAATTGTCGCAGAAAGATCTGTACCTGGCGACAGTGAAGCCTCCCGCGGGGCACGACAAAGTTTGCGAAGTTTACTTGCCCTAGCAAAGCTTTGTAACTCGCGAATACAACGCATAACTATGGTTTTTGCGCTGTATTTTTACCTTGGGTAGCGACATCACATTGACCATAGTATTCCAGCGAATTCCAAGATATTCTAAATTTTGGGTTGGTACCAATACGGATTTTTTGGTAATTGATTTTCCAACCTAGGTGTTCCAAGTGTCTCACGGCCTCCGCGGCCTGAGAATCTAACTTGGAAGGTGTTCCAAGTGTCTCCCGGCCTCCGCGGCCTGAGAATTTAACTTGGAGGGTGTTCCAAGTGTCTCACGGCCTCCGCGGCCTGAGAATTTAACTTGGAGTGGTCTTGGTTGACTAGAAGGTAGTCGTCTAGGAAGACTAGCATTCGACATCCCTTCGCACGTAAGGTCTCCGCGACCCAACATGATACTGCAGAGGAAAGGTGTGGTACTGACGCTAGCCCAAAAGGAAGGCAAGTCATATTTTCGTATAACTGCCCCTTTTAGCTGAGCCTTAAGAAAGGTCGGTGTAATCTCGCTGCCGGTAGATGCAAATAGGCTTGTGATAAATCTATTTATCATCCAGTCCCCTGGTTGAAGAAAGTCTGGGACTAAGCCATGGGAGATCAACCGAAAATGTTTTGTCTTTACGAATCGGTTTAGTTCTCGCAAATCTACAATAGAACGCATCGTGCCGTCGCTTTTCCTGCGAAGAACCATTTTGGTTATAAAACTGGGGGTTTTGTTGAGAACTGTTTGTAGAATACCAGGAGTTCTATGATTATCTGCGATGTCGTAGGTGACGGTTCGGTTGCGTATTGACTTACTATTCGATTTGTTGCCATTAACAAAGGCGGTTTTTTGTACAGAGGTATGCGGAATCCTTGAATTGTGTTGGATAGTAATTTTTTTCCGTCATTGTTAGATAACGGGTAGTTTTAAAGTTGTTTATGACTATCGATTTTCCTGTTAAACGTTCGCATCGTTTCTTGTTTTAGGTGGGTATTACGAAAATTATTTTTTCCATTTTGTGCCTGGTGTCTGTATTTGGATGTAGACGCTAACGATTCTTTGTATCTAGGTTTAAAAAGCTCTCTTACTCTTGAAGATTGCGGCGGAGATAACCAGAATTGCGGCCCACCGAGGGATTGTATTGTATTAGGGACGCGAGCTTACTTTTATCAAATAAAAATTCCTCGCTAGGAGGTATATTACTAAGCGCAGTTTGAATACTTTTGTCCGAAATCTCACTTATTAATCTTTTACGCCTAGTTTCTATACATTCCGCTCGTTTTCCGCATACAATTTGTAGGGTTTGTTCATGCAATTTGTGAGAAGGTGATTCATTACCAACAATATAGGATATTTTTGTGAAAAGATTAGCGGGTTTTAATTCCGTTGGGTTATTACGAGTCCAGTTTATGATTTTTTGTAATCCAGATTGTAGTAATTTTTTATACTTTATACCCTTTGACATAGGAGTTTTTAAAAGCTTAATATATTAGGTATTATATTTTTATATTTTTATATATTTATTTTGTAATTTTTTTTCTTTTTTATCGGCCTTCTTAATAATCTTTTTATCATCAATATTTGTGATACCAAGCCCAGAGATTTCGATTTTCGGGTCGACGGATTAATAAAAAATCGCTATAGTAGTTGGTCGGTCAGTGGGTACCCTCGTCATTGGACGCACTGGCGTTGACATTTGGTACATAATATTGTTGATGCATTATAAAATTTGTGAGGAAACTCACCTGATTATATAACGCGTCGATCATGGGATCGACCGTTACCTGTGCTACTCGTTTCCTTTTCTTTCGTGGCGGTCCCTCGCGCTCCGAGTCGCTATCAGACGCGCTGCTGGTGCACGTGGAGTCCTCTTTGTCTTGTTCGCGACCTTGCTCGACACTTTATTAGACTACCTGCCTGATCGGCCCCGGCGGCGGCCTTATCGGCACCGTGAGTCCATTACGCACTTGTAATGTATAAATAATGCGTTTTGCTAATAATTAACACTAAGAAAGACTATAAGGTTTTAAGTCGTTATTAAGTCGTTTCGGTTTCGACCGCACGCGGCGAAAGTACACAACGCTATGACTGTGGAAATGACAACGTCCTAGCTGGTTAAGATAAGTATGAAGTTGAGGCGATTACAGCGCCATCTATTCTATCTAAGCGGAACTATTTCACTCGGTATGTATCGCACTTCATGGCTAAGTATACATTGCTTCTTCATTATACAATGCTGTATGTTTTCCGGAGGCACATAATTGACAAATAAAAATAGGGGTTGATCGTAGAGGGGTGATAATTAAGGGTTATATGAATTTTTATATGCTGTGTCATATAAAAATTAAAACAAAAAATTGTATCTAAAAAATAAAAATATTAGGTTTTGGGGTGAACACGCTTAACATTTAGGGGTTTTAAAGATAGATATTAGCCGATTCTCAGACTTACTGAACATGCATAAAAATTCATAAGAATCGGTCGAGCCGTTTCGAAAAAGTATGGGAACGAACATTGTGACACGAGAATGTTATATATTAGAGATATCCACTCACAAGCTCATCTTGGCGACGGCCTGCCCGTAGGCCTTGCAGGCTTTGAAGTTCATCTCCCAATGCTCGGGCTCCGTGAGGTCGGCGCACAAGGCGTCCAAGTCGGGGGCGCAGGCCACGCACGCGCGGATGCTCCACGTCTCACAGGCCTGGCTCAGGCGCAGCAGAGCCGTCTCTATTTGATGGACCGCTTTGTTGCCAATCCAACCGTGTCTGAAATATTTCAAATCAATGAATCTCAGATGTCAATCTAATAGGCAAGTAGGTGATCATACTCCCGTGCCTGACACGAGTCGAGCTCTTCACGATGTTTTCCTTCACCGTTCGAGCGAATGTTAATTGCCATAACCAGGTGTAGGAGGAGAACATTCTTCATGCTCCCGCGCTGCAGGAAAGACTTGCAACCGCCTTACACTTTTATTTGTGGTCTTCTCCCACGGAGACAAGTGAAGAGACGGAGGACTATCGGTGAATGGTGTTTCCATTCGCCGCATTCCACTTTCCCCTCGGTCTACTTCTCTTTGTCTTCGCCGCTACACTAACATATCAACTAAGATCGAATCTTTACTAACTATAACTTTAACTGTATATAGATATAATCTGAGGTTATTATTATTACTTCTCCACTATAGACGCAAAGACAGCCTTCTCCAGCTGATTGTTGAGCAACGAGGGGAAGTGCGAAGGCAGAGACACGAGTCTTCTCAGTTGCTGGTAGAGCTGGGTCCGGACTTGTTCCAGGGGAGGCTGCACTGTCACTGCTCGGCCGCTGGAATCAAACATGCACAGATTATAATTATTATAAATAAAAGTTTAAAGTAGTTTTTATTAATAAACGACCAAAGAGGATAGACATGACGACACAAGTCGTGAAGTCCTGAAATCGATCTGATGAACAGACATTGCTTTTGTTTCACTGATCAAATTTTTTCATGAAAAGAAGGCTTGACAGAGCGTTGCCGACCTTTAAGATTAACTTGTAGGCCCCTAAATAACAGCAGTCTAAACCGACATACCGCAGCACCAAGTCGACCCTCGTGTGCGGGAAGTTGGAGTGCAGGGAGAGCAGGGCCCGTATGTACTGACACTCCATCGCTTTGTACACCTGTACCTCCCAGTGGGAGCGCCACATCTCCGTGTTCTTGTAGCCGTTGCTTTCCACCTACGGACAGTACTGAGTGTTATGCACCAAGGCTAGGAATGTGACATTATCCATGACTAAATGACCTTCATGTGGGAGAATTTTTAGATCATAAGTTTGACAATAATAATGAATATTTGAACTGTTCTTATTATTTTAATAATTAATATGAAATTTGCCTATTTTTATATGGCTGATGAATCTAAATCATTTTTCTTGCAAATAAACGATTTATTATTATTATTAATTATTATCTAACACTTATTTCCCTTTATATAGTAATGGGAAGATCAAAGAATAAAGACACCAAGCTAAATCTACAATCTGTGTGACGGCGTACAAATTTTTGGTTTACCCTACCAAACCGTTTACCATGTAATATGCCTATGCCTCTATAGCGTGAGCGAGTATTTGGGCCATAAGTTTGACAATTATAAATAGCTTAAATTATAACAATGACATTGTGTTGATGTTCTTATTATAATTTTGGATTGATTATAAATCAAATAGGATAAAAGTGATTTTCAACTGAAATAACAAACTCTAAACGTTTTTCTTAAAATAAATATTTTTGCAACACATTTGAGTTTCACTCTTTTATATAATTATTATTTATTCCCTACTATATAGAAAACATTTATATATTTATATAAATATCTTTATTATATCTTTTATATATTTATATAAAACATTTGATATCTCTAGAAAATACACAATCACACGTACAAGTAATATGGAAAGACAAACCTTCTCTATGATATCTCGAATATCGTGAACACTCTTCTTCCATTCGCTTTGCTTGGCGAGAAGTTCCGTGTCCATCAGCTTTTCTACAACACCACGAATTGCCAGGTGTTGACTGGTGAGGTAAGAATTCTGCAAAAATCATTATATAATATTTGTTATATACATTTTCTTTAAACAACAACTAGTACTTAGTATATATTCTTTAGCACATATTTATCTCAAGTAAGTAAAGTAAAAATATTGATTATTAATTTTGACGTAATGATTGGACATCCTAACAAACACTTTATAAAAACTCGCAGATTGAATTATTTTATTAATTAAATTAAATTTATTTTTAAGTTAATTAATGTACAACAATTAGAACTTAAATTAGACAAGAAAAGAAACACAGACATAAGAGCTAGAACAGGTGTGACAGACATTCTCACTCAGATAGACCAAATGAAATGGAGATGGATGGATCATATGCTACGAAGCTCTCATGAAAAATGGAGCAAAATATTGACGGGAAGGTACCGTAGAGACGGAAAAAGAAGGGAGAACGAACTCAAACTAACAGAAGGCTACATCTGGAGAAGAGTCGCAAAGGATAGAGAAGAGGCACGCCGAACTCCGAGATATAATGTAGTTAAAAAAATCGGTTGTCTGTAAAGTCGGTTTACTGACGATAGTTGAACGTGACAACTCATAAGAAAATACCGATGGAATGGTTAAAAAGAAAATTTTAATTTTATTTGTTTAATATATATTTTGTATGGATATAGAGGAGGTAAATGGAAATCACATTTGAATTGATCAAGTTACATTTATTTGTACGCAATAATAATACAATTATCTCAATTTTTTAACGAGCGAACGCTCGTTCCGCGCTCTCGCTTGCACTTCAAGCCTTAAATGGAACGCCTCAGAGCGAGGTAACGCCTCAGAGCGAGGTAACGCCGCATGAGTCATGTTTTTTCGTGCGTGCAGCCGGCTCCATCGAATTATAAGACGTTGTCACGTCAAAATATTAAAGATCACACATCACAGAGTTATAAAGGATATATTATTGTACTGTACAAAAATAACTAATAAATAATATTTTAGTTTTGAAAGAATGTAGATTTTCAATGTTTTGTAAATACTCTTTTATAATTCATGTTTCATTGTGTCATATTCACAACACCATACTAATGGGGGAAATTGTCTGGGCCAAAAATCAATCTAGAACAGTTTAGGAAAAACATAGTCAAACATTTTGTATGGCAATTAAGGTTTACAATAATTTACCAAAAGAATTAAAAGATCTTCCGACTAGTCTTTAAAAAGCGACTTGGTATATTATTTTTGGTAAAAATGTACAATTCAATAAATGATTATTTGCGTGAGACACTGTAGTTGATATAAATTTAATAAATAATATAACAATTGACCAATTCATATGACTAATAATGTAAAATGTAAAATTCCTTTAAAGACAAAGCATTGTGTGTGGCAGAATATGCGAACTTACGAGTGTGCCACCTTACACATTTTTGTACCATATTCTTGCAATGAATTATTATTATTATTATAAAAAGTTAAAGTTACCTGCGATTCTAACTTAAGCACCATTTTCTTCAAGTTTTCAGTGTAAGCAGCAAGTTGTACTTCATCATTCCAAAACACGGGTTTCTGGTTCTGAACCAACGCGGAGAGATCGAGAGCCGCTTCGAGCATCATCGGTCGAGTGGACGGTATCATTCGCTCACCCAACGTATTGTGGAAGGATGCAACCTGAAAAAGAATTGCAGGCATTAGATGTTGCCAGATATAATTTTATCCATGAGACATATGTCTGCCCTATACCTTTTGATAAGGAGGAGATTTTAAAAAATAGCTCTTGCGTAGACACAAAAGTGAATCTTTATATATTTATTCACAAGAATACATAAGCCTTACAGTACTAAGCCAGGACAATAATGTCGAAGTTAAAAGTAAAATATATAATATTAAATACATCACTACATAGCATAAAACAAAGTCGCTTTCTCTGTCCCTATGTATGCTTAAATCTTTAAAACTACGCAACGGATTTTGATGCGGTTGTTTGATAGATAGAGCGATTGAAGAGGAAGGTTTAAATAGTGGAGAAATACTGTTGAGGTTTTGAGGTTTCTAATGTGATGTCGTAAATAATTACATTTTTCAACTCCGCGAAAGAACTATCTCTTATGGATATCCCACAATAACATTTTTTTGTCATTTACTTTTTACGACAAATAATGGCTAATTTTCGAAGCGATTTTAACCAATACAGCATTAATCCCTATCCAATTAAATACCTTAAATACATTGTTGATTTCATATAAATCTATATGGCCCTGTACAGCATATGATTTAAATGAATATTTTCGAAGATATTACAAATTTAAAAATTGCGGGTGCCTATTAATAGCGCGTCGAACGACGGGTGCGGTTCTCCCTATAGCACTTTGAATTTAGTATCAGCATTGCACCCGTGCGAAGCCGGGGCGGGTCGCTAGTAAGATATATATCGCTACTGTGAACTCACTTTGAGAACATCTAAAGATGTCGATTGTATCAGAGACAGCATTCAGTAAACGATACGTCTTTCCTACTCTTTAGTAATAATCGACATAATGTACGACTTTTGAAAAAAATATATTATTATTAATTTGATAACGTAATAATAATAATTATTATTCAATGTTCTCTATAGTACTCCTTGATAAGAGCTCAGTTTAAGAAATAGTATTTTATGTAATTGTATATTTCACGAAAACCCAAGTTAAACATTAAGAAGCGAAATGTTTACCTGTTGCAAAGCCCTCGCATATCGCAAAGCAATCGTCAGCTTATCCAGAACGTTAGCTGCCGGTGGGGAAGGCAGTCCTAGAGCGCAAAGAGACCTCGCCTCCAGCTCGATGTTAACCAAGCGAGGGTTGAAGTTGACCTCCATCAACCGAGTGGCGCTCGAGAACTCCACGACCGGTTTGTCAACTGACAGCTGGAGGGAACCATTCTTTACTTGAGCCTGGAACATGTAATTGAAATCGTTTATAACTTCTTTCGTCGGTGCCTGACGCACACCGTCGACTTTTTGGGTCTCACGATATTTTCCTTCATCGTACAAGCCAATGTTACATGCGCACATAGATAGTCCATTGGTGCACAGCCGGAGATCGAACCTACGAAGTCAGGGATGAGAGTCCCACACTGAAGCCACTAGGCCAAAACTGCTGATTTAATATTCTTATTAATATTATACAATTTTTTGTATTTTTTATTATTTTTTTTATTTTTATTATATTATTTTCGACGAATTATTAGCGCCTCCTACATAATCAGGATTACATTGAGTCCATGTCATGTTAAACATACTAATGTTAATAAAAACATATGTATTTAACTTGACAAACATATTATACCTAATTGGGATGATGTGTACGCGAGGGTTTAATATATATTTGGTAACTTTCATACGCATAACTTAGAAAAAGCAACATTTAAAATGTAAATATAGAAATACAATATTTATTTATATATCTCGTAATCCTACAGCTAACATAAATGATATACAATAAAAAACAATTAAACCAAACATATTATAGCCAAAGATGTATACATAATATATGTCAAAAAGGTTCTAACATTTACTAAAGGAAACAATTATTAAATACATTTATCTACGTAATACCTAATTTGGCTGTGCTGTATGATGGTGTGAAAGTGAGGGTGTGTATGTGGGGTAATGCAGGTGATTTAGCACTATGGATATGCAATTCACCTGTAAATCTCTACACCAGTCCTCGTGCAACTGCGTATACAGAGTCTTCAGGTCCGTCAACATCTGCGACGCCAAATGCGAAACCTCTTTACTCTTCTCAAACTCCACGAGGGAGTTGTCCACGCATTCTTGTATCTCCTTTACCTAAAGTATAACAAACATAATGGTTACTGCATGAGCCAAGCCTGTAGCCTGTTCGCAATTTTTGATGTTATACTTCTTTTGGCGCATTAAGGTTAAATTATGAGAGTAAATTGTTACGATGCGCGCGCACACCGTCACAAAAAGCCGACACCCTGAAGTCAGCTATAGTCAACATTTTAGTTTTTTTCTATTATTAGTGTCGTTTTTTCTACAAACTTTTTTTTTTTATCTTGTTACGAAGTATATTTAAGTATATTTTATTCTAACGCGTGTACATAAGTACACACACTTTTTTTTATAAAATATGGGGGCAAGCGAGCCCACGGGACGCCATTTTAATGGGTGCGTTGCCGGCCTATCTCAGTTTAAGCAGGGCGATTCTCTTTCGCAAGACATAATAATATTGTTTTGATGCATTCATAACTGGACTTGGTTTATAATAAATAAAATTATATTTTGTATTATTTGAACACCCAGGGAAGAAAAGTTATTTCAATTTTATTTTTTGTCTTTTTTTGCGCATTGTCTTTGTGTTGTCGTGTATATCACACGAGTACACTTTAAATAAAACTTCTTTATAGTTCTAAATTTAATAAGAGGCAAGAGGTTTTGTACCTTTGCCTCCATCTGCTTGGCCCACTGCACCTGTTGCACAGTAGGCGACATTTCGGGAGGCTGGTACATCTTTACGTCTATGTCATCCGAGTCCAATTGACCGCGGATGCTATTCAACATTGCCAAAAGCGAAGCCACAAACAGCTCTAACTCATTGTTTAACGCATTTTTTATCATCGCTCTGTTTATTAACGTCTTGTAACGTGTGAACTCGTAAAGCATCTGTAACGTACAAGAAATTTTCCATGATGTTCATAGACATAGACATAACATTTATTACTAACAAAACACACACACATAAACACAAAATAACAATAATAAAAAAAAAAAGAATGAGAGAACATTTTTTTTCTTTTGAAGAACAAAGTTCGTTTTAAGTCTGTAATGCGTGTGTCCTGTGGCTGTAATTAGCCCAGACTCAACATTATGCTGAGGAGCAGACTGTTCCACAGCGCTGGTCATTGTACCCACAGACCACAGCAGCTAGTTTGCGCCTCAGTCGCAAAAAAATGATGTAATAATACTAATACTTAGTAGAACAAAAAATATTAGTGAAAGTTTGCAGTGTAAGTAATGAAGTCTTGTGTAAAAGTATATATTAAATTAACTTAAAAATAACAAAAATTGTTAAGAAATAAATTATTATTTTTGGGCGGATTAAAGAGATTAGATTTCGTGGGATTATTGTTGAGTAACTAGATGTTCTTTATAACTGCGACGAAAATTTGATTGATCTTAATTGATACAAACCAAATGAAAAGATTTGTGGTTAAATTTGAAGTACTTCTTGAAATATAAATCAGTGGCCTCAGGTGTATTTATCTGTTTCATGATCATTAGTCAATCTAATAGGCAAGTAGGTGATCAGCCTCCAGCATGACACACGCCGTCGACTTTTTGGGTCTAAGGCAAGCCGGTTTACTCACGATGTTTTCCTTCACCGTTCGTGCGAATGTTAAATGCGCACAAAGAAAGTCCTTTGGTGCACAGCCGGGGATCGAAATTACAACTTCAGCGATGAGAGTGGCATGCTGAAGCCACTAGGTCAACACTGTTCTGCTCTTTGATGAAATTATTACTTGAGAGTTGAGCAGTAATAATTGTTTGTCATAGCGCAATGGAGAGAAGTTTACTAAATCTAAACAGAATAGACAGGGTTAGGGATGCTTTCATTAGGAAAAGGATAGAAGACATAGACAGAGTATTTGAAAGGACAAGTGGAGATGGATGGGAACCGCTTTGCGAGGAGCTGAGAAGTGGAGTAACTAAAAATGAGTTGAAACCCAAAAATTGGAAAAAGGAAAAACGGTGAGCTCTTGTAATGGGAAGATGAAATATCTGCAAGGCAAGGTTTGGTCAAGAGGGGCGAGTGAGGAATGTAAGAGTCTGGGGGAGGCCTTTATCGAGACCAGCTTGTTTTTAATAGATAGATAGAATAATGAACTTGTCCGAAATAAAGGCTATTTTTATTTTTATTTGCTGTGATTGGTTTGTACCCACTAGGTGCTAGCCCAGGGTATTACATAAATAATACTAATGCAAGCTAATTATAAACGTGAGCTGAAATTGTCTTTGTTAGCGACACATATACTGCGATGACGTCATACCCTGAACCGCGCTAGCAAAGTTATTCCGTCACTTGACAAGTGGGCCCTTTGGTCCAGTCACTTGAGAAGTGGGGCCTTCGGGCCAATCAGTGGTTACACTTCTCGAGGATCCTCCCTTTCAGTTGAAGAAAGAGCAGCATCTTTCCTTAACACCACATTTACCATTTTTACATGGTCATAAGTTGCAATAATAATAACTAAAAATATGACAATAATATCTTAAGTACACGTTTTTATTGGATTGCGAGTATTTTTTTTTAATATGACGGATACTTAAAGACTAACTTGTTTTGTTGATGTATTATGCAGCCTTGGTTTTAACTTCTCTGCTATTTTCGTCTCCGCAGGTCTTAGGTTTGCCGAAAATTTGGCAACAGCAGCATCCCACGATTGTATTGGTCCATTGCATATCCATATATTTATGTCTGAAGTCCAAATTTAGTTAATAATAAAAACTTTATTCATGACAAATAGATTGACAAAATACATCTATCGCTAGTCCCCACACTAGGGAGTCCCTATGTTGTTGGTAACTAGATAACAATTAGTCAGTGGTACATGGTACATTACAACTAATCAAACACAAGTCTTATAAGACATTAAGTATGTGTGAATGGGTGTGTGTGCGCATGTATTTGAGAGTGTAGCTAAGAGTTGTTATAAGCCTTTGCTGTGTCTGTGTATTAACATAATTCACTAAAATTATTCATAACTGCACTTACTTTTAAAAGGTTCAAACAATTGGTCTGTATTTAATTCACTCTTCTCAGCTTTATTTAGTAATTTACTGAGTTGATTATAAGTTGATCTAATGCTATGGACCTAGAATAAAATGTCATAAATTATTGTGTTAAGAACGGCTAAAGTAGAAATGTATAATTAAAATCAGATTTTTTTTGTAAGAATATTTATGCTACGTTAGATTTCCAACACGAGAGGTTAACCAGTCATCGAAACTTTGAGGATTTAATTAATTTTTATAATAAAAATTTATTTGCAAGAATTTGGTTTTAAAATGTGATGGTGGTACATACAATCTTAGCTTCGCATATTCTGCCACACATAATGACGCGCAAATTTATCTTGTAGAATAGAAGTTACAATTACATTACGAATCATATCATTATAGTCAATTCTTATATTATTTTATCACTACATCACTAAATCATCACATTATTAAAATATGTTATCCCGTTTAAAATTAATATTAATTATAATGTTTCACTCAAATAATCATTAATAGATTTTTTTCCAAAAGTAGTACCTATACTAAGTCGATTTTTTAAACTCTAGTATCTATCTCTGCATTAATAGCGAATCAATAATATATACCTAATGAACATATTTATCTAAAAAGCATCTTCTAACAGAGACATTAGACTTAGAAAACAGGCGATATTAAGAAACTAAACTGAACTTCCGTAAGTCAAACTGATTTTGTGGCATATGAGTCTAAGCGATAGGTCTCTTCTCTGAATCTGAGGGACAAAGCTTTATCAGTCAAGACTCGTGTACAAAATGCGTGAAGAAAGTTCATATTACCTCTCGAAGCCTATTTTGAAAGTTAACACAAAATATTGGCACGTAAGTTTTTCCTTTCCATGTGTGCAGTGCATAGTTCGGCCAATATGTACCAGTTAGAGATTGGCAAGCACTGTAAAAAATAATTTGTAATAAAAGGAACCCATAAGAGTGACAGTAGCCATTATTTAAATACTAACAAACTACAGGTCATTCCTCTAATGGTAGTAAAACATATTAAAATGGTCTCTCTCTCTAAAGGCGCATGAGGGTAAATTTTTTACGGATAAAACGCAATAATAGCGTCACGAAGATGTGTAGCGTTTTTGTCGAAGAAATAGGCGAAACAAAGTTCGCGGGGGCAGCTAGTTCACACATTTTGACTCACCTAACCCACATTTGTACAGCATTCAAGCTTTCAGATAATAAGACCAATATATGGTTATCTAGTAGTCCATCATATGCTTTCCATATATCTAGCTTGGTTACGGAGTTTTGTATCACTGTACATAGTGCGTGGCCTGAAAATTATAAGTTTCTAAACATATACAAATAAATAGTAATTGATACTACAATATCTAGACGGCTGGTCACCGGCGAAAGATTATGAGTTATGACCAAAAACCTCCAAGGAAATCATCATCATACCACACAAAACAAGCAATGAGAAAACTGACATATATGCCAAACATGGAAATTTACAAATAAAACAATAAACGAGTCAACGCAAAAAATGTGAAGTGGAAGTCGGTGGGTCATGTAGCGCGTAATAGGTGGAACGGCCAACCAGGCAAATGATGAATGCTGACATCAAAAAATGGCAGGTCCTCAATGGATAGATAGCTCGGGATAGAGAAATATGGCAAGTCTTTAAAGAGGCCCTTACCGCAGAGGGTTCTCGATACATATTGACTAACATAGATATGTACTAACACATAGGATAATAAAATAATAAGTGTATCAGGAAATAAATAAAGACTTAAAAAAAAAATTACACTGTTACATTACTATAACGTACCAATAATATCAAAAATATGAATCATCCTCTCTTGGGTGTACACAACAGGAGTGTACCTCCAAACGTCATCCAAAATCCCAGCTAAATTCTCAGCACAATCTCGAATTTCCTGCATATTTCCGGAATGGAGTGTTCTATTGATCCCGTCAAATTAAGAAATTACTTTTTTTTATTAATATTGCGACATGATTGGTGTAGTCTTAAAATTGTATATACGTTATCGTGACGCGTGAATGTGTGTTGTGTGTGTGTTAGTCAAGTGTTGTGATAAATAGAGATCATTCTTTGCACTGCGAGTGGCGCTTATGTCTAACATGGAGGAAGGGTGGTGCTCAGTTCCTCAATTTAAATGGAGGATCCTGGACCAGTCTAACCACTGACTGGCCAAGGCCTCCTTGGCTAAGGTCGAGAATAAGGCAAGTCAAGTCAAAATCATTTATTCATATAGGAAACACAATGTACACTTATGAACGTCAAAAATAAAATGCTTCTAATTTTACATTTACTGCCAGTTCTCAAATCAAAGCGTAGAACGGAAGAGAAGAACTGGCAATTAACTCTCCGCCACTCTTTTATAATCCTTAGCTTCCGGAGTAAATTCATTAACGCATTTCAGATTATAACGTCATCGGAGTGATTGTAATCGTGAAGTGTAAATGTCGCTACAATAATAAAATAATCTCTTATACAGACAATTTAAATATGTACCTAATCTCCTCAGAGATGTCTTCGAAGAAGACACAAAAAGAAGAAGCCGCTTCTCGTTCTTTCTTGCTCGTGTCACGTAATTCACTTATTGTCTTCCAATATTCTACTTCATCACTTACAGATAAAATAACTGAAATATATTTTTCATTAGGTTTTTTGATTATCTATAAACATACAAATTCTGATAACTTTGTAAAAGAATGGACTATTTTTATATTTATGATTTGGTATAAAATCTATTACCATAGCTTCGTTTGGTAGGTACAACAAAAATGAAATAACTTTATACACTTATGACAGGCAATATGATATAATATGTATTCTAAGAGATATTAAATTATTAATGCATGTGTATATTCATAAACTTCATTTAATAAGATAAAAGTATAAGTATTTAAAAAAACATCTTACCATTTATATTAGAATCTCCTTTCCCGTGTGTAAGTATTCTGAGATTTGATTCCAGTTCAAATAAATTATTTTGCAGCTTGTTGGAGTAAAGATCATCTCCCTAAAACATGTAATAACACTTGATTGTTTTTAGCTGGTATAAAAGTAGTTAGGTTAAGGCGTTCTAAGTTCAGTTTTGTGTTTGAATCTTATCAATGGAAATTTAGAAGAAATGTACTTACTGTTGCAAGGAGAGGGCAATAGATTTGTCTTAAAATTTGGTACAAGGACTCCTCAGCACTAGTTGTCAATGTAATGATATTTATGTTATTTAGTGCATTTTCCTCAGTCAAATTTTGAGCTACTGTTTTATAGAATATTATGGATTTTTTCACACCTGGTTGTATCTGATGAAAAAATTAAAAAAAAATTTCAAGTGTTATTTTATAATAACATAGCAATTAATTAAATGAACTTTATTTATTACCTTAGTATAAAGCACTAATGAATTATCGTTAACACTCGTCTGAATAAGTAGAATCTGGGAATTATGAATAAACTCCATCAAGATCTCCTCACATGATTCATCTAAAGTGAGGGTAGATTTGTAGAAACTTTCTGTGAATGGTGAAAATGTCAGAATTAGTATTTTCATATAACTCTCCTACATTAACGAAATGTAATTACCTGTTGTCGCAAAAAAGAAGTTCCGAATTTCAGTCATGGCGGTATCCTCAGTAGCTTATTTAAAGCTACCTGAAACTATAATCACAAGGCAATTTAAATGTAATTTTTATTATTAAAATTGTTAATAAAGTTCGCATATAACATTTCATTACCCTTTTTACTTGTCGTTATGTCATTATTAAAATTATAATATCTGCTTAATACCTTATTTGATTATATCGGTGTCAATACTATTCTCAAATCTCAATTCTTTGTTGTATAATTGTATTGGTCATATTTACGAGGCGTTGCCATAGCAACGAACCAACGAGGTCGTAAGTCATAACAATAACAGTCAACGACTCGCAATGCAGAGAGGAAATGCTTACAGCTTAATAGCAATAGCTTTAAAGGTGTACAGAGACCAAACTTAAATTTATTTTAGTTTCTACTTTAATTAATATTGTGTAGATTGAAATTCTAATTAATTTAAATAGCTTTTCTTGTATGTTTTTTTTCATCGTATGATCTGCATAGAGTCGTTTAATAGAACTGTATTTTATAACATTGTCAACATACGCAATGGAGAAAACAAAGTTGAATATTCAATTGAATAGTCTACACATTAAATACGCTATATTTTTGTTTTTGTTATAGTATAATAGTATAAAACAAAGTCGCTTTCTCTGTCCCTATGTATGCTTAAATATTTAAAACTACGCAACGGATTTTGATGCGTTTTTTTTTTAATAGATAGAGTGATTGAAGAGGATAGAGTGATTGAGAGGTTTATATGTATAATAACATCTATTAAATATGGATGGAGAAATACTGTTATTTTCGAGGTTACTAATGTGATGTCGTAAATCGTAACTAACTACATTTTTTCCGCTTACATTGCGAACCCTACGAGATTTATCAAAATAATGTACTAAGTATTGTACACATTGAAAATGTCTACAGAAAAGTCCGCGGTGGATATGTCTATCTCTCATGGATATCCCACAATAACATTTTTTTGTCATTTACTTTTTACGACAAATAATGGCTAATTTTCGAAGCGAATTTAACCAATACAGCATTAAGCCTTATCCAATTAAATACCTTAAATACATTGTTGATTTTATATAGATCTATATGGCCCTATGGCCGCGGTTCTCCCTATACTCTATAGCAATTAAATGTAGTATCAGCATTGCATCCGTGCGAAGCTTGGGCGGGTCGCTAGTTTATAATATAAACTATAAAGTTAGTTCGTATAAAAGTTCTTTATCATCATAGTTGTGAAAAACTGTAATTTTTCTTACCTTTTCTAACCTTAATGTCCTGATTTTAAATTCGTCATTTCTTTAAAAAAAAAGGAAGAATGACCAGTCGGACAAGCTACAAAGTAAAGATAGATTTGTGGTAGCACAATATTTACTGAAAAATAACTGTAGGTTTTCTGAAATTCGTGAAATAAATATAAGTTAAATATTTTTTTTTCACGACAAAATAAAACTCGACTTCTCTTGGGAACATGTATATCTCACCTATAGGTATTCCAGAAGTGTTATTTTTTTATTCTCACCTTACTTCCGTAAGTTCATTAATAATCCTATCAGAAGGATAATGATTAGTATGTATTAAGTATGTGTAACACGGAAATAAACCAATAAATTTTAATTATCATTACTATGCTAGTAGCTTCAGGCATACATATTTTATTTACATCGAAATTATGTTTGCAACAATGAAAAAAAGCTTTTACAGTTTTTTATGTGACTTATGAATACAACAATAACGCAATACGAAGTTCTCGCATCTCTTTAAAAAGTGCCTAGTAACTTAATTTCTCAGCCATTAATTATTAATTTTAAATAAAACTGTGTTATTTGATCATCTCTTCGTTTCTAGTTAGTTCGTTTTAGGTCGTTTCAAGTAATTATTGTTAAATGTATCTGTATAATTTAAATATAAAGGTACTCTGTGGGTAAATGTCAAAACCACAGTCAAAACTCAAAACAAAATCCCATTTATTTTTAATTACTTGACGTTATTAAAAAATACTGATTACACAATAAAATATATAAATAAATAACATTCGTATTTTAATCAAAGAAACAACTATCTTTTTGCATCATCAAAATGTTGCGCTTGAGACATGTAAGTTTTTAAGGACACAAGTCTCAATAATATTGTGTGACAATTATTTATGTGAAATGTTAGTGTAAATTTTGTTTTGGTCTTCTCTTCAGGCTTTCAATACTATAAGGATTATTCAAAGTAGTCGATTACTAAGCGATAGTACACAATTTGTGGATACAACATACATGGAAATTCCAATCTACAATGTTGAAAAGCCACAGTCATTAGAAAAAAGAAAGGCGAGGTACAGTTATACATATACATATTTTTATTTACCTTCCTTATTATTCAAATACACAGTGTATTATACACTATGACAATTAAAACCAGGTTCTTTAACAATAATTATGAATTCCATTACTATTTCTCTATCACCTGACGAAATGTTAACCTAAACTAAAAATCCTCAATCTTAAATACTGATTGATAATAATAGTAATCAATTAACTATTTCAGACTTCACTATCAATCCCGGAAAAGAGGTATGCTTGAAAATGATCTACTTTTAAGCACCTTTGCTAAGAAATACTTAGATGGGTTCTCGGAGGAACAAACCATATTGTATGACAGGCTTATAAATTCACCAAGCAATGATTGGGATATTTTCTACTGGATTGTACAAAAGCAGCCAACTCCAAAGGAATTTGATAATGAAATTATGGATTTACTTAAAAAACATGCTAAGAATGAAGACCGTATTGCTTTGTCACAGCCACCCCTACATTAGAAATACAGACAGCCATTTAAAATTCATAAATTTATAATGACCTTCATATAGGTAAAAATAGGCAAAACCAAACTATTAAGAACTATTTATTTCAAAAGTTTAAGGGACTAGGACAAATTACTTACAGATGTTTTAAACTTATTGTATATTTGTGAAAGAATTAAATTGTTATAGTAATTTGTGCTACCCAATGCTACTATCCTTTTTTGTTTAAAATCTATTTGTGTAAGCTAGTTATTTATAGTGTTCTGGTTTTCTTTTTGTCTGAACTTTTTGTTTTAATAATTCTTATCCGTTCATCAATTTATTAGACATATTTTAATGCCTTATAATTTGGTGTTTAATTTACTGAAAAATATACGAAATCTATCTAAGAAGAAATAATGAAAGAGATAATGAAATACATATGTAATACATTATTTATTAACATGACATTTAATATTGTATTATCATAGTAGACATAGATGTAGCGTAATAGGAAAATAAATTCTTGCGTATCATATTCACTATTTATTTTATTCTATTTACTTTACATTGTTTGACTGGCTTACATTTCACGGTTACGCAGTTTTATATTGTATAAAATTAATCATGAATTATTATGATAATTTTTATATTTCATCTCAAAAGAATACAGAATTTGGCGCCATCTATCGGCATCAATTGTCAATATAACAAACACATCTAATCTCTTAATCTATGTATGACAAGTTCAAATAATTCTAAAGCCCCCCGTGGCTTAGTGATTAACAACCTTAGCTTTTAAGTATCTCCTCGATTTTTCTATTCAAACGGGCTAGCAAAACAATAATTGTTTTGGGTACGAAATTCTTATAGCCGACAAAAAACACCAATGAGAAATGTTTGCCTTACCACATTGGCAAAAACTTTGTTTCTAAAAGAGCAGAAACACAAACAAGATGGACACATCTTCATTTTTACCCAACTTTTTCAGCTTGAAATCTCTAAGAGAACTATGAGTAATTCATAGCATTACTTAGCAATATACAAAAGAATACTTACTACTTGTAGCGTTGTTAATGTCCGTTTAAATTCAAAATTTCAATCTAACAAAATTTCGCGTATTTCTAAAAAAGTTAAATACTTAAAATGTTAAAAGCCTTCAAGAAATGCTAGTTTATCGAGGGGGTTTATTATGTGAGCCTCCTGTTAATTTGCCCCCTGTCTGCCAAGAGGTCGATTGTACATATTACACTACAATGGAAAGTTATATCACTAAGTACGCATCGACATTAGCATATCCATTTAAATGCGTCTAAAGGTGGATTGTTGACCCGTAGTCGTTTTCAGGAGGCACGCTGCTCACTTGTTTGTTAGCTCTTCCTAATTGTACGTAATCCCCGTTTTGAAATTTGTTATCAAAAGATGCTTTAATTTGCGTTGATTATGAATGACTACAACAAAGGTCAGACCACAATCTTATCGTTTGCTCTTTAAATATATGTGCTGTTGTACATGTTAAGTCAGTTAACTTAGAGCGACCGAGGAATAAACATAACTGTTAAGTGAAGTGCTTGAACGTTTTGTGAGATCTAAGTGGAATCATTGTGAACATTTAAGATGCCTATTCGACGTAGTAAGGTAAGAAATACGGAAGAAGCTCGGATAACTTAAGAAGAAAATTTACTTTTTTATTGCAGTTGTTACAATTGCTTAATATATAAACTAAAACTACAGAAAACACCACAAAACCAATAAGGGGTTTAACCTTCGTGCTTGAAGGGCTACAGTACAGATTTAACAAAAAAATACAATTAATACAAAAAAACCTACGGACACTGGTTATTTTATTAATAAATTAAAACTTAATATTAATAATCAATAATTATTAATATTAAGTACTCATAATTTAATGACCTCAGAAAAACCTTTTATAACATACCAGTATTTATTTTAAAAACCTATCATTTCAGTAAGAGAATAAAATATTATATACTACTACCATGATCCAGCATCAATCTATCAATTCATATTTGAACTAACTGTCCGTTAAAAACCGTAGTCCGATTCCAATGCAGAATATATAACAGAAATACACTAGATAAACTTTAACCTTCAAATACCTTTATTTAAGTAACTTACGTAAAAACCTTATAAACTTAAATTCTAGATTTTTCAGATACAATTTTGAGAAATAATCGACAACGCCATGCAATAAAGCTAACGAAATAATTAAAATCATAGACACTGAAATGCGCAAATGTAAAGTGCAAACTGTCTTTAACTATATACTACGATTAATTAAATAATATATGCTTATGACTTATCTGAAAATTCCTCTGCATTTATTGATAAACATATGACGATTGACCTAAATTCAGTAGCCATGGCATATAATACGTACGATGGAAAATAAATAAACTAAGTAAATTATAGCAAAAGTGCAGATAACGTGTTGTTACATATATATATTTGTTATAAAAATCAGTAAACATTGCGCACGCTTTTGTCAACGGTAAAAGCTACAGTATTTTCAAATTGCATGGTGTATATTGTATAAAATGAATCCATTGCAGATATTAGTAAAATGGATCTACGAGAACCAGCACAAGATGCAGACGCTCCGCCGTTGCAGTTCCACTCTACGGTACAAGGAGCTTGAAGAGAATGTTCAGGCATTGGAGCACTTGGCTCCACCCGCGACGGAGGCGGCTCTGCCCACCCACCAACCACGCCCAGATATTACACCTGATGTATCTTTCAAGGTAATTGGATATTAATCCTAAACGCAACGCGATAATGCATCAAAACAGAAAGCTTTTGAAATTGTACTTATATTCGCAATAAGATTTTCTACTAAAAACTTTAAATAACATAGCTTTTGAGCCTGAGGAATAGGTCTGTAATTTGAAAGTTTTATATATATCTATCTATAAGTACTACTCGCGTAATGAAAGCCTCTTGAATGTGTCAAATATTGAATTTCAAATGTTTATTTACCAAGAAAAGAAAAGTGAATTAACCTATATCGAATGTTAATAAATGATAATAAACATATTGTTTTAACAAGCACACTATTAGGAATCGACCGATGACCGTATTATATCTTTATGCATTTTAGTATGACGACCTGAAGGTTGCGTTGGCGGCGCCTTATCAATTGCAAAGGAAACCAGAGGCTGTAGATTTAGGCTTCGGGAAATATTTTACGGATCATATGCTAAAGATACACTATCATAGAGAATTGGGAGGGTGGCAAAAACCCGAAATCACGCCATTTGAAAACTTGACTATACACCCGGCGGCGAAAGCGTTGCATTATGCAGTACAAGTATGTATTTTTAGTTGATTTGAATGTAATTTATATGAAAGAAAATATATATGGTCAATCTCAATGCTTTTCTTTGATTCGAAAGTATATAGCCGAATATTAGTAGAAAATGAAGTCGGAAATGTACCCATAATACTGGAGATGTTAAATTTGAATTATTAATTTGAAAAAGATTTATTTTAAACTAATAAGGAATCAATAATTTTGTAGAATAAGTTTGACAAGTTATACGTATTTTATTATTATAAGTAAATAGTTGTTGTTGCGTTTTCGTTATTTTTTTGTTTTTCAACAGAAATTTTCGTTTAAGAAAATTTGGCTTTTAATATTTTAGGGAAGGCGAGAGATGCGACAGTATTTCAATAATCAAAATCAGACAGAATATTGTAATTAATCATACCTAATATTCCAACCTTTAACTCGACATTTAAATAGTACTGAGTCTCCTGATTTTTAAATTCGTGTGACGCTGTTTCACGTCACACAGTTATATAACTCGCAAATTTTCTAACGATTTAATCAATATGCAAATATAATTAACAATGTGAACGTGTCAGAAATGTAATTAATCTTTGTGTTTCAGCTGTTCGAAGGATTAAAAGCGTACCGGGGGGTGGATGATAAGATAAGATTATTTCGACCTGATTTAAACATGCACAGAATGAATTTGGCAGCCAAAAGGTCTGGTCTACCGATGTTTGATGGAGATGAATTAATTAAATGCATTAAACGGCTGGTCCAAATCGATCAGGAGTGGGTTCCGCACTCCGAGACCTCAACCCTGTATATTCGACCCACCTTAATTGGAACTGAGGTAATTATTAAAATTGCTAAATAAATAGATAAAAACGACACTAAAAATAAAAAAATTACTCTCATCATTTTTCCCTAACGCGCCAAAGGAAGTATAACTTTAAAAAAAACTAAAGTGTTGACTATAGCTAACTTCAGGGTGTCGGTTTTTTTGCGACGGTGTACTTGCGCCTCGTGAAAATTTACTTAACTTAATTACTAAATAACTTTATTAACTTATGTAAACTACTTAGTTTCACTTTTCGCAATATCAAGGTATAGATTTGAAGAAAGATATGTTTAGTTGATTCATATTAGATAGTTTATAACGCAATATCGTTATTGTTTACGTTGTTATCGTATTTGCATTATCAAAATTTCCTAATAAACAGTTGTGATGCTCGCCCTACATAGTTGTTTTCGCGATATAAATGAGATCACGATAAAATTAATTTGAAATAATGTCATGCGCGAACACGCGTTTTGATAACGGCAACCAGACTTGTGCCATCTCGAAAGATGTGTTTTAAATCTTAATTAAATAAGGTTCACCACAACCTCATCTCCTAGAATTGGTACTCTCTCTTACCATGAGAGTTTCAGAGGAGTTGTTCGGATTAATACCTGCAGCTAGTTTCATATCACTCCTCAATTCCACCCCCTCGCCATTCCACAACTAGCGTTTCTCAAGGCAGTTTTGCCCCACCACCACTATGAACACTCCCACTAATATTCCCAACCAATCACTTAGGGTCCTTCAAAAGCCCAATTTAAAAGCCCACACTCCACCTCTGGCTTGAGAGTGTCCATGGGCCTATCACTAACATCAGTAGCCTCCTCGTTTGCCCCCCGTTCTAAAAAAAAATAAAAAAAAAATTGGAAAGATAAGGTTTACAATGATTATTTTTTTTATTAATTAAATGATTATAAGTTATATTAAATATAATAAATTTGAGCGAAACCGTGTAGGGACCCCATACTTTGAATTAAGGAAATAGCAAATAGGTTAGTCGACATTATAGGAGACCGAAGAACTGGCAGCTAACTCGGACAAAGAATTAGTCTAGCTATTCAATGGGGGAACGCTGCCAATACCTCGGAGCCTTGCCTAAAAGGACTCCTTAAAATAATATATTTTATTAATTTATTATTATATTTTTAAGTTTATTAAGTATTACTTTTATATTCTGTAATTTGGTTTTATTTATTGACGTTTATAAGTGTACATGTCATTATGTTACCAAAATAAATAAATTAATTTGTTAAAACAAACATAGAACATTACCGTCTATAACGGACTTACGTTGCATGAGTGTCTTTGGGCGTCGACATCATCAGGAAAGCCTACCCGATTGCCCCCTGTTACATAAACAAAAGTAGGTAGTAGAAAATCCCATTGGTCACAACCGGGGCTCAAACTGAGTTGAGCTGGCCACTAGGCCAATAAATCCTCGTTTATACGAGCCCTTAAATGGAGTGTACTATATGTAATTTCTCAGAAAGGTGTATTTGTCAACAGCCCACATTCGGCATAGTGGCTCCAGAGTCAGCCATGTTGTTCGCCATATTGAGTCCAGTTAGTGCGTACTATAAGACAAATTCAGATGGAGCTGTATCGATTTATGCCGATCCCAGTGTTGTGCGAGCATTCCCAGGTGGTGTAGGCAACAGGAAAGTGGGATCTAACTATGGACCGACGATAGGTTCGTATTCTAAATCGTATATACCTATCAAACAAAGTAATAATATGTTTTTTTTTATTAAAAACTACATTCATGATAAATATCATTGTGACAAAATTCATCTATCGCTAGTCCTTACACTTGGGAGTCCCCACACCCAAGTCCCTGTTTTGTGGGTAACTAGATAACAATTATTCCGTACTACATGGTACATGTTTCAAAACAATTTTTTAAGCAAAAGTAGTATTAGTTTTGCATCTAATTAACAAAAGTCGTATACGACCTTATGTATGAGTATGTGAATGTATTATCTGTATTTGAGAGCGTGGCTGCGAGTTGTTATAAGCGTGCGCTGTATCTGTGTTAGTTTTTAGAGTCACGCCAAAATACGTGAAACAATACTTTATACACGGAATCCAAACAAAGTTAAAAGTGATGCAGCTTTTACAATTTCAATTTTGTTCTTTCTATATCCATATCTAATAAAATTTAATTAAGACTTTATGCCACGTGATCACAAGCGGGAGAAACCGCCTATGGTATATAAAGCCGTAAACTTGATTTTCTAAGCATAAAATGGGTAACTTGGTGAAAGCTTAAACATTAAAATGAATAACGATCAATTCATTATATAATAAAGGCGTGTTTTGACTTTTGCTCCACTATCAAAAGACAGTTAGATAAACTGAGATGTTTATAGTGAAAACAATATCACGTAACTTTTGTTTAAATATGCCTTTGATAAATACATAATATTTTAGTTATCTCAGGTTATATTAAGACCTTGAAGATAAAATTTTATAAATGTTTGGTTTGCGAATTTAAAAGGTTAGATTTAAATTTAAAATCTAGAAAATTTTATAACACAAATGCTTTAACTATAACGCCCCCTAGCTAGTTTTCCTAAAATTTATTTACATGGCGTGGATACAAGGCGATTGGCCGATAAAATGTCGGCAACACCGTGATTTCAGAACGTATTGAATCTGGTCGCAGATCGTAGCTTTCGTTAAAAATACCTTCATAAAAACGTTTTGAGCTTGCCTCCGCTAGTGTTGACTTATTCAAATAATATTTGAACCTAAAAAGTAGAAGGGAAAAATGTTCAGGCTATATGTTATATAAATTTATAGATTTTTCTTAATATAATATATTTTTTGCAGAGGTAACGTCACATGCTGCCAAATTGGGTCATCAACAAGTGTTGTGGTTGTTTGGTCCCAACCAGGAACTGACTGAAGTCGGAGCCATGAACATCTTCCTGGTTTATATCAATGAGAACGGAGGTGAGTGATCATTTTTAGTCTTATAATATAAGGCATAGCATTCAGCTAAGTGATCTAGATATGATGCTGCATACCAAACTCCGATGGAAGGTCCATGTTAAGAAACGCGAAGAGTTGGATCTCTCCTTACAGTAAATTGTACTGGTTGCTTGGAAGGCGTTATCCACGTTATAAGTGAAAAATATATTATTAATCTACAAACAATCCTGATGCGTAGCCATATCTAAATAATCCAACGATTCCAAAACAAAGTGCTCAGTGGAATAGTCAATGCTCCTTGGTACATTCGCAATAACGTCCTCGATCGGAACCTAAATGTAGAGGACGTGACCACAATTTAAAAAAATAAACCATATAAAATGACTACAATATATTGTATGGAACAATACTAGATTTTGTATAGTTGCTTTGTCGAATCTGTAATAAAAATCGCATACTTACCATTTTTACTTATAAATCATTCAATGAGAATAATATGAATACTGCTTACATTACATTAAAGCCACTTAATAGCTCTCGCTCATTATGAATAAGTATTTTATAATAATTTGTGTAACGTGTACGGAATACTAATAGGTATATTGAAATGTTTTCACATAAAAAATACAGTTTTTAGCCATATTTCTTACTATTTCTAATGACCGTAACTGATTTATTTACATGACTACACACGTTTGAAAGACAACTTAACCGATTAATTGGCTTCGATAATCAGAATTTAAAAATTGATTTCAAATGTGTTTAACTATGTTATATTTCTCGCGATTTCGTTTCTTCGTTTGATCAAATAGATCATAATTATGTTGCAGAGTTTTTCAAAGTACTAAACTATGATATCCCCTACTATAGTTATTGAAAAATGATAAAAAGCGTATTTATTAGATTAAAATCCTATTTAAAATAAATTTCATTAATAGTTTTAAATGACAATATTTTTTATTGATTGGTCTTGTATTACCAAGAGAATTAAATATTAATAATGTGTTTATACGTGGTTGGAGGAGCTATACACAAAGGCTGAATATCACAAGTAAATTCACATTGAATTGATATTAACCCCAATCGCAAATAATGCCTTATGTTCGATAAATTTTGCCTAAAAAAGGTAATAGCGAGGCAGTACAATATAAATATAATATACTGCTTTGAATTTTTTTTAAAGTAACGGATACTCACGCTAATAAGTAATTATTTCATTGCTGCTTCTATGCTACTAAATGTTGTGCGTTATGTTATGCATTCAAAAGCCTATCTGTAATATAAAGGTTATCCAACACATATTTTTATTAGATTGGAGCGTTCTACCAACAAATTAAATAATAATTTTATATTTAATAATTACAGATCTTCGTTTTACGGAGAAATCAATTCACCAGATAATTTATGATAAATTAAAAAAAATGGATTCATAGTTATAATGTCCAAGTATAGTGTTATCGCGGTTCGACCCCGTGACCGGTAAATTCTCGTCTCATCTGAAGTAATAAACGGGGTCGATCACATCATTATTGTTAATTACGTTTGACTGTGTTTTTACATCGTTTTTATATATTTTTCTGAGAGCATATCATTTTTATGTGACAAGATAAGTAATATAAGGGTAATCATAAAAGCTAGATAATAAGCTGATTCTAATCTATTTAGTTAAAAGATCTTAGGATAAAAAAACTTTGAAACGGTTAAGTAAAACTTTATTCTGTCTTTGATCTTAACTTAGTTATTATTTTCTCTAACAGAAAAACAGCTAAGCACCCCACCCCTAAACGGTTTAATATTGCCTGGCGTAACGAGACGGTCTATATTGGAACTGGCTAGCCAATGGGAAGACGTTACAGTCAGAGAGGAAGTCATCACCATGGACCGCGTCATACAACTCAACAAACAAGGACGGGTAAGTTCAATTTTAAATTAACTTCAGTTAAAGTTAAACTAATGGCTAAATATTATATTTTCTTGGTATTCCATTCCCAGATATATAGGAAAAAATATACACTGGTTATTTAATGTGGGAGGAACGCAATTATATTTTAAATGACGCTGTATTTCATTACAATGTTTTTGTGTAATATAATTTAACTATAAACATGATAATTACTCTGATGTAACAATATTCGAATATTACTTGTATCTTTATCATTGAACATAAAAAATGTATAAGTACTTTAAACTTCTCTAGCAAAAAACCGCAACTTCACATAATCGGCCTTCCTGCGTCCCTCTAAGTTTCGCATTAGTCTTATTAAACCGGTATTTGCAGTTAGTAGAAATGTTCGGAGCAGGCACAGCTGTCGTCATCACACCGATAAGCAACATTGGCTACAAGGAGACCAACATAAACGTACCAACTATGGAGCAGGAGCACCCTGTGTACCAACGACTCAAGGACACCCTACTGGCGATCCAGTATGGGCATATAGAACATCCCTACGCCAAAATTATCACGTAGTGTTTACCATAAGTGAAATAGAGACCTAAAATTGGTGGCCTTTAGTGATAGTGCTCGGTCATGTAAGATAGCAGGTGCTAATAGTGACTTTCGTTGATTTCACAGCAAGTATAATAATTATCAAACTGTAAATATTTTGACTCTGTGATGTGTGGAAAGTACGTGTTAGATTTTAGTTAATTGCGCAATGTTTTTTCGCGGAGAAAACTAATGACGAAATTAGTTTTATTACACTGACTTAAGTAAATATTTCTGTTGTAAATTGTATTTACGTTAGGAGAGAGGTTTAAGTTATAATAATAAGTTATTATACGATTTACCGGCCAGTAACTAAGTTAAATTTATTTATTATAATTAAAATATTTTGGGTTTGTACCTTAAAACTTATATGTAACAAACTGTATTGGAGAATGGATCTTATACGGTTATGAAATCGGTAAGAGTCATGAGTCTAGTTCGGTCGCAATGAGAACGAATATATTATGTATTTTATTATATCATATTATAAGTACATAAGGTGTTTACAAAATCTTATGAAAACACATTAATTATCAGTAAACAGTCAATGTTCGGACTTGTTTTTAATGATTATGAAAATGCATTGATTTATGATTACGCTTTATGATTTCCTGTATTGAATGGAAAACTTATCTCTCCGTCTCAAATAACAAAGATTCTATATAAAGCTATTTAGTGGCATTTCATTAACACCAATTTATCTGAATGCAAATGTTAAACACGATTTATAATATAAGTAAATAGTTTTTAGAGTATTTAAAGAAATACACATTTGTTGTATAGTGATCAAAATTTGTACCGAAAAAATTATAATGTATATATATTTTTAACGTATATTGCAATACTTGTGTACTTTTTCTAGTCTAAGAATCTATGTTAATGCGATTAAATTATTTATTAAATAAGTATTTCAAACGCTATGTTCTTTTCTTTGGAAACTTTTAAATAAGTCACTTAACCTTGTCATTTTAGGCATTTTGTGCAAATCACAACTGACGTAACCCAAATGGAAACTAATATTAATTCAAATGAAAACAATTTTTACTGACCGATAGTACTTTTTAATGTTAATTAATAATAAATTAACATATGTTAGCATTTATTCGTGTGAAAAATTACAAAATCAAATTGTGAACATAGTTATTCCGGGGGCAGAGGAAGGTCGTCATCAAACATGTCTCTCTTCTTCTGCTGAATAACAGCGCGAGGTACAGCGAAATCATTTGCATCACTGCTGTTACTGAAAAAGAAAAGAAAAAACTATTACAGGATTTAGACAGGAAAACAATCTCGTGTCATCCTAATTTGTATTTATCTAAACCTTTAATAAGGAGGGTTTTTCATTTTTACAGTGTAAACTCTTTAGAATGTCATTCGTTATAACAAAAAACTCCCTACAACGGAAACGAGGTGCATTTGTTTGGTTTAACACAAAACTCATACATTATGCCCCCTTTGTAACGCACAGCGACTCTCTATAACGAACATATATTTCCATATTTAGACATGAACAACATACTTAAGTGTAATTGTTTTTATTATCAGATTTAAAAACTAATCTATTGAGGTGCCAAAATTTCTAAGAAAGACATAAACTGAAAAGAAAGACATAAATAAAGTCTCGCCTTTGTTATTGTCAATTGCATTACTTAACACGTGTGCTACTATTTTTACCTAGATTACATTGCCTGTAGAAAATTTTGGTCTCAGTTACTAAACGTTAAAAAAATTCTTTATTAAATTATATCGTCTGATCTACAAGTAGATGATGGTCATTTCTTTAAGACTCAAACCTTAAACATACACACCACGCTAAATAAACTTATCACAGAGATAAGGGAATATGTTACAATATCACAGTCGGCCCATTTGTCGATGCGCAGTACTACAGTAGGAACTGCGCAGCCATGACACGAACAAATTACGTCGTATGCTTATTTCAAATTCATGAATCGGAATTGATAAGTGAATGAAAGCTAGTTTAATATTTATGAGTTTGACCCTGTGACGTAATGTTCATGTCTGGGATCGGTGCCCAATATTTACTGCGCAGATTATAAGAATAATTAAGTATCGGCGTTTTATTTAAATCGATATAAAATAATTACTAGCCCTTGGTATTAGAATCAGATTTTTGTATTTATTGTCTTATTTAATAGACCTGAAACACGTCAAATTTTGGGTCTAAGGTATGCCCCGGGTTTTTGCAATGTTTTCCTGCACTGCACGAGACCGTGTTGATTGCGCAAATTGAAATTCCATTGATAATTCATATCAATGGAGTTTTCTTGTGCATTCGTTCAGTTGCTTGACAATTAGACTAATACTGCGAATGTTCAAATAAAAACTACTTAATTAGTCATATTAAATGGGTGTTCTAAACGCATAAACAATATATTAGTTACAATTACTTAAACTAAATTATGTTCATGTTTCTGCGTCTGTTAATGGCAAGAAGAAGCGAAGATTAAAATCGTAGTAACGCAAAATATGTCACCTACGAGTATATATCAAGTTTGTCATTGCTTCATAAAATTTGCACGCCTGCTTTATAACAAGCATCAAATTACGTAATTAAATACGTAATCAATTCGTCTACGACAATTTTTTTAGGAAATAATACTCACCATTTGTAATAGGGTCATATAAAATCAGAGGTCCAATATTATTATTCACGTCTTATCATGTTGTCAAGAACTAAAGCTAAACACGCATTGACGTCACCTCGTAATCAGTTTTAAATATTTTTGCGAGAAAGTCTTATTTATTTTTATATGTTTACGACACAGATTATACATACTGGTATAAACTAGTTTGTGTGTTCTATAATTTTATACACTGTTCATACATTCAAGAGTCCACGTCCGTTAGAAATATAAAGTTATACTGTCTTTCTTTACTTTAAGCTTACTGCAATTACTGGTTACCAGTTTGAGTCAGAGGTCCTGGTCCTGGGTTCGACAGGTGAAACATTTATTGTATCGGGTCTGTCTGCAAAGGTATCAATGGAACTTCTGCAAAAATTATCTGTCCCATTTCTCACATATGAAACTTTAAACGTTCTACGTATTGATATCCTATATGCTGTTTGTATGTTAGCTTTACGCTTATACTCCGGTCCAGATTTTCGAAGGACCAAAATGTATCTCAGTTTATGACAAGAAGTCCCGACCACATTTGCTAGGTGAGTCTATGTCTCATGGAACTTTACTAAGACAAGATTTGCCAACATATAAAAACAATCGACTTGTAAGTATACTAACCCAGCTGCCGTATTGAGGCGAGTCTCACTAGATCGACGGGTCACCGTGGCGGCGCTATCTGCTCTTGATGTCGCTAATACAGAAAAATTTAAGGTGTTTAAATATTTTATAAGAAGTGAAGTACACAATTTTGTATTCGAAAAGGTTTACCGGAAGCTAAAAAGGCGTTTCGCGTCCCATGCTTCTTTAAATACGTAATGAATTAAGTGGTCATTAAATTTAGTTTGGTTATACCATACTGTAAACTACTTTAAACTACAATAAATCTAGTTAATTAAATAGTAGACATACTTTAAAACTTACTCAGAGATCTACGATATCAAATTAATAACCTTTTTCCTATATATATGCATTTATCAAACTATTATCGGTTAGCATAATGCAACTTAACAAAAATCTTGTAAGGGCAATTAAATTAAAAGATATCCAGTTTGAACCAGACACAATCAAGATCCGATAGATCCAGTTTCAAGCGCTCCAATTTCATAGCATCGCCAGATTAGTTATCGCAAAATAATTACTGGGTCAACCTTACCACGAATTTCTATTGGAGACTGGCTCAGTCCAGATGATATACTGCTTGCCGAAGTGATCGATGCTAAAACAAAATAAATTGTGCGTGTACTAGGTGTACACACGTAAGAAGTGAAACTTCTTTATGATCTTATTTTTCGAAAAATGATCTACTATATGCAACTTTACAGAAATTCGTTAAATTAGATCAAGTTTAACAAAAGGCTTTTATTATCATAGACTTGAATACAAATATTTCATTTTACCTTATTACTACGAAGATTATTATAGAATTTCATTAATTGTAATAGAATTATTACTATCATTGAAAAACGTGACGATTTGCTACAAAACTTCTCCCATACGTCGATAAAGAAGTTTCATTCCAACGCCGATAAAGAAGTTTGACTTCAAAAAGCAACATGGCGCGTAACCGAAAAATGTGACGCGTAACGAAAAAAATGTGTGCGTGTACTAGGTGTACACACGTAAGAAGTGAAACTTCTTTATGACCTTATTAGAAACTATTTCTTTAAACACAGTAAATTTTGATACACTGCCTAGCATACAATTTACAAATTAATTGCTGCAAATTGCGATTAGCAAATTTCAAGTCGAAAATGTAATCCGTTGTCAAACTTCAAAGTCAAAAACATACTATATGTCATATTTTAACGCCGATAAAGAAGTTTGACTTCAAAAAGCAACATGGCGCGTAACGGAAAAATGTGACGCGTAACGCAAAAATGTTACACTAAATTTTTTTCCAACCCCGATAAAGAAGTTTCACTTCAAAAATGTTACACTAAATTTTTTTCCAACCTCGATAAAGAAGTTTCACTTCAAAAAAAAAGATCTTATTTTAATAGCCCGAACGCTACAAAGGGTCTGTGAGTTGAGTACGAATCACAGCCGTGTGCCAATGGCCTTTTTGAAGTTATACTTCTTTTGGCGCGTTAGGGAAAAATGATGAGAGTAAATTTTTACGATGCGGGCGCACAAAAATCCGACACCCGCACACCGTCACAAAAAACCGACACCCTGAATTTAGCATAGTCAACATAGTTAAAATAAAAAATGTACATTCCTTTATTTATGTAGAAATCATTTTTTATATAATATAAACTGTATTTAACTAGATAATCGTTATAATAAAATTTTCATTGTATTAAATATCTTTTTTCTATTGTTCGTGTCGTTATTTCTACAAACGTAGAATAAGGCGAAAGATAATAAAAATATTTTATCTTCTTACGCCAAAGAAGTATAACTTCTAACGCGTGTACATAAGTACACACACATGTGTTATTTTATGGTATCTTTCTCATAAAGTTATGGAAAAGGAAAAGGTAAGGAAACCGGCATATACCCAAACATCGCCGGTATGCGCCAGGCACAAAATCGCGTACTTGTATATTAAGAAAAAAAATCGGTTGTCTGTAAAGTCAGTAAACCGACGATAGTTGAACACTTCATAAGAAAATACTAAAAACACTGCACTTCATACTTGACAAAAACATGTAAATGTATTTTTGTATAGCAGCTCTCCACGTGGACGCATCGTTCACTTAAGTAGGAGAATGACAGATGTCGAACGCTGCCGAACGCGGAGGCCGATCGTGCCTCTTTGTCGCTCGTTCCACGCTCTCGCTTGCACTTCTAGCCTTAAATGGAACGCCTCAGAGCGAGGTAACGCCTCAGAGCGAGGCAACGCCGCATGAGTCATGTTTTTTCGTGCGTGCAGCCGGCTCCATCGAATTATAACATTAAAACAATCTGAAGGATTGTGTGTTTGACGTAGGAAACGCACGCACTTTTAACTGGTTCCTTCTCTAGTACGTCCTAGATTTGGTATTTTTTTGGTGGTGGAATAAATGGTATCTGTATCTCATATTTTATTTTATTTTATCATGACCAAACCTCCTAATCCTCCCTTTCGTATCCTTGTCGTTACATCATTTTTAATCCATACTGCTCAATTCATTAATAATCCTCTATAGACTACATATAACCAACAAAAATTTCAGCACTCTTAGGACGAAAGAATTAAGTTTTAATAACAAAACCTTTGACGTATTGTTTTGAGTATGACGCTTCATATTATAAATATTTGTTATGATATTTTCAAAATCGGTTTAAGGAGTTACCGACGTCACAGAATAAATCACACGTTATCGCGGTTCAAAGTTGGTGATAGTGCTCGCTATTTAAACGTCTTTACATTGCTAACGAAAACAATTATTATTATTAAAACACGCTTCTCAAAGGATATTTAGAGGAAATGAGAGCATTGCATTTAAAGATTTGATTTATCGACTCGAATTGGTATAAATTTACATGTAGAAAAAATACCTGGCTGCAGATAATTTGCGAAAAAAAGTTTATATGTATGAGATACTGGCTAGTGATTTTAAGTGATAGTTACGGTTTAAATTAATTATAATAAATTAGCCTTCATATTTTTACCAGCTTAAAATAGAGTGTAATTAACAGAGTTGCATTATAAACGTTTAGCAGGGATTTATATCTTTGGATACTAAATATGAGAGACACTCAAGCTTCTACAGATACCGTTGCTTTTCATCATTTCTGATAAATTAATTGACCAAATCTTTAGTCATATAAAAATATATTAAAAAATAGTTTCGCTAAGCTGTGCGTCACACACAACAAAGCTATTTTAGATAATGTTTATTAGTAAAACAAAATCATTGCCGAGGGTCTATATGCCAAATGCTATATCTCTATATTATCAGATTTATTTGATTTAAACTTTTGAAAATATCAGTAAGCAAGTCACAAGCGACAAAAAAGTGTGTCAGTTTTGGTTCGACGGTTATCAACCCACAGATACTTAACAAAACGCATTTAATAAGAAAAATACCTCTTTCCTGCTGTTTGGCTCGCGCCTGCGCTCGTTGCAATTCCCGGCTCCATGCGTTTGTCTCGGCCAAGCCTTGGTCCCCACATAGTTTTACTATCAGCTTTAAGCCTAGTAAACATATATAAAATTCAATTGTTATTTTTAACGTATTTTTCATTTTTTACGGAAAGGATCTACCACACTCAAAGGCCCTAAGAATATAACAATAATTTAAGTATAAAACGTACTATGTAGAAATTATTATGTGTAGTACCGTTAACATGTCAAAGGCCGGCAATCCACTTGCGAGCAATCTGGCAATGTGAGTGTCCATGGCGGTAGCATCAAATCATGGCCTCCTGCCCGTTTGCCTCATATTACATAAATAAATTGAAGAGAATAGTTGCCCACGACACAGGGAATCCCTGGCTAGTGTACTTCCTCTTTAACTAAATATACTTTTTATTGTGTATAATGAAGGTTTTTTCTTTTTTTCTTTAAATATTAAAATAAAATCTTGATAACCCCTATTCATATTTAGTAAAAGGTATCCTATAATGACCATTACATACCTTTAAAGCTATATATATATATATATATATATAGATATTACTAAATTAAAACGCAAATGATAGAGCTATCTCCTTGTTTAAATTTAGTGAAAGTCTTAAAAACAACTTTATCATTAAAATATTTGCCTTCAAGATAAGTGACAAACAAACGGAACAAAATAGATATATGACCTAAATAAGATATTTTTTATTACGTATATATATGCCCCGCCCTCGTCCAAATATATTCAATTATTTTCAGTAAAAATAAAATCAATTAGTCCGAACTCCGAAGTTAGAACGCTCAACGCTTTGAGTGACTATACTTTGCTTTTTAATTCCGTAGAATTCTGACATTTCATAAATGTTGCTATTAAATTAGTTCTTCACCGAAAAAGGGAAAAATTTGAGGGCAATAAAATAAAATGCTACGTATTTTTTATGTTTTTCCTACAAAAAGGTAATTCTTACTCAAGTGACCTAATACAAAAATAACAAATATTTCAATATCACGAACAATATATCGAATTAACTTTAATTACCTTATTTTATTGTTTAGCTGGCATCACTGCCTACTAATTCCAGGTTTAGTAAACCTTTTAAAAAAAATGTTATCTTTTCTTGTGCGTTTTTTACTGTTTGTGATGATAAGGGACGTAATTATCAGGCGCCGTTCACATTCACTAACAAATAAAATGTATGTATAGAGTCAGATGTTCAGACTCGTATTGAAATTGAAAAATGTGCCCCGCCAAAAAGGTTTGTAATCTCTGACATATCAAAAAATGATAGCTGTCAGAATTCTACGGAATTAAAAATCAGAGTATACGTTAATATGTCCTGCACCTTCGTGATATTGCGATCGTGTTGGACATTCAAAGTATCGAAGTAAGAGAGTTACGTGAAAGAATGTGCAAGCACACTTGTGCCCATATATATCTCTTGCCTACCAGTCTCAATAGAAATAAGCCACCTTGACTGAGAATATTATTATTAATATATTATAGATTAAATTAAAATTAAGATTTCGGATTCAATTGCTTTATGTTAATTTTTTTATTCAAATCTCGAAAAAAAATCGATAGCTTGAAAAATAAAAAATAAAATAAATAATGAAAAATAAATAGTTCTCAAGTATTCTGAGGCATATCAACTCACATTGAACATTATCTGGAAATCGGGAGTTGAGCTTTTTGTATAGAGAGAGTGCTTCTTGGTAACGACCACTTGCCCGAAGACATCCACCAATAAGCAGACCCCATTGCGGCTGTAAATTAATTTAATAAAACATTAGGAAACTTCGGGTAACTCTTTCCGTACAATACCTAGAACATATCCTATATTCGTCATACGTTTCGGTTGCTCAATTGCCTTTCAAATAGGCGTTGTATATACAAACTTTGACTAAAACTTCTTTAAAATCTAGAACAAAGAAAACTCACGTTGTTGGGCTGCAATCGCGCTGCACGTCTATAATACTGCAACGCTTCTTCAGTTGACGACTCTCCGGCCAGCCATTGTAAGGCCGATAGTTCGCATGGCCACACCGCTTCCACCTTCGAAAGGGGATTATATTTTTATTAAAGGCTTTGCAAGAAACATAGTGTAGTCGATTGACCTCATTTCCCTCAAGTCTACAAGCACTGGCAGCTCTAACGATCGTGGAACAAACAGGTTTGAACTGGCAACACCTGCCAATAACTTTACTGTATTATAATTTAAATAAAACTAGACTCCATAAACTACTCACGTATTATAATAAATTTCATAAATCTTTCAAATGCATATCATGCTTATCATAATCCCGCTCACTGTTCACCGGCTTCTGAACACACTTTTTGGAGAACTCACAGAGTTGGAGAAGCTACTGAGACGTTACGACTGTTACGCGTCGCGTATTCTGTTAGACATTAGGATTATAATTTATTGTTAATAGTTTTAAACTAATTTGAAATTATAATTTTAAAAAATATATATAACAGCTGTCTCAAAAGAAAGTTTACATTTATTTATTAAGCGTTGTGTGAAAATGTTAGACGACTTCTTGGTGCCTGAACTTCAAAACTTTCCTGGCTATAACCAAAAAAACATGGTTCCAGCAGGACGGAGCAACGTCACACACATCCTATGACACGAGTTCGTGAAATTTTCTCAGGCAAATTGGCCTCCACGCAGTCCTGATATAATACCTATGGATTTTTTCGTATGGGGTTATCTTAAATCGAAAGTCTACGCCAATAAGCCGACTTCTCTGGCGCAATTGAAAGAAAAATGGCAGCCATCACTGAGTCCACCTGCCGGGCCGTGATAAGTAATTTTATTGTTCGATTAAATGAGTGCCGCGATCGCGAGGGTCTACATTTGGACGGTATTATTTTTAAGAAATAAATTCCCACTTTAATAATGAATAAACGCTTTTTTGATACACAACTTACTTTTTTTTTAATCGATCAACTAAATACGAACTTTCTTTTGAGACACTTGTATTCTTTGTTATGGAAGAGCTGGAAGCTCTGACACAGGTATTTTTTTACTATAAGAGTCCCGAGTCTTAAACAATAATGCATAATACTACAAGTGCAGTAAAAAAGTATCCTTCACATTTCCATTAAAAGTTAAGAATCGCTCGGTCACGCAGACTTTGACTATTAAGAAAATATTTATTGTTTTCCTCTATTAAAAGAAAAGACGTACGTACATCTTGATAGTGATGCTTGGCTGTCTGTACGTCCCCCATTTCCGTGTGCAACTGTGCAAGCGCACACGATACGCCCGCGTCCCAGGTACCAATCATACTGTACCTGGAAATTCCAAAAAAATATATATTTTAAAGTCAACTAATAAGTGTAGTTGCACTCCACTATAATTAAAGTACTTTTTGTCTCATTCTGTAAAATTCTCTTTATGCTATGATGAAAACAGACGGATGAAATAGGACTGATGATTTATTTAGTAATTGTTTATAATTAAGTGCCTTTAACGCAAGGTTTCGAGTTTGATTTCCTAGGAAACAAATCATACAATAGCACCGCTTTTACACTTTTAAACATCCTATTAAATCGAAATTTAATCAATAAAACTATTAGCGACCTGAAACATTTCCAAATAATAAAGTTATAATATCTTCTTCAGAACAGAGTGAAACGAATGTAAAAATTCCTTTTATATATATTTTTATAGAATAGAGGGCAAACGGGCAAGAGGCTCACCTGATGTTAAGTAAACCCATGGAAACTACCAGAAGGCTCGCAAATGCGTTGCGGTCTTTTTGATAATTGGTACGCTCTTTTCTTGAAAGACTAAATCGAATTGGTTCGGAAATATTTCAGTGAGCAGCTGGTTCCACATGGTGGTGCGTGGCTAAAACTGCTTTAAAAAATGCTCAGTTGTTGTCACGCTTCAGCTGAGGATTTAAGGAGAGTGTCTTCGAAGAGAGGAGTAGCGACAAAGAGTGTTTTTTTTAACAGCAAAGCGAAACTTGTGTCTTCTTGGGGTTAAATTGCACTAGATTTAGTCTACCCCAGTACAAGACAGTACAAGCAGGGCTTCGACTTCAGACAAAAGTTTGTACCGGAACTTTATATATTTTTATAATACAATTGATATATGATAATAAGAGCTGCCCCAGCAAACGTCGTTTTACCATGTATATAAGGTATATCTAAGAAAGTTTTTAGTTCAGTAAAAATAACTATGTATTATAATAAGAAATAGGGGTTGATTGCAGAGGGGTGAAAATTAGGGGTTGTATGTATTTTGTATGCTGTATCATTAAAAAAAAACATTTTTTTTTTGGGGTGAACAGTGAACATCCCTTATCACTTAGGGGTTTGAAAGATAGATAGTAGCCGATTTTCAATTACTACTACTATTAGTACTGAATATGGATAAAAAAATCATAAGAATCGGTCGAGACGTTTCGGAGGAGTATGGGAACGAACATTGTGACACGAGAATTTTATATATTAGATATAAGTATACCAATGGTCTGCGCTGCCATTGCTAATGTCAGTAGTACGCGCGAGCCTCGCGAGTCCAGCCGCAGCCAGCGCCCGTAGAGTGGCGCCTGCGCTCGAGCCACTGCGCATGCGCTGCCAACGGGCTTCAGCGCTATTGTCCTCGCCGCACATTTCCAATATTAGTGCTGCGGACAATTTAAATAATGTGATTCACAAATATTTATTAAAAAAGCTGTGGATCCGACACATTGGAGTGAATTTCGTGCATTAACGTGCATTCGAAAAACGTATTTCATACTATAAATTACGCGTACCCAGATCATGCATAGCAATAAGATCAGCCGGATCCAGATGTGTGGCCGTGGACAATTGGTTCAAGACGTTGGCGGTGCTGTTGGCCTGGCCCGAGGACATCTCCGCCAGAGCGGCTGTCACTCGCCCTGGACACGAGTAGGGGTCATCTTTGCACGCCGCCTCGCTTAAAGATTGGGCTTCAGACCATTTCCCAAGCTGTGATTACAAACTGGATGGTAATTAAAAGTAGTCCGCATCACTTCGTACTTGGGTGGAAAAATAAATAATTTTTAAACAAATCAGAATTTGTATTAATTGTTTTCTGTCATCCCTGAGGTCGTAGGTTCGATCCCCGACTGTGCACTTTAGTTCTATGTCCGCATTTAACATTCGTTCGAACGGTGAAGGAAAACATCGTGGGGAACCGACTTGTCTTAGACCCAAAAAGTCGACGATGTTTGTCAGGCACAAGAGGCTGATCACCTACTTGCCTATTAGATTGAAAAATGATCATGAAACAGATTCAGAAATTTGAGGCCCAGACCTAAAAAGAGGTTGTAGCGCCACTAATTTATTTTATTTCATTGTTTTCTAGTTACTACAGTTTACTGACATTTTAAATTTAATTTATTAATAAGATTTACAGCTTAAAACTTTATATAATTGTTCATAATTATATACAACTTTGTACGCCAATTAAAAAATCTTCAAATATAAACAAGTAGGTACTTAATAAGTGGTTTGGTACAAATAAAAGAGCAGATCCCATATTAGATTCGCATTTGCTAATTAGACCCATTAAATGTGAACTCCTATTTTTCTACAACAGGGTTGTAACCAAATTACATGTTTAAATTATTAGAAATTTAATACCCATGCTTTTATTTTCGATCTATTTATTATTAAAAACAGTATTTTATTTATAATCTTTCGAAGTGTTCCCATCTAAGTTTTTTTAAATTATTTAAATAAATCAACCAAACCAGCGCGATCAACAGTTAAATGAAAACATTAAGTTAGCCATTTATAACTTGCAGCATAAGCGACAAAAGCGGCATCCGCATTAGCCTCAGCTCGAAGCACTCGATCGTTCGGATGCGCCCGCGCCACCGCTTTAAGCCGCTGCAGCGCTTTAAGTCCAGCAGCCGTCCCACTACCGCCAGATGCTGCAGCGCCACGAAGCGATGCAAGCGCGCTGCCGAGTTCGAGCCGCGCTCCCGCCCCCCCACCTGAGTAACCACGAAGTGCTTCGACACACCAAGACGAACCACTGAAATTTATCAAAATACTAATTAAGTATTCAATTTTATTATTTAGGTACTCTCTTGAGAATTTGTCGTCATCGCGAGATTAACCACAACAACAAGTTTAATTTTCATTGTTTTCACCTATTATCACTCCCAACTGTGAACTGTCATATATTAACGCCACCAATTATGAAAAGGTTACAAATTTTTATTAGATATACCTATAGATCATTCAACGGCGCCGACCCGTCAGCCCTAAACTGAACAAAATATTAAATGTTTATCGACTAAAAGCTCAACTAGTCTTAAAAATTATGAATGTGTAAACAGTTAAAAGTATTACCCTAGATCTTCATCCCTCAAACTCCTACCAGCAGGCCGCGCCAGAGCAGCGGCGGCAAGCGCAAGACATCTATCGGCGTGAGAGGCGGCAGATCGCGACCATCGGGACAGACGATCTCCACGCACCACGTCTCGTACTACGCATTCGTAGGCGTCGTTTTCCTAAGAGGTTCTTTTATTTATACAACAACGAGACAAAGAACGAGGGAGGATAATAGTTTTTTATAGTTGTTATCCTACCAGAAGATTTATTCATACTCAAGTATTGTTAATTAAGTTGAGAATACTGGCCCTAATGAAAATAGAGCGACAACATAATCCAAAAACTCAGGATAGAAAATTAGGAATATTATATATACCTTGAGGAATATTTTTGTACTATCTACCTATCTATTTATTGTACCAATTTCAAGAACTTTATATTTTTTATAGAAGACGATTAAATTAAATTGTTGCTAAACTAAAAGTAAAGTGTTCCATAACATTATAGGTTCATTAATAAATATAAATAATAAGTTAAAAAGTTGTTTTGCGCGCAGATAAAGTGCCGTTTTAATTTGTGATAAAACCTATATAATTTGATAATGTAACTACAGTCAAAACCGTTTACGACGACATCTGTTAGAGCAACACACCGGTTATATTTACCAAAATCAAAGGTCCCGGCTGAATATAGAATTCAGGTATTAGGTACTTAATATTAACGTCATCGGCTGTTACGACTATCTGTTTTTACGACCAAATATGAGTAGTCCCTTCGATGTCATTAAAACAGTTTAGTATAAGTATATTTTTAAATGCTCAACTTAATCAGATTTGGTAGGTTTTTAAAAAAAGACAGGAGAAAAGATCCTATACTGGCGAGAATATATGTATATACATTTTTTTTCATTCTACTACCTGCCATTGTGTCGAGGAACTTTTTTCCATCTCTTATTAGTACTAAAAATATACATAAAATAATATTTAATAATTTTGTCGCAGAACCATTATGTATATATTATGAGAGTGTAGTACTTGGGACTAATATAAAAAAGTTATACTGACATCATCAATAGGTATGTCATGGTGATAATTGGGTAACTCCACGTCCAACATCGAGTGGAAGGCCGCTTTACCGGCTTCCGCGTCTTCCAAAGCCACGGAACACAATACTAAGTGTAAACCTGTAATAACAAAAACCACTCGAAAACGCTACGTGTCGTTTTAATTTTCTATAGAAATAAAGTATCAAGTAATAAAAATAAAAGTACTTCTTGTATGTATAGCAAATGAAGATATATATAGATCTGTCTCTTTTCACCACAGCGACAACACATTTTGATAGATAGAGAAGGAAAATAAGGTTAAACAGTGTAAAAAAGTATTTTAAATATTTATGTTTTTAAATTTATCCGATGATTAATTCATAGGATTGAAACCAATACCTGTCTGAAAATCGCCCTGTTCCTGCATAATATGTTGGAAATTCGTGACAGCATCACGAAACTTGCCCATGCGCACTAACAACAATCCAATATTATGCATCACTTTCATTCTAAAAACATTAAAGTCAATTTAACATTAAAAGAAGGGCCCTTGATATCATTTGATTACAATGAATATCTCACAAGACATCCATACTTGCTCCCTTCACACTTTAAAATCAATTTCCCTTAAAAATGCCAAAAATTCATTACATTACATTTATTTCAATTAGGCCAATTAAAAGTCACCTCGAAAGTCAAAATTACAAGTTACAACTATTAAAAAAAAATGACTAGGTGCCTTTTCCAGAAGGTAGTTTCATATGGAAAAAATGGGCAAGAAACTCCATAGTTTTTGTAATTCTTTTTGTTTGTTGTTTGCCTATAAGCGCTTGTCACATTAAATATTTTATTTTATTTTTCTGGTACCAATGTATCTGTGTACCGAGCGCTTTTGTAAATAAATAAGATATCAAGGTTAAAAAATAACCCGCAACGTGATCAAAATATATACCACGGGAAATAGCGGGGAGCATTTAGTTATTGAATTACATAGGTACATAGGACCTTTTTCATTGTTCGTTGAGTGAACTGGCAAAAGTTCTAATATTTGGTAGTGCCTACAGTAGTTAGTTAATTTCTTGTATTTTTTATTATGTAATTTTGTTTTTCCTAATTAATTTCGTATGTTTGCTTTTTTGTTGCTTCCCTAAATTTTATTTACTTATTGTGCGCTCTTGTCAATTTAGGGTCGCCTGTTAGGGCAGGAGTGTTCTTATAAATAAATAAATAATAAAGCAAATAGTACCACATGATACCTCAAATCTTTTTCAGCAGTCGGTGTTTGATCCAATGCCATCCTGTACAATTTTAACGCTTTTGGGTGTTCGCCCATCTTGAAGTAAATGTTTCCCATATTTACCTGAAATAATTTATATCATTAGAAGACCCAGAGATTCGACTTCTTGTTTTCTCAAAAGTTATTTATTACCTTCGATACATTAAAATATAAATTAGGGATGCAACGGTCGCTAACAAGCAATCTCTTCCAGGCAACCCTAGTAAGGAAAAAGCTAAAAAACATGAATATTAAGAGTAGTACAGGAAGTGTATAACCAAATCTACATATACATATATATAAAAAAACAAACATAATAAAAATATTATTCTTTAAGCTCTATAACTACGCTAACTTACCCCACTCATATTCACTTACCTTTAACCTATTCGCATGTGGGAACAACTTATTCCGTGTCAACAATTGATATGTATTCAATGCCTCTGTATACATTTCGTTGAGCGCATATTGGTCGGCTAAGTTGCACAGCACCTATAAATGTCAATAGTTATATTATTATTATATACTTAAAACTAGAAGCAGTTTAGTCGGAATCCTAAAATATAAATGTTTGTAGAAAATCAGTCCAAAAAAGCTACTTATTTAGTCCCTACTCTTTTAAATTTATTTATGTCTTTTAAAATTATAAATTTTCATCACGTAATGCTATATCAACAGTATTTATAGGTATGTTAACTAAAGCTGGCGGCTTCAACACATTTACACTTTGTGCTTGTGTAGTGTCTGTGAATAAGCGCGAGACGTGATGTCAAACTGAAATACAATCATAAATACATCATGAATAGACTGTCCGTCGTGTATGAGTGGACTAAAATGTATAGCATGGCAAAAAAATCATATTTGGAAACATACTGTATGTGAAATTGCATTAGTGTGAGTACTGTGAACCCGCCAGCTTTCGATAACGGACCTATACAAGCAATCTTTTTCTAAAATACATGACAATTATGATAAACATAAAGGTAACATTATAATACAATTGACATAATTAAATGAAAAGGACGGCAACTTGCGGCCTTATCGCTTTCGATGTCTTGTAGGCAACCTCTGTGAGAAAAAAAATTTAGATAAGGTTAGCAAGAAGTACACACGTAAAGAAAAGTTCACCACGTATTCCTTTTTAGTTTAAGATTTGCACCACATACATTTTTGGAGGGATCTGGCGCAGATTATGCCATACATAGATAATATTTTTTATAGGATACAATTGATTATTTTGTAATCAAAATCATTTACCCAAGTCTCACGTAGAGTTCTCATTTTTTAATTTGCTTTTGTTTTTGCAACGATCTTTTTTAAGTTTTATCCGTGGTTTGTATTTATTTCTTTTTTTTACTTTAAAAATTAGAATTACACTTATCACCTTGTAACTTCATAAAATCCAACTACCAATTTAATAAAAAAAAATTAAGACACTTTTACAATACTTACACAAAAAGTGAGGTCTAAATTATGTGAATCTCCTAAATTGGCCTGCTCCTGAGTTTTTATCAGTTGTCTTTCAAGCGCGGAAGCCTCTTGAGCTTTTGCTAAGGCCTGGAATTAGATGTAGAATAGTTTTTTTTTTTACTTTTAATATATATATTGTTGACGTATAAAAATAAGTATAAATATTATTTGTAAGATGCATGATGTAGGAAGCTGTTATCCAAAATATTATGTTCTTTATTCCCACACAATAACACATGAATATAAAAAATAAGCACCTGTGTAAGTTCTTGTTCCCTCTTGTTGCTTTCATCTTCTGTTACCGTCCGAGCACTGAGCATACACGACTCTTCTACGAGCACCATTATTTTTGCCTCCATCTGTTTTATTTTGTCTTCTATCCTGAAATACATAATGAACTCGATAAAACGTATTTTTATTCGTCTAAGAATCTCGAACTGCGCGTGGGCGGCACAGGAGCGGAGCACGAACAAAAAGGCACGCGCGCAGCTCGCAGCTCGCAAGCTGCTCATTCGCCAGATGTGGACGCACCCTTAGATTATTGAATTATTTTAATATTTTGTTAACGCGGTTAATTTCAATTCGATTCGCAAAAATTGTTACGCCATGGCTATCAAACTATTTAATCATCTTCCCAGAAGTTATAGATCACTGCCAAGTTATGCTTTCAAGGGGAAGATTTTTAGAGGCACGGTGCCTTTATGTGGGAGAGTTTTTAGATAATAAGTTGTGACAACAATTATAATATTTCAACCGTTCGTATTATTATGACATTATGATAATTAATATGAAATTTACATGCCTACTTTTGTGTGGCTGATTATGCGAAAAATCAACTTTACTTATGTTCGAAATGAAAACTCAAATACATTTCTGTTAGGCCTTTATTAAAGAGATCTACTATTTTAAATAATGTTAAGTAAAACTTCTTAAACGCTTTTAATTTCTGAAAAGCACGCATGTTAATCTTCTCTCTTATGTCACTTAGCAATGGTAACTCACGTATCTTCCTTTTTCTCTTCCTTGGCACTCGTATCACGTAGTGTTGAAGTGTAGCCGGCGGCCCTGTGTGCGGTAACTGGCCTCGTACTAGCTGTGCCTGCTCTGGACCCACCACGGAGGCTCGTGGTACCAATACGAAACATCTGTTAAGACATGAATCGACTGCATAATATTAATTAATATCAAAGGACGTCTTACACTTATAATTTTATTCTTCTATATAATAAATTATTATTACAGTCTTGACATACAAGTGTAACACTTCTCTTTTACCGATAACTCTCTATAAGTCACTAAATATACCAAACTGGATTGTCTGGGAGAAACTTCTCAAGAGTAAGACCGCCCATTTACATGATATATTAAGGCTAAATAATGTTTTTGGTAGGTTAATAATTCTATCTGTACGGAATGGTTTAACTGTGCTATAAAACGCCTGATTAGTTAACGAAAAGTTAAACGCACGTCACGAACGAATCTGACTACAAACATGTACTCGTATGTATTTGAGTAATTAGTGACCCAATTTCCTAAAGATTTTGTATATGTCCTACAATGATCATGATAAACAAAATATAATTTATCACAAATGCAACTGACATTTGTGGAATGCTTCCTAGGCCATAAAGTTTTAAATTAACGTTAACTAGAATCCCATCGAACCGTTTAACCAGCTTGGCTCGTGGAAAAGCAGCGAAACTACGCTGTGATCCATCTTAGAGCTACATTGTAGAGAGCACAATACTCACCCCAGTTCCCATCCTGCTGGGAGCTTGTCTTCCAATACCAGCCGTTCTCAACGTTTGCTGTAGAGCTGTATCCTCACGAATACTCCTTGTATCAAGAGCTGGTGGTACATCATTGAAGCCCCCGTACAAGTCGTCATCGTCATCTATCACCACCGCCGTTCTTGGCTTCTCTAATCCCCTAGATACTGTAAATCTTGAGCCTAACATTTTCAAATACACATTACCCAAATAAATTGGATCAGTGTTGTGACGCCGTAACCATGGATACGCGGAAACCAAAACAAGTGTGTCAGTTGTCAGGAGTTTTGTGTTAATGGGCGTGTTCGGCCGAAGTAAGTACTTACTAAACTTAGTAAGCCAGTAAGCATAAAAAAATTAAAGTCTTACAAGCTGACTGTAGCGCTTTTCGGCCAGGACAGACTTACTGGCTTATTAACATAACACAAAACACCGGTTTATGTCATATCCCGTACATAACCTCATAGACTGAATATAATTGACAGTACTAAATTTAGGAATATAATTTAATACCTGTGAATAGTTTCAAATGGATAATTTTATGAGAAATATTTTATTGGATATTTTATTGTCCGTTTTGTTTACATCAACAATAAGCAAAATGGCGTCGTATATTAAGCCATACTTACTGCGTTAGCACTTATTTTGTGTCCCGGCCGAAAATTTTGTAAGCATAGTAAGTGACTTACTAAATTTAGTAAGTACTTACTTCGGCCGAACACGCCCATTAATATTGTTCATAGACCTAAAACTTGCAGACTTCTTTTAAAATTTATTTGTAAGTGAACATTTAAAATTTTAAAACGTCTACCATGTATTTATTAAGTAGTGTGGACTTAATTAGACGCTTATTTGGTCCGTTGTGCGTTAAGTCCTGGCTAACTAAGCCCGCCTACTCCCTCCAGAAGCTCAGAAGTTCAATGGGAACTACGCAGGCTTTACGAAGGAACCTCGCTGCTCCAAGGATGCCATGTACCACATAGATTACCATGTATGAGAATCAACTACAATTTATTGATTTCCTACGGTATTAAAATAGGAATTGAAAGTTTAAGAGAAAAACTTGAGGCATTTTCCATTTTTATTCCATAAATCAGTAATCCATTACAATCAAGTTCCTTCTCGTTGTCGTCACACCAAAACATAAAAAAAACTATTGAATCGACATATCACTTACGCTAAACACAAACATATAAACAGTGTTGGAAGACACTGACCACAGACTACAGAATAAACGATTACACTTACTAAAATATACCTTTGTATCAAATAATATTCTTAACTAAACACTCTTCTGCCCACTCCTCAGTACCTTGCTGTTTACCATTCAAAATAGTGGATATAAAAATATGGGGTATAATTTTAGACCGTACATTCAGGAAATCTTATTTACAATATCAGTTCAAACGCAATGTCAAATTTATTAAAGTGACCCTAAAGACTAGTAAATGATGGATAACATTTTTTTTACAATTTTGACTTATCACTACGATAACATGATAAACTAATAGAAAACTCTGAATTGATGTTTAACAGATGACTATGATTCATTAAATTGCGGGCTTTTGGAAATGTACCAAACCGTGTGTCAAGTGTCTAACTTGTCTATGTTATCCGTCCATATAAAGAAAATAATTTTATATACAAAAAACCAATCATACGATTTTTTATTCAAAAAAGGTAAATTGAAAAACTTGACTTTTAGCACATTTTCAAAAAGCCCATATAACAAAATAACACTCAATAATCATTCACACATTGACTTACAAAATTAAACCACATCAACATTTAATTTTACACCCAAAAATTACTACTACATCAATTTATAATTTTTATAGTACAAAATACAGTTTCACAAGTATTTTTGTCACATTGAACGATGAAATATACTTCTAAACAGCTAACATCTGTTAATATCTGTGTAGTAAACACATTTACACATTTTTCAAGTGCCAAAAGATTCTTGTACGACTGTAGACCAGAGAGATACCATGACTATCAAAAACTGACTGATATAACATTACTGTTGGATTTGAGAGTGTTGCAAGGTACACATTAAGACAATGCAATAGCTAAATCGGGTATTATTTATTTTCTTGTTGTTGGTCCTGTCTTGACCACTCATGGTAATACATTGGTGAATAAACCTTATTAAATATTTTACCACATTCACTTATACAAACGGATTTATATCATTATTGATTACAATATGTAGTTTAATTTTGAGTTATTCACTAACACTGTACTATGAAGAAAAAATGTTTTTGGTACTATTTTAATAGCCTCATGCTTATAAACTACATTTCAATTAGTGCATACACTTCAAGATGTTAAGTATAAAATGCAAAATGAAAAAAAAGTAATATTTTCATTCGCAAAACTCGATGAGCTATGAATTAAACTTTCTTAACGGCATAATAATGTGCAAACAATAGAACTATTGTCACATCGCTATGCAGGACGTCAATTTGACAACTGACAGATCAGAGTTAGGGTCACAGATCACATCGAAGCACCAATGTATACAAGCACTCTGTTACACTATATTGACTTCATTTTCCACAGGAGTAGGTCAAATGTGACACAAATATGATTCCGGTTTAAAGCGAGAAATTTTTGAGATCATTTTTGAAGTCTTATCACTTTGTACTATGTCCGGTTAAAGTTTGAGCGTGATTTGAGCTTCCGACACCGTGTCTGCTATTTGCAATTATGGGCTGCCCGTTTTAGTAGTATTGTTGTAAATAATTATAAATCGTTAAACGCCAAACTATTTATGAACAAAGCTAAAAGCCACGAATCTGCCAGCCTCTTCAATGAATTCAAGTTTTTGGACTAGAAGCCTTTTTTGGCCTCAAATGCAGGCATTTCATAGATTATAAACAGCAGACTCGAAGCAGTTTGGTTGACCGCGATCATATTCATGACACAAGAGCTTAAATCGAGATAATATCTAAAGGGAAGCTGTGGGCGGAATGCCACTAGATTTGAGTAGAAAATCGCGGTCTGGGCAACTCGAAAACACCGTAAGCCGAACGAGCCAATGCCTTGATGCTGGCCGCTATGTCCTGTGGCTCCTCCTGGTTATCAATATTTTTGTTAGAACAATATTATTCTCTCTCAACTCTCTTATTTATAAAAGTATTCTTGCTATCAAATCGTTTCTTCTTTTTATTGTCGTGTAACATTGAAAATTTGACTTGATTTTTATTTTAATTCTATTCTAACAAAATATTTGTGTAAATTAATATTTTATTTTCCTTTAGTCGAAAAGGTTAAAAGTGGTGTTTTGTTAATTATAAAGTGTTACTATGATAAAAGCCGTGTGTCAGGCACACCCTGATCACCCCACTTGGCTATAAACATAAACTATTAACGTACATCTGAGGTAAATTAATTCAACAGAGGAAATAAAATATGGCGACGTGACTCACATTATCGGCGAGATCAATTTGCGTGTGCCTCTCGGGGAAGTTGGGCACGTTGACGGGCAAAGAGCGCGCTACGTCTGCGCCTGCGACTGCGCGGCCCCGAGAAATGTGGATGCCTTCGTCGTTGCTGCCCTCGGCTGTAATCATACACATAAATTATTTTTAACAAGACAAAAAATTATAATAAATTAATAATAATTAGAATACAGCTTTAAGAAAAACAACTAAGGTAACAGATGTTACAATGAAAATAAATAAACTTAAGTGGAAATGGGCGGGGCTCATGGCAAGAGGAACAGAAAAGTGGGGCAAAAAAGTACTAGACTGGTGCCCACGGTTTAGCTAACGAAAAAGAGGAAGACAACTTAGAAGGTGGATAGACCAAATTAAAGAAACAGCAGGTACATGACAGAGAGTGTCACAGTGCAGAGAGGCATGGCGGGATTTGGGGGGAGGCCTTTTCCAAAAAGAGAACACAGATACCTAAAAGAAGATTGAAACAGAAACGCATTTAAATTTAAAAGTATCTTAGTTAAAAGGCTATCATTTTTATTATTATGTAATAACAATTATACATTAATAATAATATTATGTGCGTTATTTACAGTTGCTCCTATTTTATTAAGAACCAGTTATCAACAAACCATATCTAATAAATTAAACTATTAATTACAATTATGAACTTTTGAAAAAAATAATAATAACAATAATCCAGGGGCGCTACAATCCAATAAGAGTCTTTAATTATTTTTTATTTCATAGACATCAGCTTATAAGCCTTCTGTCTCACACATGTCATCGATTTTTGTCCATACTTCTTTCAAATATTTAACGGTTATAATATATATTTTCCGAAGCTGTTACCAAGTACTTTTTAAATGTGTGCAAAGAAGTAAACCAGTACATAAACTTTAAACTATGTACTTAATAATACTCACGATCAGAATCATAATCATCAAAGTCTGACACCATGTTGCGGGAGTCCATGCCTTCAAGGTCAAAGATGTCCTCAGCATCCAAGGAGTCTTCCTCTTGTGGAGTTTGCGCTCTGGCCTGAAAGTTTTTTTATTACATATATTTTCCGAAAATCAATATTCCTTCTGGTTCCCGTGAGGCCATTTAAATTTATTTGAAATCAGCGCGAATGTATTATGATATTAAATAATTTTGATAATATAATTCACAATGATATGTTTAACAAGTTTTATTTCAAGTGTCCAAAAACTTGGTCTTAAATAGAAAAAAAATGGGAATATTCCTTCCTTATCGCTCTCGTGTTCATTTTCACTTAAATGAAAGCAACAAAGCATAGTAGTTTATAGAATATTCGAAAACATTCTTATATAATATAATAACTAGCTGCCCCCGCGAACTTCGTTTCTCCTTAATGCCTAGCCTATCTTTGTAGTACATGATACCAACATGGAACATTTTGCTATGCTACCCCAGAGATTGTTCGGTTTTCTGGAATAAAGTTTTAAGTTTTTCTGTCATTTTTCTCTATATAAACCTCAGTCATTTATAATATTTTAATTAACAAATTAAAATTAAGGGAAATGTATTTTTGTATGCGGTATCATAAAAAAAATAAAAACATGTTTTTGGGGTGGACTCCTTATCTCTTAGGGGTTTGATAGATAGATAGTAACCGATTCTCAGACTTACTGAATATGCATTAAAAATTTCATAAGAATCGGTCGAGCCGTTTCGGAGGAGTATGGGAACGACATTGTGACACGAACATTTTATATATTATTAGATTAATATTTCAACAACCCAGTAGGTTTCACATTATTCATTTATTAGCCTTATGGAGACCACCTTAAACATACCTTAATATTGTGCGAGAACTTCTTACTGTCTTTTATAGACGAAAGCCTTCTCCTCTGAAGGGGAGGAGCGAGGGGTGAAGGAGGCCCATTGACCACGTTGCTGTTCCAGGCTTCACTTTCGTTCGATTGTGCTTTGCTTATTATACTGGAACGAATGCGGAATGTTATGGCTTACCTATCATACATAAGGGCGAAAAGGACATTGCAAGTGTTAAGATCATAATTTACAGAAGTGAAGTGACATTGACTACTACAACCTCACTGGCCTCAAATTAAAATGTCAAATTTAGCTTCAAGAATGGCCTAATATTCTATGATATGTATTGGGTAGATAATGACTAAAAATCCTTTAATCTAATTCGAAATCCTAAATCAGAATTCTTATTAGAATTGTTTCTTTTAATTGGTATGACTTCTCGAAGTCACTTTCTCGGGTTCTACGATCATCAGGGTAAGATCTGACGATGGGATAGAGAAACCGAAATCTCCGGTATTTTTTAAACCAAAGTCGGGCGTCATTTTTATCAGGTTTACATTTAAGGAACTTTTTTATTAATATATAAAACAACAAATAAGTAGTGTGTTTAGTTTTTAAAACTATTGGCTGGTTGTTGCTAACTCAGTTCTACCTAGTAACCTAATCTAACATTTTTATTAGTCGTGAAAACTGAGCTTTTAAATGATACATGCAATATGAGATTTGTCAGTCAGCATAATTTGTTTCTTGTCTCATAACCTACTTTTATAAACACACTGTGCTTAGCGGTTTCACCTGCGATTCTTGATCGTTGGATGTTTATGTTATTACGGTTCATTAATATCTAGCTTATACCTATAATAATCTCTACATAGTTCAAAACAGAGTCGGCAAGCTAAGATCTTTAACTTGACTAATCTATTTTCTACAGATTTTTTACAAAAAAACATATGTAATTGTTTTAACATTCTGAAGAAGTGAGATTAGTATAGTTAAGGAAGCAATGCAGATGAAATCTACCTGCTTAAAATTTTGTGTTCCTTTTGTGCTCGTTCTCTGTATGCTTCATACTCTGCATACTTCTGGTCTTTGTATTGTCTGACCATTTCTTCAATAGTTTCTAATTGATTTTGTAGAGACTTATTTAGCTGCTTTCGTAAACCAACTGCTGCCATTGAAGATAAACTTGTCTTGTTACTCTGTATGTTGTTTGTGTCTACATTTTCTTTGAAGTCTATGCTAATATTTGATTCTGGGACCAATAAGTTGAATACAGGGGAATAGTTGCTTGATTTCTTTAAGTTATTTATGTTCTCTTGAGTAGTCTGTGAAGTGAATATTGTCTTTTATATAACCTAGTAAGAATAAATTGCTAAATAATAATATTGTGACCATATTAAAGCATGTAAAATGTAGGTAAAATTTTAATAATTCAACACATTTTAAACCATTAACTTATCAACAAATTTGTAATAATCATTAGTCAGGAAGAGTGTATCCAAAACTAAATTTTATAAACAATTACCCATTAAATAAACTTTAAAAAATACTATAACAATAGTATTTACATTTGATTATAATATAACTTCCCAACTTAACATTAAAAATACTAATACCCATTTTATATATATATATTTGATAAAATTAAAGTTTACAATACCTGTAAAGATGAGTTAATAAGGGCAAGATCTTTCTCTTGAAGTTTAGCCATAAATGTCACACCACATGCCAAGCATGATTCTAGTGACCACTGCCCAGCAGGCCTGCTGCTAATAAGTGGTGGTTGAATGATAGTACTCTCCAAAGTACTCAGTTGGCAAGAAATCAAATTCTAGAAGGAACACCATATTTAATTACTGTCTATCTGTTTATTAGTATTTTATTAGAAACAGAAATGTTTTTAATTATTAAAGTTATTATAAAACTGTAAAGTATCCAAATAACAGCATGTCTAGTGATTAGGCAAGCAGCTCTCAACACTGAAGCCATGTATTCAAACCCTACCTGCTAAACTTTTAATAAGTGAACCATGACCAGAAGTTAGTTTCAAAGCTGTTTGTTCAGATGAAGGCATTATTTGGCTTTGTATTTTTTCAAATTTAGGCTAAATAAATATTCAAACCTACCTACTAGTGTGGCTGTTAATAAAACCATTATTATTAACAACCTACTTAGATAGGGTGCAAACTACCAATCAATGTGCTTGATTTCATTTTATTTAAAAGACCTGCCTTTTATGATAACATGGCTATACCAAACTTTTTAGTTTGAAGCCTAAAAAAATAGTAAATAGACTTCCATTGACTTTATCAACAGGGGAAATGTATCTTGTGAGGATCGCTCGAAGTTTGTGCATATTAAAATACTAATATTAATTTTGTTAGCAGATTAGCAATGATGCAGGTACAAACAAACAAGCGAAAATTTCACAAGTTTCTCGTATACTTTTTTTACATCGGTAAATAATATTTATTATAAGTATTTAATCCAAATTTTTGTGTATCGAAACTGGAAATAATATATACGACCGCTGTATAAGTATTAAAAACATCTTTTAGAGATCATTATATAACGCCCACATTATCATAGAAAGCGAAACTACAAACAAGCTACCAAAATAACCTTTGTTAAAAATAATGTATTCAAGTAGCTGTTGTTTACTAGCGTCTATTCATATATCCGCTAATAATCACTTTATAGAAGCATTCCATAGATAATTACATTCTCTTAAAACTTTATTTGATCAAATAACATACATTTCATATTAATTTTCACATAATATTTTAAATCTATCGCTTCTATAAAGTCAAGGTTGAATTATGTTTACCAATTTATGTACCTCATTGAAAAAAATATCTCTTTGTTCGGTCGACGATAGGTCCCGTCTTTCAATATCACTTATTTGTTCTACTTTAGCACAATTTATTGTTACATTAAGGCATTTGCAAACACAGAGAGCCATTTTTGTTTAGAAAATATTAAAATAAGTGGCTAAATAAAAGTTAATTATAAACGAATCGAGTAAATGAATATAAGTAGTCAACTCGGTGATTTGGTAGATAAAAAACACGTTTGTGTAATGTGTATTATATTATTATTATGTATAATCTAACGCACACTATCTTAAGTCCTATATATCTTAGTATATAAGTGCGAGCTTGACAGCAGTAAGAACTAGAACAATAACACAATGTCAGCTGACTTTGACATTACACATTTTTGATATTGGAGGTGACATAGCTCTGAGACCTGAGTTGTGGATGATAATTGATCATGACATTTCTAATTTTGGTGACATCCACAACTTGCTTATAGTGCCTACAATAGATTTTAATTCAAGATTTTAATTTTAAATCTATCTACTTTAAAACAATGTCGAAAAGAAATCAGCCAAGCTGGAAGCCGCCAGCGCGACAGGATAGAAACCCTGTTTTAAAACTATATAATAGTCTTACACGGCAAAAGGAAGAATTCATTTGCTCGAATGGAAACCGCATCAATTGGTACAGCTGTGGCCCTACAGTTTATGATGCCTCTCATATGGGTCATGCGAGGTATTAAAATATTTAATAAACTTATTCACATATACCCGACATCTAAGATAGCTTCATGTAATCTTAGAAAGTACGGATAACCTCTAAAAACAGATGATTGTATATGTGTTAATATAATATATATGTAGAAGTTATACTTAACATGAATTTTTACTAAGCATATAAATCATTTCAGATCATATATATCATTTGATATTTTAAGACGGGTGCTATGTAACTATTTTGGTTATGACATACTATTTGTAATGAACATTACAGATATAGATGATAAAATTATTAAAAGAGCTAGACAAAATTATTTATATGAAAAATACATTGAAGAGGATAGAAGTTTAGGTAATTTGTTGAATGATGCTACAACAGTTTTATCTTACTATGAAGAAGTTGTAAATAATACAGCTGATCAAGATAAAAGGAGTAGTTTACAAAAGCTTTTAGAAAAGTAAGTATACATATGTTGAATGAACTATGCCAAATTCAAATAATAAAGCTTTAGAATGTGTTAAAGATGAATTTTCTTGAAAGATAATAAGAAATTAACATTTTTTAGTGTTGCTAAGGCAATAAATGAATTGAAACTTGCAGTTGAATCTAAAAATGAAGAAAAAATATCTATAGCTAAGAATGAAATGTTAAAATCAGCTAAAGATCCTTTCTCTGAATGGTTGGATGGTAAATATGGTGCTGAAGTTAAGGACAATGCAATATTTGCTAAATTGGCAAGATATTGGGAAAACGAGTTCCATAAAGATATGAAGGCACTTAATGTATGTATATAGTTGAATTTATAAAAACGATATCACAAAATAGGTTGTGGTATTGAGTCATTGTAACAATATTGATATTTAACTGTTTCTTCTACAAAACATCTTAATATAAATGTTGAATAGCAAATGAAGGTATAGAGAGAACATTCGAATTGACTATGACAGTAATAAGAGGGATAGGAAAAACATAATTGGTAATAATTACAATAGATATAATCATCTAACATAATATTAATATCTGTAAATTTTCTAGGTATTGCCTCCTGATATATTGACAAGAGTTAGTGAATATGTACCACAAATTGTTACATTTATACAAAAAATAATTGATAATGGTTTAGCATATGAATCTAATGGTTCAGTATATTTTAACGTCAGTGCCTTTGATAGCAATGACAAGCATCATTATGCACGGCTCGTCCCAGAGGCATATGGGGATACTAAGAGTTTACAGGAAGGAGAAGGTAATAATAACTATTTCAATACAGTGGTACCTTGATATACAAGTGTACTGAGATATGAGCAGCCAAGCGAGCTTTTGCTTTGATATGAAAGCAAGATTTGAGATACGAGGAATCACACACTACACTAACAGTTTCTTCCACCTCAGACTAGACCTCAATATGTTTGTTTGTTTCCCTCGTTTTCAAAGCATTTTTGATAAGTTAGGTTTGCCTTTTTTTGCATTTTCATAACTTTTTACATTTATTTATTACTATGTATAACAATGGGTCGGAAAAGAAGATGATGTATTGAATTAAAGTGTGAAATCATTTTCTTATTCAAAAACTGAGGTGGTGGAATGGATTAATGGCATTTCAATAAATTTCCCAAGGGAAAATTCCTTTGAGATACAACCCATTTGAGATGCGAACAAGGTTACGGAATGAATTGAACTCGTATGTCATTGTACAATTGTATTTAGTATTTATATATATTCATAAACATATGTTATTTTGTTATATGCTTTATGCAAGCTGCATTATATTGTCATGTTAAAGTACTTCCAGTTAAACATTAATCATATGAATTCATAAAGTTGAAATACCTTTCAGGTGACTTGATGGATGAGAATGCTGAGAAAAAAAATGCAAATGACTTTGCGTTGTGGAAGCGTAGTAAGACCGGTGAACCTTCATGGGATTCCCCTTGGGGAAAAGGTCGACCAGGTTGGCATATTGAATGCTCAGCCATGGCTGGTGACGTTTGTGGGTCCAATTTAGATATACACACTGGGGGTGTGGATTTGAAATTCCCACATCATGATAATGAGCTGGCTCAGAGCGAGGTAAGATTGCACTAAATACTTCAATGCAATACAAATTAACAGAACAGCTGTGGGTTTATATAAAATACTTGATAGTATCACAATATGGCAGTTCCAATGTAAAGGATATCGATTTAGTTTTACATAATTATGTAATAATAATATTACCATTAAAATCATGTATATGTCTCTGTTTATACAAATATTGGTTTATTTCTGCCTTTAATAGTAATTTGCGCTATGTTAAGTACATACAAAATACTACAAGCACCATTTTTATCGCTTTTTTGGCTATTTTCACTGATTTCATCCCGTCATCATAGGTTTTGAATTCGTTTCTTGACGAGAGATTAGAGTTTCGTGTTAATAGGCTTATCTTCTAACATCTTAATATAATAAACAGTAGACATTCCTCATTCCTATTCAGTGTTAATTACTATAAATTCTGTTATTTCCAGGCACACTTTGATAAACCAGGTTGGGTCAACTATTTCCTTCACACGGGTCATTTAACCATAGCTGGGTGTAAAATGTCGAAATCGTTCAAAAACTTCGTCACAATATCAGATGCGTTACAACGCCACACATCTAGACAATTGCGAATCGCCTTTCTGTTGCACGGGTGGAAGGATACCCTGGATTACTCTGATAACACCATGGAAATGGCTATCCAAACGGAAAAGTTGTTTAATGTAAGATTGTTTATTTATTCTTTTATTAGTGTACTTGTTCTGTATAGAATTGTTACTTTTTCCTATGCCTATAGAATAATTGTATTTAACCATACATTTAGCAAAACTTTTTTTATTTTAAAAATTCTGGCATCAAGTAAAATTAAGTTTTGTTTAAGTAAAATACTACTAAACTTACAATACGTCGGCGCTAAATATCTGTTTGATAATTTTAAGCGCGCACCACCAGAGTTGCTGTAGCCTGTAAGATTTCGTATAAAATGTATTATTATACTATTAATATAAATGAATAGCTATTAAATAAGTGGAACTAATTTTTTGAACTGTTATTTAACTTTACGGGAAGTTAAAATGATCAGTTAAAAGTTAAGTCTTACAATGTCAAGGTAAGGTTAGGATAGGTTTAGGATTGCCCTTCGTAACTACTCATATTATAATTATTTACGATTATTTTTTTTTCTTTACTGTAAGTTTAAACTGCCGAACTTGTTACTAAATATGCATTTTGTATTTTTCAACTTACAAAAACTACTATATACAACTAGCGCGTAAAATCGGTGCCTTAAATAATCCCTATTTTAATAAATTGATGAATCCACGATACAACCTTACATATCTTAGCTTCAGATTGCATCTATTTCTTTGATCATTGCCTCTGATAAATGCGCATCAAAAAATCTCATTTGTGCGAGGATTTGAACGCACGATTTCAGGGTTGAAAATTACGTAAAAAGGCATTAGTTTCCACAGTCACAGTGTTTGCTGAGACGTAGGTTATGGTCAGGTGCTGATAAAGATCTTTTTCTTATTTTCAGGAATTTTTCTTGACAGTAAAAGACGCTTTGCGCAGTGGTTACGATGATGGCTGTGGAGGCTGCTGGGACGAGTTTGAGCAGCAGCTTTCCAACAAGCTCACTTCGGTTAAAGCACAAGTCCACGCCGCTTTTGTGTATGCAGTATTTTTTAAGTTAAATTATATTTCGCTGTAAAATTAAGTCTATTGTTTGCGTGTCAAAAATAGGTTACAAACCAGGGGTAGCCTGCTGATTCCCTACTAAGATTCAAATCGTTTTTAACTTGTTAATTTTACCGTCAAGAGTTTATGAAGATTTCTTTAGCAATTTTTTTGAATATCGATTCACTCCAATTCACATAACAAATTTCAATCTCTCATTTGTGCATATTATTCGTGTCTTACGTCCTCGTTGATATTAAGCCACGCGGAATTGAACGTTGCAGCGCCCTTTATATAATTATATATAATACTAGCTGTTCCCTGCCACGCTTCGCAGTGGCACATTGTGATTGAATGGTTGAAAAATGAGAAACAAAACAAAGAAAACAATTCATATAAGTTTAATTTTGCAATACTTGTAAAAAATAAATTGTGCGTGTACTAGGCGTACACACGTAAGAAGTGAAACTTCTTTATGATCTTATTTTTCGAAAAATGATCTACTATATGCAACTTTACAGAAATTCGTTAAATTAGATAAAGTTTAACAAAAGGCTTTTATTATAATAGACATGAATACAAATATTTCATTTTACCTTATTACTACGAAGATTATTATAGAATTTCATTAATTGTAATATAATTATTACTATCATTGAAAAACGTGACGATTTGCTACAAAATTTCTCCCATACGTCGATAAAGAAGTTTCATTCCAACGCCGATAAAGAAGTTTGACTTCAAAAAGCAACATGGCGCGTAACCGAAAAATTTGACGCGTAACGAAAAAATGATACACTAAATTTTTTTCCAACCTCGATAAAGAAGTTTCACTTCAAAAATGAAAAAAAAAAAAGATAAAAACAATCCTTGATTCGGATTATATATCATGCTAAAATTTCAGCTCGATCGGAGCAGAACTTTTTGAGTTTTTTAAGCGTACACAACCCAACATAACATTTATATATATATAGATTTATATTAAATAAACCTTAAAACACTAAGTTTATGTTTACCGCAATACTTGCGCTATATGTGTTCACGTTTTTCTTTGTACCGACAATTCGTATATTTCCCTTTAAACTCTGACCACTGCATGTATGTTTAGTGTAGTTGTATGGAAGAGACTACTATTATTATGATTAAGGCTACACGTTCTTGCCACAGATAACATAGATACCCGCAGCGCAGTAGACGCGTTACGGGAACTAGTTGGGGCGTGTCACGTGTACTTGAGACAGACGACTCCGAGGCCGTCGCCCCTTCTCGCCTCCGCCGCGAGATATGTCACAGACATATTGCATACATTCGGGGCCATTGAAGGGCCTAGGGGTCTCATTGGGTTCCCTGTGGGAGATGCTAATAATGCCGGCGTACGTATTACTTTATTATATTAAGTCTTAAATGTTGCTGGTTTTCTCAGAAACTCCTGTCATTTGGTTGTCGATTTAGTGTCAATTGAATAGAAAAAGAGAGAGAGCAGTTTTGGCCTAGTGGCGTCAGCGTGCGACTGTCATCCCTGATCGTAGTTTTGATACCCGACTGTGCACCAATAGACTTTCGTGATGAAAAACATCGTTAGGAAACCGGCTTGCATTAGACCCAAAAAGTCCACGGCGTGTGTCAGGATCAAAAGGTTGATCACCTACTTGCCTATTTTATTGACAAATAATCAGAATACAGAAATCTGAGGCCCAGACCTAAAGTGGTTGTAGCGCCACTGATTTATTTATTTTTATAGAAAAAATGCGATTTTTATTTATTCTAATCTGTAACCTTTGTTGTAAAAAACAAACCAGTCTAATTGCACCGTTTTAAGTAAAGTAATCATCAGCTGTCTTTTTTCATCGCAGCGTAAAGCAATTTGATAGAACGGGACGGAAAAGTACTTCAGTTAAAAGAGTACAATCAGATTATTTATACATATTTATGAATAGGGAAGCTCCCAACTTACATTTGCTAAGATCAGGCGGTCAGGCGCAAAAATGCTTTGTTTGTTATGGAACCAGTCTGTTTTCGTTTAAAAATTAGGTGGGCTGAAAAGTTCGTAGACTGACAGAAAAATCGAATTATTCAATTAGTTACCTTCGGGAGCGATACAACGATTATAGCGGTCTTACAATTTGTCTTTAGCCTCAAAATAGGCTTCAATTTCGGCGATTACCTCTTCATCACCGAAAATTATCGCTCTAAGGGCTGAGACCACTAAATAAAAACTACTGTTTACTATTTCATGTAACCAATAAACTTTTGTTGTACTTAAATTTGCCCTACTCTGCTTTTGCGGTATATAATGTAATGTAAATCTTCGATCTATAATGTTACCACACTATCTACAACCTATCAATCATATACCTGTTAAGGTGGAGGAAGCAGTGATGTCCTACCTAGAAGCTCTAAGCACGTTCCGCGGCAACGTACGCGACGCAGCCCGTACGGCCGGCGCGACGGACGTACTCGCACTCTGCGACGCACTCAGAGATGTTGTATTACCAGAATTGGGAGTGCGGCTTGAAGATAAACCAGGTTAGTCTATTTATTTTATATACCGGTGTATACCTACTGCTGGTACTAATTGGAATCAGTATTTCATCGACGTATTTCCAACCAAATAGGTGCTACACAAGGCTCACAATATCTCAGCGTTCTCGTTTCTGTTTTATAATATTATTTTAAGACTTTGCCTTCTGTATCTTTTGACAAGACAAAAATCGTTTTGATTCAAGGTGCTTTATTTTATTTTCAAGTAGATTTATTACTATATTAAAACAACTAAAGCCAAACCTTGTTTGTTGAAACATTAAAAAGTGGCTTTCTCAATTTTTTTAATGGAAATAAAAAAGAGGGGGGAAAGTTCAAAGTTTTTTTAAGTTTCGTTCGTTAAAAATGAAAAGCGGAAAGATTTATTGGGCATTTATTTTCTCTCTTCGCACAATCGTCAAGCTGGTAAGCAAAGAAGAGATTGCGCGGGAACGAGAAGAGAAGAAGAGGATCGAAGCAGAGAAACAAAGAAAAAAGGAAGAGTTATTGAAAGCGCAGAAAGCGAAGGAAGAACAGAAGAAGATACCGCCGCAAGAGATGTTCCGACGGGAAACTGACAAGTACTCTCAATTTGATGATAAGGTATTTTGATTGGTATTTCCTACAGTTTCTTCGAATTAAAACGTTATTTATCACAAACTTACTCTTGGTGGAAATCGAAAATGGATTCATAATCTTATTAATAAGTTAATTCAATTACGATGTTTCTGATTTTTAATCTTCTAATATATAAATTTCTCGTATCACAATGTTCGTTCCCAAACTCCTCCGAAACGGCTGGACCGATTCTTATGAAATCTTTTATGCATATTCAGTAAGTCTGAGAATCGGCTACTATCTATCTTTCAAACCCCTAATGGTAGGGGGCCCCAGGTTCTAAAAGGGGGATATGCTAAAGCGTGGGGTATAGACCGAGCTTTCTGGGATGCAAAGCTTAGATAATAAGAAGAAAAAAATGTTATATGATATATACCTTTTCATCGGTGGGGGAAGCGGCTATAGTTTATTAAATATGTAAAAAAAACTGTTGCATGGACATCCTCGAGCGCGTCAGATATTGATAGCATCAATGCCCTACGTATTTTTAATAATGTACGTATGTTAATCTGATCGTTTGCATGATACGGGTGGTTGTATTTAAGGGTTGAAAATGAAAAAAAAAAATATCGAGCGCGTCAGATTTTCTGGGAAGGGGGGTTAGGCAAAAAAAGCTCTCATTCACTAAACTGACGATTTCGATGGGACGCAAACCCACGGCCATTTTCATAATTTGCAAAAAAAACGCAATTTTGAAATACTCCCAAGCGCGTCAGATTAAGAGTATATGTGGTGTGTCTCATAATCTGACGATTATCTAGAGGGGATTCGCCTGATCTGACAAAAAAATTTAGAAAAACGGTTCACCTAAAAGGCCATCCCTGCAATTTCCGCTAATTCCATTCCTGGGCGCTTAAAATTGATATTTTGAGCTAGCTGAGTTCAAAGAAATAATATTTCGATGCATTTGAGCTCTCCCCAGCCCGGCTCGAAAGTCTGATAGAAGTTTCATAGAACACTATTTTCGGTATTTTCAAACCGCAATAACTTTTGAATGGATCACCCAGCAATTTTCACGCGGTTGGCGGCATTCGACGCAGTTTTATCATCCTCATAAGTAATTTTGCAATTTTAATCGATCGAACCACAAATTTCGGAGAAATCCCCGAAAAAACACTTTTTCGGGTTTCTTTCGTTCACGATATCTCTCGAACGCGAATCAACCGCTTTTGACCATCTTGGTGGCGATCGACGTGGTTTTTCAAGGCTCAAATGCGGATTAGTTTAGTTTTTGAAGTTGAGGGTCGATAAAGAAACCACTTTAAAAAAAATATTTCTTATTTTTTTAAGATTTTTCAAAATTTCTCAAAATCTATCGGTCCGAATCGGTTCAAATTCACAGGAAATGTAATTTTGAGGGAAATATTTAGAACGCCGTTCAGTAGATTCCGCATCGGTTTAAAGGAAATGTAGGCATCACGCAGCTGAACGTTACCGCTTTTAACTTTATCGACGAATTTTTGTTATTTCGGCTTGCGAAAATCGTCAGTTCAGAGTATATATATTTTTCATTATTCTTGAATTATTTCCTCTCAAAATAAAAAAAAAAATTAGCTACGCTCGAGAATGTCGAGATGACGTTTTTTTACAACTTTGTTGCCCTCCCTCTTTTTACGTCACTTTCAAATTGTCAGATTAGTGGAATATACACTTTTTAGGATGTAATTAACTCCCCCACCCCTACCTTATATCTTGACGCGCTCGGGAATTTCTGGCATGGTCGATGGCCATTTTTTTACCCTAAATCTGATCCGCTGTAGTCCATTCACGGGCGGCCTTATAAGTAAGGGGGCCCCTCATATTTTGTGGAGGTACTTAACCCGGGTACAAGGTATCCCCCCCTAATATATTAATCTGCCGCGGATCTAGTAAAGGTCCCGGAAATCCTCTGGCTCTTGGGCCCCTACAATAAGTGAGGAGTGTCAACAGCAAATTTTTTTTTAGATTTTTTTGTTTTTATTACGATACGCCCCTATTTTTTATTATTGTATTTTTATTGAACTAAAAAGAAGGTTTCCTAGAAATAATATACATGGCAAAACAAACGTTTGCCGGGTCAGCTAGTTATTTATAAAAAGTTAAATAATTACAAAACTCATTACGTACAATCAGATTATTTAACAAATAATGATTTCTAGGGCCTTCCGACCCACGATCTAGAAGGCAAGGAAGTCAGCAAAGGCGCTTTGAAGAAGCTGCAGAAACTCCAGCAGGCACAGGAGAAGAAATATAATGAATATCTCGCTTCAATTAAAAGTTAATTTAATGTATCTTAGCTGAAGCATTTATTCCGTGTATTATTAAATTGTATTATATTGTGTTCACTTATTAAAACAATATTAAGCTATTATTATTGATATTACCTAAACCTAAAATAACATAAAACATGTTTTTTATCAAGGGGCAAATGGGCACGCGGCTCCCCTGATAGTGATGGACACTCACATTGCCAGAAGGCTCGCAAGTGCGTTGCCAGCCTTTAAAGACTTGGCACGCTCTTTTCTTGAGGACCCTAAGTTGAATTGGTTCTGAAAGAGTGGGCGGCTGGTTCCACCTAATGGTGGTACGCGGCAAAAACTACTGTAATACGTTTATTAGCGTTGAGCCATCTCAGCTGTGGAACAACGGACATCGAGGTGATACGGGTGAAATTTCGTATTCTGCCTCGACGATTGCTAAAACTCAGCTGCAGGAAGACGCTGGTTACCAATTGTATTGTTAATGTCCAAAATACGAACTGTAGCTTTTCAATAAATTATAATACTTATTCATTACGAATGCTGAAATTTTATTTCTAATTTGGAAGTATTAAAAATAAGTAAATTTTTCCGAGTTGGAAATAAATTGCTGTATTTTGAATAGACTTTTTGTGAAACCGCATTGTTAATCTTTATTTTAATACGCTAACGTTGTGTAAGTTCATATGACAGTGTCGAATTGCTTAGATATTAAGCTATTTAATATATTTTTTACAGATCTTGTTTGTTTTATTAAAACCATAATAAATACTCTTTCTAGCAAGAATCGGGCAATGTAAGAGAATCAATCACATGTTAAGCTATTTACTAAGGCTAATTTGAAATATATACTTTGTACAAATAGTCAATGAAATGTACCTACAGTTATCTACTACAACATAAAAAACATCAGTGGCGCTACAACCTTTTTAGGGCTGGCCCTCAGATTTCTGTATCTGTTTCATGATCATTTGTCAATCTAATAAGTACGGTGATTAGCCTCCAGTGCCTGACACACGCCGTCGACTTTGGGTTTCTGTTTTCCTTCACCGTACGATCGACTGTTAAATGCGCACACAGAAAGAAAGTCCATTGGTGCACAACCGATCATCGAACCTACGACCTCAGTGATGAGAATGGTACGGTGAAGCCATTTTGCCAACACTGCTCTACTAAACATGTAACATTATTTAAAAACGGTTCGCTAGTTTTTGAGATTACTAAACTAAAAAACTCTTGCAAAGAAACGGCCGCCTAAGGAAAACCACCACTCTTCTGCAATGACTCTTTTTAGCATCCTGATGTTTTGTGGAGCAGGTGGCACTGATCTTACTCATCGCTTTAGAACCCAGGGATGCACAATTGCATGAGGTCAGGACTTCGAGCTGGCCAATCTAAACGACGTATCACAAATTCATGCATGTACACTTCCACGTCGCCAAAACGAGCGACCATCGTTTCCTTTTGTAAATGTTTGAACCTTTTTGTACATATGTATTCCATCTAAGACTATATCTTTAGTGTAATTGTTTTATGTTATATATAATTTATGTTGCTGTAGGATTACAAAATGAAAAATTGGAAGCAATGCTAAATAAAGTTTAAGAAAGTGCCTGCGTCTGTACTCTCAGGGTAACTCCGACGATTTAGGTATTCGCTACGCTTATTAAACTAAGAAAACTGTCTGAGCAAAATATGCTGCCTTGGCTCATAATACAAATAAAGAATTTCATATATTTATATAATATAGAAAATAAATTAAGTTTCGCGTTTTAACGCCACAAAGGCGTCTTCGTGCGCTTTATCTAACTGTGTCGACGAACATCAAAAGCGTTATCGTTACTGCATACCATCAGGCCGAGTATAAAATGTTTAATTTGCCGTGCTACTAAGCACATATATGCTCAAAGTGGCTGAACCCTGCACTTCTTTTTCGTAGGTAAGACACACTATTTCTGTTAGTTGACAATAATTGTAGTATATGTAGAAACTACAGCTACAATCACGCCGATGACGTCAATGTAATGAAGTTGCTCTGACCGCTTAGGTTAGGTTAGGTTAGGTTAGCCACTACGGCCTTCGGTTCGGCTAGTCAGTGGTTAGACTGGTCGAGGATCCTTCCTTTAGGTTGAAGAACGGTACACAATCCTATACAAATCTTCCTCAACATATCTATATTAAGATAACTTGCTCTACATAATTAGCTTGACTTGGCCTTCAATCTACTTAAAGTGGTAGGGGTAGGTGTGCAACCCGAGAGTTCTTTAAGAACTCGTTTCTTTGCACCCAAAAACAAAGACGTTGCGGTTATTGAATGCTGTCTTCGACACTATCGACACTGTATGTTCGCAGCAGCGATCGCACAGTATGTATCTTCTTTTTAATAATGTGTCTACTTTATAAGATGCGAGGAGGTTTAACCAATAAGCTGCTAATTAATCCATATAACAATACTTTGACATGTATTCATTATTATTATATTTTATTTATTTAATTGTGTGACAATTCGAAATAAATAAATCTTCACTTCTATATACCATTGACCGAACATAGATAAATAAGTTGTCAATAAATTAAAACGCTATAAACGCTAAATGGGGTCCGCGGATTGTTATCTAAATATTAAAAATAAATTGGTGCGGCGTCGTCAAATCACAATAGGCGTACGCTTGAATGAATTGTATTCAGAAGCCGCGTGCGCGACTAAAATACCCTTAAAAAGGTGTACGGTAGTTTAAAAAAAGGTAAAAAGTGAAATAAACAACCTGGGTTGAGTTTTTTCGACAATAGTTCTCGTGGGGTGGCACAAGTAGCGCACGAGTCATGCATCTGTACTGTTATTTATAGATGTTAGGACTACTTGCTTACAAATGTGGTGATTTTCAAATCTAGAATTTAGGATATTATATGGGTAATGGTCCGCATGCTTAGAATCGATGTGATAAATAAAATGTGTTTATTCATTTGACAACAATTCATTATAATATGTAAGATTTGGCAACCCTTTTAAGTAAACATACCTATGTCAGGATTCCCATCTCTTCCATAACAAACTTAATCGTAAATTCCATTAATATATGTATATATATATACTACAGTTGCCAACACGCGTGAGTGTGTGGGTGCATGTGAGTCAATGAGTAAGTGCGTGGGAGCATGTAAGTGAGTAAAAAGAATGTAAAAAGAAGCGAATATAGTTAAATAAAGAAATCTGCGAGGGATTGAGAATACTTCTTCTCAGATACGGGTGAACCAGTGAAGTGGTGGTAGTATACCTAATATGTATACGTTCACTTAAGTTTTAGATTTCTAGAAATCTCTAAAAATCTGAATGCAACGATTCCGACGATACCTTATTTTAATTATATTATTTTTTACCTAATAATGGTAATAAGTGTTTTAGTTAAATAATATACATATTTAGTAATACTGATTTATTATTTTTTGTGTTCCGTCCTTTCTGTAGTATCACATATATAGAACTGAGTTTTAAAGATTTTGTGGTGATGAGAGGTGCTTGTCACTCTATCGTGAAGATTTTATCTTAAAATTGACAATTAAATAATAGGATCACTCTCCCAAGAAACTTACCAGATATGCAGTAGCTGAATTGCAGTTTGATTGACCAAAGTAACGGACTTTCTCAAGAAAAATTGTTACATTTAAATAGATTTCGGATTCGACAGTTTGCCAACAATGGAGAGGCAGGGGTGATTTTGTCTTTATACGCGGTTGACCTCCCGGCGAGATGTCAATCATTTGAATATCCGATTCGATTTTACGATAATATATTATAATCAACCAACGGACTGCAACGATTCCTTAAACCTTGGTTTTGCTTTGAATAGGTAAATTCGTATTTATTGGCGCAGAAATCGTAACGGACGGCTGGCGACTGTTATGTTAATTATATGTGCTAGATGTTATCTTAAAAGTACCCTGAGATGTTTCTTTACTTGATTTCTTATGTATATAATTTTATTAAATTTTACCTTAAATAAGTTACCTTGTTTTTTTTTGTTTTAAATCATAGTAGATACATAGTACATTACCTACTTGAGGTAGAAGTGTGCTCTACCGCCAACCTAAAGGAATAATCCTTCCTTTTGAGGCATCTGTGGCTGATCTTGTATATGTACTTTGTTATTGGAAACAGTACAAAATCGGGATTCTGGATATAGCGTCATTGCACTGACTGTCACACCTCTCTCTCTCGACTCTACAGTCTCTTAAGTTTAAAAACAATCTTTTTAGTTATAGTTATCGATAATTTACCTGTATGTTTAAGTTCTTTTTACCAAACTTAATGAATTATGTAAGTTAGGTTTCCGTAAACTCAGCTCAGGAGACCAGACTCATTTCTGCGTCTGTCGCAGATATGATTTCTGTAGTTAGTCTTTTTGTTCTCCAACACCAGATTTGTGTGTTTTTTTAACTATTTGCTTTGCTTGCTACCCAATATATGAGAGCAAGTGCCTCGCAATCCGATTGTCAAGGAGGGTGGCAGTACCTACTAGTAGAAGTGGAAGAGGATGGGAAAAGTATGAGTTGTACAAAGCAAAGACATCAATGTGATCTTGACTGTTCAATAAATAAATTTTACTTAAAACTTAAGCAGCATTTACTTTCTATCTTATTTTAAAATAAATTTAAAACCACAAATTAATATTTTCTATATAATTCATGTCAAGGTTTCGACGCTCCCTCAGAAGTTGTCCCCCGTGCCTTGGATGGGTTGCAATTATTCCCTTATTTCGCGACCCCACTCAGCAGCTGAAAAAAAAAACAATTTTGTGCGCTCATTAATTATTTAAATCTCATTAAACAGTGAAATTTACGAGTCTTAGGAAAATTATTCAGTTTACACGTTAATTACTTTTTAAATTTTTGTTTATGTATAACATTAGTTGGTGCTCGCGACTTTGATCGCATGAAATGTGTAAAACATATTGAACTATCTATAGATATAACGAAAACTATCTTTATAAATGACGTCAATAGTTTTCCCTGCTGGAAACTATTAT